CTAGTCCTATGGTTTTCAAAGTAATGAACAATAACAGATAATAATTTACTTGGTTGTGACTAGCAGAGGAATCAAAGACGCACGTTTTATCCTGGTTGGGACCCACAACCTGGATGCATCTGCACCCAAGTGCCAAGTGATGTTTTTCCCACTGATACTCAAACCTCATACTTATCGCTTCAAACACCAAGGAGTTATCCACTCTGCAACGGAGGCACAACAGACACTTCTTGTACATCGGATGGTAAATTAGTAATCACTATCTTTTGATATACTTGTAATTCTTGGTTGTGTTGTGTTCTCTGAGCTGGGTTGTTTAATCGTGACGCTTTCATCGTCTTTCTGGACGACATCATCAGCAATAACTTCAGTATGAAGTGACCTGTCAGTATCTCTCTGTGAGTGATTAAATAGCTTGCCTTAACGAAGTGGTCTGTTATTGGTTATTTACTTTGATTGTTGTCTCATTGGCTGTATAGATTTTCCTGCTGGCTGTCGCTCTGCTTGACCTCTGACCTTTCCGTCATTTGTCATCTTTATTATTGGTTGATAGATCGGGTGTGTCTATACATCTGTTGATTGCTGACTGACCTAAACGCCAAGCTTCTAGGAATTCTCTGACACTCTTTGTGTTTCCTCGTTCCAAAATTTCTACACATTTGAGATCGAATTCATGTCCATAATTGTTATCCACGTGGACTGAACTATGAGTGGTGGAATGTCATGTGTGGCGTTTAATAGCTAATTTGTGCTCATGTAGACGAAGGCGAAGAGGGAGGCCACTTTGTCCAATGTAGTGTTGACTACAGTTATTGCAGTTGATTTTGTAAATGTTATTCAGTTTGTCTTCTTTTCTCATTGCATCCCTTGGTCTGCATAATAGTGTTTAGAGGGAATTTGTTGGTTTATGAGCCACACTAATTCCAAGTGGTGTCAGCAATCTTGTCATGATTTCTGATACATTATGTATGGTAGAACGACGAGTTTGTTGATTTCTGTCGATGACTTTGTAGTTGATGATGCACAGGATAGGCATCTTCTGGTTAAGTTTCGTGGATAACCGTCCTCCTTTAGGGTGGACATGAAGTAATTTTCTTCGTTTCTCCGTAAAGTTGTTGTGCCGCAGTGTGTTCTCGCTCTTTTGAATAGAGTATGCATGCAACTGATTTTGTGTGTTGTAGGGTTGTTGCTATTGTAATTGAGGATTTGGTCAGTGTGTGTTGGCTTCCTGTACACTTGGGTTTCCAGCTTTCCAGCATTTTTCCTACAGACTAATACATCGAGGAATGGAAGTTGGTTGTTTGACTCTTTCTCCATTGTGAATCTGATGTCATTGGGAACGTTGTTGATCAAACTGTGGGTGTTTTCTAAATCATCCTTTTTAATGATGATTAAAGTGTCGTCCAAATAGCGAATCCAAATTTTTTGTTTGATCACAGGTAGACTAATGGCTTCAAGTCTCTGCATCATAGCTTCTGCAATTAATCTACCTGAGCTACAAATATTCTCCATTATTTCAAAATCATACTTGTAATTCTCCGTTGTTTCATTGGATCGAATTGTTCGACCTCTATTGACATATGGGCTCCTACGTGGATGCCTCGTTATTGTGTGAGTGTAAACTATGATAATTTGGTTGATTGTGACCTACAGAGGAATCCGGGACACGCATTTCGTCCCATTTGGGACTCGTCGACTTGATGCCTCGATATTGCCTGGCTGTCAATTTTGGTAATCTAGTTGGTTGTGGCTAACAACGAAGGATTAAAAGCATATCAATAGATAGTAATAACTACTTTGTTACCCGATGTACAAGAAGTGGCTATCGTGCCTCCGTGTCACAGTGGATAACGCCTTGGTGTTTGAAGCGATCGGTACGAGTTTCGAGTATCAACGGGAATCACATTTCACTCGGCACTGTGATGCAGGTGATTCCAGCCGACGAGTCCCAATTAAGACGAAACGCGCCTCCTGAATTCCACTGCTAGCCACAACCAACCAAACTACCACCATTCAAGCAAAGTCGAGGCATTCAAATAGGTGCTCATATGCTAATAGAGGTGGAACAATTCGATCCAATAAAACAACTGAGAAATACAAGCATATCGATAAATGACGGATAAGTTTCATGGGGATTACCAAGAATGCGAAAGAGAAATTCAGAAGAAGATTCATACATTTTCCCATTCACTTTTGTCTTAACTCTTAGTTTTGTCATATACTGCCTTAAAATAACTTTACAAAAAATTTGGTGTTATCAACTAACCAACAAGTCTATCAAATGGTCTTACCAGATATGAGTCGTTACTAAGATTACTTAGTTATAAATCTTTTGACCGTATCAATGGATGAGGTAGGTTGGAATCTATGAAGGAGAATATTTTCCTTCAAAGTTGCAGATGCATCTTGCTAAAGAGCACCAAATATCAATAATATTAGTTATAATAAAAATGATAATCGTTTCACTGCAAACAATATGTATGACAGTATGGAATTCTCAGCATGCAATTTTCCAGCAAATTCACTTCCAGGACAATACTTTCAGATGAAACGTTATTGCATCGAAATGGTGTTAATAATAACAGTGTTCTAGGCAGTAAAGTGAAATAGCCAGCTGGTTCTGGATGGGTATCCGGTACATAATGAAGAATCAACAGAAATACAAGCGTAAACTTAATGGTGGCTTTTCATTCAGATGGTACAAAAGTTGGCAACTCAAGCTAAGCATCTGGTGGATAGAAATTTGATGTGCTTTTTCGCATCAAAAAATCCATTTTTATATAAGATAGCATTTTTTTTCTCTTTTGTTACTGACGTGAGAAACGCAGAGTTGGAAGCAATTTAAAAATGTCCAAGGTTACACAATACTTTCAAAGGATACATTTATATGATTAAAACAAATCGAAAGAAAAGAATTTGATGGACAAATCTGCTAGCCGAAGGTCTAAGCAGGTCGCCAACTCAGGTCCAAGCCATCATTTCAATTCCCTCTGAGTAACGTCAAATAGAGTGTATTACAGCGATAGTACTGCCTGCTTAGTTATAAATCACAAATGAGGTTCACTAAATCTAATGAGCATTAAGTGTTAGACGAGCTGGAATGTATTATACCACAGTGACTAAACACTGTAATTGAGTATATTTATACCAAAGAACCTCGTAGTTTACTAAACAGTCAATTGTACTTACGAGTGTGTTTCGTCAGTAACATTTTGGGCGAAACGCGCAATCCGAATTCCACAGCCAGCCAGCACCAATTTGATCACAAATTAATTAATAATCTTGGTTGTATTGTGTTCTCTAAGCTGCGTTGTTTAATCGTGTAGCCTTCTTCGTCTTTCTGGACGACATCATCAGGCAGTTTCAGGGTATCTTCATATAAGCTCATATACCAGCAGACGTTGATCAGTTTGATCCAGAATAATAGCGGGAAATAACTCGGCGAATACTGTTGCAAAAATATATTTTAGTATAATCCAAGCATTATTTTGTAATCCGCTTTGTGGACCCCTGCAGTGGAATCCAGGACGCACGTCCATTTCCATTTGGAACTGTTCAATCGAATAAACTTGGATGTCATTGAGTGATAGTGTTCTCAGCGTGATATAAAGCCAGTACCCGTAGCTTCAAGCGCCAGAAAAGTATCCTCTAATCTGTTGAGTCAGGAAAACCAGCTATTGGGTAAAAAGTATCATGTGTAAGGCGCATCTAAGAATCCACTCTGGAACGTCACCAAACAAAATCCAAACATAATGGACTTCCAAGGAAGCAGAGGCATCCACACAAGAGCCCATATCACAACAAAGATCAGTTCAATTCCATATAACAGTGAGACATTATAATGACGAAATGCTCTCAAGATGTTTTTAAAAGTTTTGCCTAGAATTCTAATGTGCAAACTATAGCTTCTTCAGGAGATTATATGAGTTTTTGCCGAAATTCAAACACACATGAAGTCAAATAATAGAGACAACAATCTTTATGTTCACGTAGTCAGTTAGTTAGTTGATGAATCATGATAAACTCATATGCTTGTTGCTATTGGTCACTGAAAAATATGAATAAATCAAAATAGCTGCTCAGAGTTTTCTCGGTTATACATGAAGACTGTTTCATAAAGGTTCAAGTGCAGTTTAGGCCATTCTGTCAATAAGTTTACCTGTAGTAAGTCGTAATACCCCTCAGACAAGTACTTTTCACTGCTAATTCTAACTTGCATTCCCGTTTGGACTTCCTGAAATAAACCACGGTAGTGAGTGAAGCTGAATGGGTATCTGTGCTGCAACCCCATCTAAGATTATGTTCTCCTGGTTTCTAGCTTCACATATTATTTACTGAGATAAGATGCCTGGTTGTTACCCTCGCTTCTTTCTAGATGTAACCACTGAATATTCGACACAATTTTTTCAGGTTTCGCAGAGAACCCATTATTCATTCAGCCACTATGTCGGTTTTCAGTGGTTCACAGTCTCCATTAGTAATATGCATCCAGATGGATATCACGAAGCTTTAGTGAAAAGCCGTGACCTTTGGGGTCGACCAATTGAAAAAGAAGCGGATGCCAACTGAAGGCCTTGGGTGAAAGCCACGCTATGTCGTGGACTGACAGGAGTTGGAAACTATGAACCACTAAAAACCAACCCAGTGGCCGAATGGGTCGTGAGTGCATACTGCTGAGGAATCCCATACTAGGACGAGACAGTTGTCCTGTGCTCTCAGGTTCCTAATGGCTCCTCAACTAAAATCAGACCGTGACGATTACTATCTCCAAAATAAAATCCCTATTCATCTCAGAGAGTTAATTATCTTTCGCCTAGTTTTTAAATAGTGACCTTTGGTTTTATCTTATCTTTTGTACGAAAACATTGATTGAGAACTATCCTTCTGATATTTATTACCTTCGCTTTGTGATAAAAGAGTAAATATTTTTCGTGTAATATCGATAGCCAGTTGGTTATTGATTTTTATGAATGGTGTTACCTTTAACCTCCTTTTTTTAGGTTTCAACGCTTCTACGACATCCAAGTTTAAAAACTTCAATTCAGTTAAGCATCGTTGATATAATAATTTTGGATCCTATTTATGCGGTAAGCAGAAATATCAAATTAACCACTATGAACTTGATTAATAATTATCGAAATGAAGTTTAAAAAATATTTTTGAAGTGTGATGCACTTTCCACTAAGAAAATGTAGAATTTCTAGTAAGACTGATATGAATCGATATAGTTACTTGATCAAATATCTTTTGAATAATGCATGAACCGAAATATTTCCAGTTGAAATTTTTTCATATGCACCAAAAACCTAGGAAAACAAGTGAATTGGTTGAAGAATGCTAAGATTATCATTCCTTCTAAAGTTTTAGTCAAACAATAAGTATTATTTAAGAAGAAGGAAATAACAGGCATCTTTACAGGTACTCACTTCTCTAAGATAAGTCAGCTAAATAAATTTGTGTATCTCAAACGAGTTGTTTACCGGTGGATAACTAGTTTAGCCGTCTAAACCCTAGAGTTTAACAATGATCGGTGGCTCTTCGATAGGGTTTGCAGTAGGTGACGTAACACTTCGGTGCTAGATGTCAAGATTTTGAAATATGCCATATGTGATGTAACAGCCTCAACGGCTAGCAAATAATTCTCAGCGCCTATTAACAACTTTATCTGAGTAGAATTGTTTGATATGGATATGTGAACTTTAAAGCTATAGTAAAGTTGCTATGTTTTCCCATCCTTTTGACATAAAAATTAGAAAACAGATTACGAAACATTGTTAACTCCTTTTTCTGGTCAAAGACTAAAGACGGATCAGTCGAATTTAGAAACTGGTTTTTACATCTGGAAAGTTGGCACTTGACTGTCGTAGATATGCAGTTGTGTAAGGCATTTACAATAAGAACGGTAACGATAAAGTCAAACATACACTGAAAGGAAAATATTTGCGCCAAGTTGTACGAACTGTAGTGATTGATATTGAGCAATTAATTTAATGTTTATGAATATCCATGTTATCATTTTCTACATTTCAGCTTCACAGTCTTTTTTTCGTACACTTACCTGACGAATGCATAAATCTCTTATCTACCTGAGCGTGAATGTGAGGTCAGTGCAAGTTAAGCAACTGTAAGCGAAATCTTACAGTTAGATTTCTTTTCATAATACAAGCGATAAACAATCAGAAACTTGTAACCACATGTAATCACTTTCAAAAAATCATTCTTGAAAACATTGCAGAGTAGTTTGCTAAAAAACTGCCTAAACAATTAAGCATCTAGTTTATATTTAATTATTTCATCAGTTTTTCCTATTAAAGCCTTAAAAATAAAATGTACTTATAAAAAAGAATAATATTTTTGTCTTATTTGTAAGCCTAATTGCCTTTTTACATTTTTAAAAATAATTATTTTAGCGTAGACATAACCTTGAAGATTGGTTGAACAGTAAACAAGAACAAGTTATGGCTAGATTTTGTAAATGGGTCAATCGGTTAAGAAGTTCTACCTTCACCTGGGATTCAGCTATTTTATTAAATGTAGGGTAAGTTATACAGTTTTGCAAAAAAAAGGATCTATTGATACGGTCGATTAGAATAACATACTACTGAATATTAATTTAGCAGTTTTTGTGTTAATTTCTCATCACTAGAATACGTATTTCTACTACTTACCTGTGTATGGGTAGGAGTAGCATATATGGTGGAAATTTATTAGGCATTATTTTGTACAAATCTTGTTTGACATGAAACGTTTTAGATTTGTCTACGTCTACAGTGATACTTCAGATTACCTTTTCAGACTACTAATGCCAATTACGGGCAGCTGTGACTAGAAATGGTATATTGGAAATTATTAAGTTGTATAAGACTTCCCTAGCCAGATGTATTGTGTAACACTAACTAGCGTGTCGCAATGTTTTACGATGCCTACGATGTAAAACAATGAAAAGATTTACGAATGAATAGATATGTAATGACGTTTCCGAGGAAATATAGTGCAGTAAAGAAATCGCCTTCACCGCGATGCCATTTTCTAAAGCTTTACAATCTCATTTATGTCAAGTGTGAAAAAATAGCATTTATTTATTCAGGTTGTTAGTGCGTCATTAATGCTGCATAGGACAAGACGAATCTTTATTTTAAAGTGGGAAGTATGTTGTATAATAATAAAGTTGAATGCTAAAGAATAAAATTCAAAAACATTCAGCGAAAACTCTCTTTCAAAAACATTTTTCCTTCTTCGGGATACGTGTCGTTATGAGCCGAGGATGCATAGAACTGAAGAAATGCTTTGCAAATTAAAAAAAAGAATCACTTTAAGAGATTCTGTATGTGTAAAAATTGAGCACTGGTGTTGAATGTAACTATATATTCCATTTGTTTGCTTGATGAAGCACACACTGATATAGCATTATTAAAATGTTGACGTTTATAGAATAAATTATCACTTATAACTTTATCGAAGCAGTCAAACAACTTGCAATACCTTATTTTTTCAGTTGTACCAACTTCTCGTTATTGTTTTCTGTGGTATTTGGATTTTGCGCATCTCTCGTAGAGGTGTTACATTATCCGTATTTAGTATGTTTCACGGTGATTTGATGAACAAAGATCGGGTAACTAGTCTCTCTATATATGTAATTGAATTGGGCTTAAGTACAATAGCTTTGTTCCAACCTATTGCGTGGTTGTGACTAAGTAATAAACTAAATGAACCTGATCTTCTGGTTCAACCCACGTGTTTGACCTCACGGTCATTGTATGATGACCGGTAGACCGCACTGTTTTGTCATACCAAGTCAATAGTATCATAAGTTTGTTGAAATATATCTCCGAGTAAATTTGTGAGTTTGAATACCATCTTACTTCCAGTCTTGCTGAAAATTCTGCGTAAAACTTCTCAAGGTCCCTTCCTTGGATGGTGGCACAATATAAACCTTGGATATATTTCCATTATTGTCGATGTTGGCGTTTATAGTAAAATTACTGATATTACTAAAGATTATATTCATGTTGATTTTTAATAAACTTAAGGGTAATTAATATAAGCGTAAAACTTGGGTAGTATGGTAGGATGTAATTCAACACAATATTTGTTTAGTTGATATAGTACACAGTGGTACAGGATTATCTACTCGATGACTTTTCAGGCGTAAAGCATTATTAGTATAATTATTGGTCTCTTAGGTTCCTAGTGGAACATAGGGTTCAATAGCATGTCTCCATTTCAGTCTATTCTCTGCAGTCTTTTGAACCTGACTCGAAGCATAAATTATTGCTCATAGCCAAACTAGTGTATTCACACTACTTTCAACAGCCAGTTTTTTATAGTCCTGTCAGAGCATGTTCATTATTCCTATTGTTAGTAAAATATTCTGTATCTCTGGTATAGGTGTAGTGTCATTTCTGTCGCATATGTTAAGAATCCGATGGAAGCAATTAAGTAGAATGAACTAATCTATCAACCTCCATGTAGTTGCTCGGATGTCAAGAATTTAGTTGAAAGTAGCCGGTCGGGGTCAGACAGATTAGCAAAACATAGGAATTTAGCCAAATAAAAAATGACAGACTCCAATTAGATCAATAACCTAGAAAAAACCCGGCTATTGCAATGTATGGATCAATACACAGCCAAACAATGTGATGGGTAGAATAAAACCACTGTACTTAGGTCCAATATAGTTAGGTGGAGAGTGGGGGTAGATTACTGAAACTTTGTTCCTCGAATCAACCCCTGACACATATAATAGGAATGACGCGACACCTTTATCAGAGAAACGGAGAATTTTACTAACAATAAAAACAAAGAATATAATGTGACTGAACTATGAAAAGCAGTTTCACAGTTCCATTATATAGGTATCTAATTGAAGTCTCCTTAGTTGACGTACGATGCGACGAACAAAAGTCTAGGAACATATCTGACTGCACTGGTTTTCTGTAGGCATTGGTATTCAAACCAGAATTTGTTCCTTATTTTACTTTAGGACCCAACACTGCTGATTCTCCATGTTCCTTTTCTAACCTCCTTACGGTGTGTGTGAATGAACCTTCAATGGTTTCTGTAACAGAAATATGGTATCTAACTTGTGTTACTAAGGTATAAATGACCTAAGCGGTTTAAATTATAAAATGCTCTAAATGTTCGTTTCTGACTTACTAAGTTAAAAATTATTCAAACTTCTGTTTTGAATAACAGCACCACCTACTGAATATGACTGCAGACGATTCTAGAAATCTTATGAAAGTATTCTGAAAATAGACTCACAAACTTGCCTTAGCGTGTTTGTATCTGTACTAATAATAGGGTATTCATTTAGCTCCAGGTTATTTGTTCACTATTCCTAAATTCATTATAGGAACTGTTTCTCCTAATAGACTATTATTTATCATTCCACCAACTTCTTAGATGCTAACTCATAATGAATTAATCTAACCGAACAACAAACATTTTAAAAATCGTTAAGTCTCCTGTATTCTACAGCTTAACGATATCTAGTACCCTTTCTATATACGGTCATAACGCATTAGTGTATCTTCCTCAATTATTTTACTTCACTGTCCTTTGATAATCCTGAGTCTCACCCTAAGTATTGAAATTTTAAACAAATACATCAGCCTTAGTTTCACAAATGTTCGTGCATTTTAACTGATATGCTCTAATCATAAATAATCCGAAATAATAATTCATCTAAATCAGTTGACTCCTTGATAACTCCAATGTTTTTACTTCATTTATATTAGGTATCTATGGTCTTTGTAATATTTATCCATTATTGTCCTTGGAAGTGATCATCCTCATCATGTTTTGTCCTATGATTACTGATATCAAGGCTGATGTCAACGATAACTATTGCTTCAATTACTAGTTATTTTATCCGGTCTAGGTTTAGTTGCCACTGTCATCATCTAAGAAAATTTCGAGAAAATATCTCACAAATCAAACCTGAATTAATTGAAGTCACTTACTTTCAAACTGTCACTTGAATGCTTCACCCAGTACTTATCTCTCAATAGGTAATGGGCTGCAACCAATATAGCTTAAATCTGTGCAGAACGTTCTACACTGTAGTTAAACAGGATAGCTACATCTTATGTGTAAACGGTTGTATCAATTTAGCAGAACAAAAATGAATAGAATTTGTTTTAGTACACTTTCCTCAACTTTTCTAAGATATTCCTAAGAAAATATTATTTTTTCATCTCTTTTACAGACATTTCAAGTCAACCGCACTTGGTAAGTTAAAGTACACATATTGTTCATAATGAAAAACACATGCTTTTGCTTGATTATTATTTTGCTCTTAGGTTCCTAGTGGAACATATCATTTCAGTGGCACGGCGCCATTTCACTCTCTTCTCTGCAGTCTTCAAAACCTGGCGCCAAGACTGTCCACAAGCTTTCATTTCATCCTCACACTATCTCCTTCATGTCACCCTCGCTGAGACATCCAACTCGTCGTTTTCCCTTCGGATTCCACTCGAGGGCCTGGCGCGTGATGTCCCCAAATGATCTCAGTGTATGCCCAATTCACCTCCACTTTTTTCTGCATATTTGTTGGGCGATGGGCTCTTGGTTGGTTCGTTCCCAGAGTTCCTTGTTGTTTATTCTTATTATTCTGGCCATCTGACATTCAGTATCGAGCCATCGTAGGCAGCTGTTGATGAATGTCTGTAGTTTGTTGAAAATGCGTTTCATGACGTGCCACGTTTCTGAATCTTATAATAGCACTAACTTGACAAAATTGATGTTGAAAATCCGAATCTTGTTCACGCTTTATGCTGAGTGAAGTAGATCTCCACAGTGATTTCAGATTAATGAAAGCCCTTCTTGCTTGAACTAATATTAAATATTTGTAATAGTCCATTGTTTACTTGCCTTGTATAAACACATTTCCAGACTGAAAACTTCTTGAGTGATTTATAATGATAATCATAATAATACCAAAAGCTCATTTTATTACATGTCAAAAAGATATCCAAAGTATAACTATATGTGAGTTATTACGTTAAATTGTGAATGATGACAATTGAACATTGATCCGAAACCGATATTGTAATGACATTTCTAACGGTTAAGTAGTTCTCCAACTAAGTAACTGTGATTCTGACAAAGCGTTTCTGAAAAAGAACCACGTATGATCAAAAATTATTAGTTTCTACGCAAATGGATCATGACTTAACGAAAGCGTGAGCTGATAATATTTGATTGTATGAGATGAAGTCGTCCTGAAATACTAGAAATGATATCGACCTCAAACGAAAGAAATGACTGCTTAGTGATCAGGCTAGTGAAATTTGTTGATCAACATGTTTGGTTTCTCACGAATCATTTTATCCACTGTGTATTCGATTGGTAACTCGAGATAAAGGAAGTAATTTTGAGGTTGTATCAGGGATTTGAAAGCGAAATTATCTTGAGTAATGAATCTAAGTTCTATTTGGTTCTTTTATACAAGAAAATGTATAGAGGAGAAATAAATTATGAATTTTATGACCAGTACCATTAACAGCACTAAGATTATCATCCTTGCCTAGAAATTGTGGAATTCAGAAAATGCTAATTTTACAACAAAAAATAATGATGTTTACCGTCTTTACTAGGGTGGACAAAAGAAAACGAATAAGAAGAATGCTTAGTTAAATTGAAACACTTACTTTCTTATTCTGACTACTAATAAAGAAATAGAATGAAATGATGAATAAAGAAAGCATTGGAAGACAATGTATCATTCCTCATCTTCAGAAATATGACTATGTATGAACACATAGTCTGATAATTTTACATTATCAACACTTTATAAACTTGGTGGGGAACATTTTTAGCCTAGGTGGGTGAACTTGGCTGTATCGTGTTATCTGAGCTGAGTTGTTCATCCGTGTAGCTTCCATCGTCTTTACACACGACATCATCAACAACAACTTCAATATAAAGTAACCTGTCAATATAACTACGTGAGTGATTCAGTAGCTTGCCCTGAAGAACTGGTTTGTGATTGATTGTTGTGTCATTAACTGACTGCATAGATTTTCTTGTTGGCTATTTCTCCGCCTAAACTGTCGCCTTTCTGTTGGTCACATTTTTTCTTATTGGTTGGTAGACCGGGTCTATATCTACACATGAACTGATTCCTGACTGACTTGAGTGCCAAGCTTCTAAGAATTCTCTGTTTCCTCTATCCAATATCTGTACACTTTCCAAGTTCACATTTATTCACTTTTTGTGCAGACACTAATAAGAATGGCAAGAACACAATCTATTACGACACCTTCACAGAGAAACGAAGAGAATTATTTAATGTCTGTCCCAAAGAAAAACGATTATCCACGAAAATTCATCAGGGAATTACTATCCAGTTCATCACCAACATCAATGTTATTCACGAAAATCAGAAGGTAGATCGTTCTATCATACCTAGAAAACATATCAGAGATTACGACAAGATAACTGAGACCACTTGGAATTCGTGTGGTTCATAAGCCAACAAATTCACTACAAACAATATAATACAGACCAAAGGACACAACAGCCAAACCGAGTATCACTTACAAAACGAACTGCAATAGTTATGGTTAATACTATATTGGATACAGTGGTCGCCCTCTTCGACTTTGTCTACTTGAACACCAACTGGCTATTAAACGTCAAGACATTTCATCGCTCATTTTAATGCACGTGAAGAACTATGGACATGAATTTAATTTTGACAATGTAGAAAACTTGGACAGAAGAAACACAAACAACATCAGAAAATTTCTAAAATCTTGGCACTCAAGTCAGTCAGGAATCAGTTCATGTGTAGATATAGACCCGGTCTACCAACCAATAAGAAAAAATGTGACCAACAGAAAGGCGACAGTTTAGGCGGAGAAATAGCCAACAAGAAAATCTATGCAGTCAGTTAATGACACAACAATCAATCACAAACCAGTTCTTCAGGGCAAGCTACTGAATCACTCACGTAGTTATATTGACAGGTTACTTTATATTGAAGTTGTTGTTGATGATGTCGTGTGTAAAGACGATGGAAGCTACACGGATGAACAACTCAGCTCAGACAACACAATGCAGCCAAGACGTTACAAAGTTGAATACCAGTTCAACGGATGAGAAATGATAAATATCACATATTCTATGTTGATGGTGGTTCTGTTAATAGCATTATGAGATTATTATCAAACTACTTGTCGGTCGAAACACTAATAGAGACCAGATATTTCATGGATAACCTTTACCATGTTCCAGTTTTATTGTAATATTTGAAGATAAACTGCTTGATTTGGCCTTAGTAAGTATGTTACTCATAACATCAGTAAATGTGTTGGTGTTGTAAAATATTTGTTTTATACACTCTTACGTGAAAAAACTATTTTAATCTACTGTTTCTTTGTATATCTTTTAAGTTATGCGCATAATTTTAATTCCTAATTAATACAGGAGTTGCACACTATCGATCAATGTGTAATCCAGAAAGTTCTTGTTTGGCTGTTCTTGATCGTGGATTTGGAACCGGACATATAATAGCACATGAACTAGGACATCAGTAAGTTTTTTACAGATTATTGCAAGTTAGTCAGTTCCAAATAGAGTCTGAGTCCATGAAGGAATATACGTTTAATTACGGTTAAAGATACATCTCAGGAATAAGTTCTACTATAGTCTAAGTCTAAGTCAGTTAGTGAGTATCTAAATGTAAGTTTGACTTCAGTGTACTTGATTCCTAAATTTCTTTTATTACCAATTACATTGTAAACTTGAAAGACAGGAAAGTTGGTGTCAAGATATAAACACTATGACACTCCTTGCCGTTAACCGTTCTCTTAATAAATCTCTTAGCTGTATTTCACGTTTAAATCTCATAATTATATCACCTTTAAGTTATATAAAACTACCTAAACCTCCTTTAGACAGGTGTTAAGACTGATGGTAACAAGAAACACACCATGCTAAAGGACACAACGACAACAAATAATTTCGGTTGATTAATAACAAAAAATCATTGTACAGCAACAAATGATGCACTTTAATCCACACACCACAATATATTTTGAAACCACTTTTTCATTTGGAAACCAATGCATATGCGCCAACCGTTAAGGTCTAATAAGCATAAGGAAGGTATATTCCGTGGTATTGGTTGATTATCTCCTGTCCACTCCAAGTAAAATATTAAACTGCACCATCCTGGAGAGACAAAACAACGCTCTGGATTCAAAATACGACCGGAATAGGCTGGCCGGCTGGCTCCAGGAAGAACAAATCATGCGCGGATCACATTGCAATGCTACGCTACGCATCATCATACAATAGAGTATAGAATAGCAGTCAACTCTCTACCTCAACTCCATCGACTTTGAAAAGACTTTCGACAGCGTCTACCGAGACGTAATTTGCCAGCTGCTTCAACACTACGTAGTACTACAGACCTTTATCAATCTCATTCAACAGCTACATGACGACGCCACATTCTGAGTGATTCACAGTGAGAAGCTGAGTGACACCTTTGAAGTGAAGATAGAAGTAATACAAGACAAGACTGCCTACTATCACTGATCATCCTTTTGATTGTGGTCGACTGGACGGGATCACGCGACAGTGTTATTAACTAGAAGATGGGTATACGCTGTTTGACCGATGAAAAGACCCCACAAGAAGATTTGGATTTTGCTGATGCTGATTTATGTCTGTTTTATGTTGCACAAACTCAAAGATCTGCATGCAAAAACCAACAAGTTGACAGGAGAGACAGGGGAGCGAAGACGGGATTTCCTTCATGTGAATGTAGAGAAGACAGAGGTGATGAAGATATTCAACCAACAACAACAACAAGCACCAATCACCATCAACGGGAGAAACTTAAAGGAAATAGCCTCTTTCACCTACTTAGGCGGCATCGTTTCAACTACAGGCGGTGATACAGATGATGACGTGAAAGTCATGATTGGAAAGACAGCAAGACAGGCCTTGATTAACCTGAAATCAGTGTGGAAATCTACTGCACTCAGCATAGAGCGTGAACAAGATCCGGATTCTCAACACTAATGTCAAGTCAGTGTTTCTAAATGATGGTTGAGAGACTTGTCGCGTTACGAAAAGCATTTTCAACAAACTACAGGCATACGCCAACAGCTGCCTACACTGGATGCTGAAGATCAGATCAGATAGCTAGAAAGAATAAGCAACAATGAACTCTGGGTACCAACTAACCAAGAACCCATCACCCAACAAATATGCAGAAGAAAGCAGAGATGGATTCGGTATACATTAGGAAGACCATTTGGCGACATCGCGCGTCAGGCCAAGCCAAGTATTGAGTGGGACTCGAATAGAAATTGACAAGTTGGGCGTCCAAGGTAAGGGTGATATGGTGGAAATGATGCAAGGCAGAAATGAAAGCTTCTGGACAGTCGTGGAGCCAGGTTGGAAAGACTGCAGAGAAAATGGTGAAATGGCGACATGCTACTGAAGCCCTATGTTCCACTAGGAACCCAAGAGACAAATAATAAAAAATAATAATTGGTTGGTTATAAGTTTAGTTCGAACCCCGAAAATGTTGTTGGTCGATACTTACTTCTGATGCAAATTTATGATCAACCAACCTTAATGTAAGTTAATTTCTTAGAAGACATAAAGATTATCAGCTGACAACATACATTTATGACTTACTTTTATATAAATTTAGGGGATATCTATCGAGGAACTTTTGACTGGTTAAACTTGCGTTTTTATATTGAACAATAGCTAGACTTTGTCTTAAAATAACACAAGTCGCATATTTTGAACGAATATTCGCTAACCTAATTACCGGATGGCAAGACGATCCTTGTGACACTTCACCTTATTGAGTTTAAAGTAATAGACGATTACTAACAATGACAAGACAGATTTCAGTTTGCCCCAAATCTCACTTATGCTTTTGCTTATATTGATCTGAAGTGAAATTTGTCTTACAATTAACTTCTTTTTGATAATACAGCCAAATAAACCTAAATCGTTCTGCTACTGATAACCGCCTAAAGATATCTAAAAACATTTTTCAACTTCTGTTTATTTCCAGATTGGGTGCTAAACACGATTTTGAACTAAACTCTGATTGTGGTTTACAGGAACAAAATCGGAATACAGATATACCTGCATGGAGTGGAACAGATGAGTTAAAGTTGGGTACATATCCATATCATGATTGGGAATATAGAGAGAGCTATTGGAATCCAGATGTACATCAGTATGAATTCACAAAAAGAGATACAATCATGTCTGGAACATTATACTTTGATAACTTCCCCTTGAGATGGTCTGCATGTAGCCGCCAAGCAATACATTCGTTTATAGAGTAAGTTATCATCTGGAATGATACGGTGATTGCCACATTTTTCAGTTGCTCACTAATTATCAGTGAAATGCTTAATATTCTGTTAACATTGACTAATATAAGTGAAAATGCTTGTGTACCAGTCAGATGTCATTAATTTCCGTGCGACGATAGAAAATTCAAAAACCCTAAGATGTAATAATAGGCCATTATTTCACCTTTGTGAGATGAGAATTAAACCATCCTTCTGTTTCAAACGATTGGGCTGGTTTAGAATAACAGTATCTGTCTGCTGTTTATTCATTGTAGGTGAAAAAATATGTAATAAGTTTGATTCTGTGAAATGAGTGGGAAAAATTAATTTTCTTTGAAAGTTAATATCTCCATGATAATCAATGAAAGATACCAATTACCTAGTAGCTACATTAACAAATCTCTAACGTCAACGAAATATGTCAACTTTCGGTTCAAAAGTTGCTGTATACCTTTTAAATTACCAACTTTATTTTTTATATATCATTCATGAATGCCGTATTTATTATCTATGTAGTGAACAATGTAGTATCTACTAACTATTACTTGTTTCACTTTTTATTCTCTAGTCGGTAATAAAACTGAAAAATGATATCGACAATTAGCCACTGTTTATCTGTCGTTGAACAATGGTTAAATCACTTCTTCCTTAGTTTTCTTCAAAGCAGTATCTAACCGTAATATTTGGTCTTCTACATATGCACCCATGTAAACCATATATACTGCTGAGTCGATAGATGAATTCCCTAACCAAATGGTTTTTGACCAACAAAAGGAAGTATTTATAGTTGATGAAATTTCACAAAACTTCTATCTAATAGTAAATCCCTAGTAAGATACTTTAATCTTATTAATTTAAAGAGATGAAGCTTAAACTTAACACAACCGTTGATTAATTTTTAAAACAATTAATCCCTTTAATAAATTTTGATAGGGTTATTAAAAGACAAAGATTATCTGAAAAGTGTGATGTGTATTTGTGCAATACATTTCAAACCATCTGATCCACCACATATTTACTTGTCTCAAGTCAATTCATATATGAAAATGAAAGGTCAAATATAATGAACATGAAAAGGTTATGACATCAGTCTTGATAACATAATTAGATAAGGATTACCAAGGTACGCACACCGGGGGCTTAGATTTATGAATGGCTAACGCTTCGGCAAATTTCAGCATTCACCCCTGACTATTCCTATATAATATCTTAAACTCTGTTTTTGTATTAACCTTATGATTCATTTCGATGATATGCTTTGCTATAGATGAGGATGGATGTCTGTCGCCTGCACTTATCAAAATTTGTGTTTTAAACTATTTTTCAAACCGCTTAAGTATATGTTCATCCATCCTAGTCTACGCTGAACGACTATCCCTCCCTACGTGTATGTGCCCACACAGACATTTAAATTAATAAATACAGTGGGATTTTTCTTTTCATTTTCATATATAAATTAACTTAACAAGTGTGATCAGATTCTTCGAAATGCATTGCGCAAATACATCACATTTTTCAGATAATTTTCGTCTTCTAATAACGTTGACGAGATTAATTTCTAGTCATAGAAAATTGTAGAAAAATCAGCAGAAATACACTTGTTTTCCAGCAATCTGGTCAAGTAGGTTTTCAAAATCAGCGCTGCAGCATCATTCTGAAAAATCGGTTATCAAGAAGATTTTTTTTCAATCCTTAATGAATTATTTTTTGGGTGTTGTATTGCTTATGAGTTTTTGTTGATGAATCCACTTTGAAAGAATACTTAATTATTTCCATGTCATCTTTGATCATATGCTATGTGCAGTTCTTTAGTCTTGACAACATGGAGTAAATCGGACATCTTCACCTGTTCAGTGGTTTTCAGCTTTGGAAGTATATCTAACAGGCTTTTATAGGCTAACCTCTGAAGCGAAAATAAAAAAGATAAAATTTAGAGTTTATCTCGAGCTGATCACTGATAATCATTAAACGTTTCAGCTGTGAATTCAAAATGGTTGTCCTAGTCACATATGTTGGTACAGTCCAAATTTCGTTTGCACATAAAGAAACTCTTAATCGTCTATTAAAACAGCAAACAAAATGGTCTGCTAGTAATCGCGATACAGGAACCTTACCTGCTTTTCATCTACAGAACGCATTATAGAATTGGGACTTAACCTTGAAATGGTATCTCAGTGGTAGGTCCCTTAAATAATACTTGACAATTCCAGCTTTGAAGTATTATTTTCAATGAAATCATGCAGGAAGTGAATGTAACGTTTGTAAAAAGTTAAATGACTATCAAGGGACTCATTTGTTTATTCGATAAGCTTATATTATCAACTGAATTAACATTATCATATGAATCGAAAAACCTATGAATATTGAAATAATTTCCCTCTGGATGTAGGACATAAGTTATCCATTTGGAAATAATATGCTATTATGAATTGTTCGCGTCAACAACTGAACTTAATACAAGGAACACTTTATTAACTTCTGGAGGGCCAGTCAGCGAATTACTGAACCACAGATATTAATTCGTTGCAATAATTTGAAACTAACCAACGATTCATTCTGCATTTTCTTTGCATGTTGAAGTTTCTATTTTCAGTTGATGGGATGAATCTTTCTAGATAGCTCTTTTAAAATTTGTACATATTTTATATGATTGATGTAAGTTTAGAACCATACTTCAGTTAGTTTATGAAGACGATTCTAGTATATTTATCGAAGCGTACAAGCTACACAATTTTTTTATCAAAATGGTACATTGCTACGTCTTACGTTTATCTGACAATGACGAATTACCATTCTATCTTCCAATAAATTATCGATGCAACAATTCCAAACTGTTGAGTTGAATTCTGCAAAATTCTTATCTGAAGCTTAAATTAGGGCTTAAAATCATATAAAAACACTGAAGTTGAGGAAGTTAGTGATAAACTGAAATAGTTAAAAATGTATATTCTGCTGTTCCTAAAAAAATAGATTTGTATTTTGTGGTGCAACATTTTCATCTTGAAATTGCTGGTTCTAAAATGTTTACAGTTCTTCTATAAGATGTGGTATCGCTTCTTAGGACAGCTTGATGAGAGGCACGATTTCATTTTTAGTATTCAGGATATAAAGATCCAGATAAACGGTGATTCGTAGGAATTGGAATCCGACGAAGACACTTTTACTACAACTATAGATAATCTTACATAATCCATATAACCTATCAAAACACTAATGTTCATATTGACTTCCATGAGATATTGGAGGCTTGAACCAATAGTTGTGAACTAACTAACTGATAAATATCCTTATTTCCGCTGATTAACAACCCGATTAAACATTTAGTCATGATGTCAGCAAACAAGTACAATATTCACAAATTACATCATTACATTGTTATCAGTGTTCATTGATGGTTTATACGACTGCAAACCAACTTTTAGAGCATCCGATATTTGAGCTAACTAGCACTTTTTAAATCTCTGTTGATCTCAGTCAATCACGTTTCCATTGACAGATCCTGTTCACTAAAGTAAACGATGATGAAAATAACTCACTAAAGTTCATCCATTTTCATTCGATATTGAAAAAATTTCAAACGTTTCTTCTTCTTTCACTGGCTGGAAGTAGGTGAATGGCAGAATGCATTTGACAAAGTTGAATGATTCAGGATCCATATGTGGTTGGGTTATGTTTGACAAGAGAGAAAATTGTTGCTGAAACCATACTGAGTTATCATGGTATCCATCCATCCATCTATGCAAATCAACATAGGACGAGGCATTACTGAGTAACGTTTCGAATTGTCACACCCCATATCACCACATCAAGTAAAAAGCAATCAGGTGGAAGACGAAGGAAAGAGGAATCAGTCAAAAGAAATATAAAGCACTTGAAGAGAGAAAGGAAGAATGGGAAAATGGTGAGATTCAGTATAGCATCGTTAAGATGAGGATAGTGTGTATACACATGTGTGCCACTGACATCGTTCTGAGCCATGTGATCGCCTAGAGTCTGCAGACAGTGGTTCGTGTTGTCCCGCGGACCCCAACCTGCTAGTCTGCATCGTCCCACGTGGCTGAAACCAACAGTCAGAGACTTCATACATTGATGTCATGTTTTAGTCTGGCCACCACTACTTTGGCCAACATTGTGTGGCGAGGCAAATGGCAGGCATACGTAATACGTGTCCCATCCATCTCAATCGATGACGCTTCGCAACCGTGTCAACTGATTTACCTCTTCTCCCTAAAACTGCTTTTGATTTCCGCGTTACTCACATGGTGACACCACGGAATACGAACTATACTACGAAGGAGACGGTGGTCAAGCATGTGAAGCCTTCTCATATCTTTCACCTCCAGTGGCCATGTTTCACAGCCATACAGTAAAACAGAACGGACTGCTGCCCAGTACATGCGACCCTTAATCAACAATAGGATATGATGGCTGCGCCACAGATGGCATAAGTTGGCATAAGCCAGCCGATCCTCTTGTGTTCGTGCAGAGATTTCGTAAGCTACTGAGCCAACACAGTGTAATTTACTGGATTACGTTTAGGACACACCGTATTATTGACAGTCGTATCAAGATGTTTGGTATGACATTGGACAACGCCCAGTTTTTACTAATATTAATATACCATGATAATAGTAAAAACGAGGCGTTGTCCATAGTCATATCAAGCATCTCAATATGACTGTGGGCAACAGATTGTGTTGGAAACGTAATGCAATAAATTATACTGTTCCCCTATGTGGAACATCTTAGACCGCAATAAAATTGGATCTCCATGGTCTATTTTCAGTTTGGAAAGGTTAGTAACTGATTATTTTGAAATTGTTACGCTGATGCTGGTACTTACCCCATTTCTGGACAATATATTAAATCATGAATGAAATCTGGTGAACAAAATTGTGTTTTGCCATTTCCTTCTACGTTACAGTGAAATAAACTACATTTTACCTTATTTCTGAATGACTTGGCAGCAATTATTCCAATAATATACTATAACTAAGACCATATGTATAATGATGCAATTAACTTACATTACCACACAGTATGTATAACCTAAGAAGTGCACAAATTATTACTACTAATGTTAATCGAATGGTGTTCCCTTCAAAAAATAAACAATCTGGGAGGTTTCATGTGTGCAGAAAACACCGTTGACAAAGTGATCTTGCTTATTTAGCTTAAATAAAAAAATTATCTTCATTGATGAACCATTTTCTTTGCTATATGTGGTCACTATAAAAATAAATACTGAGAGGAATAAATGTTACATTTTGCAAAGAAAATGAAAGTGAAACAAAATCGTTTTAGCTCAAAATCTCTCTACTTCACTTTGAACTAAGACTATGTCACTAGAGTGATAATTTTTACAGAATTTAACTCATTTCATTTTTAATCCTTTCTTACTGTAACTTTTCCACTGATTTGTCTGTCTTATATATTCTAATTTCATCATTTTCTATTCTTTATTCTTCGTAGATAAAGCACTCTCTTCTTTTATTCTGTTTTCATTTTGATAATTTAAAATAACTAGGTCAAATACAGCTAACTGTCTACGACGCCTAAACGCTGAATCAACATTGTATTCAGCGGAGAAATTAGCGGGTCAATATGTGGACAATCGTCCTGGACGAATATTTTCATTAAATCAACAATGTGAATTTGTTCTGAAAATTAGAGGAACACAATTTTGTGGTCAAATGGTAGGTCTTCAAAAAGCAGACACTTATTCTTTTGAAGTGTTTTTTAAGATTACGAAAGGAATTAAATTTTTAAGCTGCATTTTATATTTCATAGATTTATCTTGCCTTACGTCAAATGCTTTATCCATTCTTTACTAGATGTTCAGGAGACAAATATCAGTGATGTTGCACTAGTATTTTCGAATTCACCCCAACTTTTCTAGCTTTCCAAACACATAATTCAGACCGAGAGACAACAGCGGACATGCTCACACCACTACTGAAGAAGGATTGGAAGGAGGGAAAAGTACCTGCAGATTGGAAGAAGGGCTACCTTGTCAAACTCCCTAAGAAGGGAGACCTAAGTCTTTGCAAAAACTGGCGAGGAATCACGCTCCACTCCTGTCCACTCCAAGCAAAATATTACGCTGCATCATCCTAGGGAGGCTAAAGGATGCGCTGGATTCAAAATTACTACCATAACAGGCTGGCTGGCTTCAGGAAGAACAAATCATGTGCTGATCAAACTGCACTAAGAACCCAAAGGAAAAATAATAAAAATATAATCAGTACATAATTCATCCAGGGGTGTACAAATATGATCAGTGTAGAAAATGATGTCACCAATGGAATTATATTACAGTATGCAATGTTTATTCACCCTGAAGATGAAGTTGCAAGGGAAAATGGGGATGTGATGGAGAGATTTAACTAAACTGAAGGTTGGACTTATCAACTCAGTTAAATGGTAATACAGGTTTGTTGAATTCATAAAACACTGAACAGTTCTAAAGTTACTACGTTCCAGTAATACAGCTGAAGTTCGAGGATACAAACTCTTGTGGATCATTAAAACTTGGTGTTTGCTGCTTTTTGCTGACTGTCTTATACAGTGAACAATTACCTAAAAATTAATTCACACAATCTAACTGTGATAATGTAGTCTCTGTTATTCAACTCACAACATGAATACTCAGAAGCTCTGTGTAATAAAGTGCAAAAAATAATCTGATAAAAACAATGTTTTCTTCAGATACAATGACTTACAGGTAGACACAGGTATATCGAAGGTCAAAGTAGCAATAAAGATAATTAAAGTAACAACAACAACAAAAATTTTACCAGTACAATAACCTTGGGTTCAAAGCAAAATTTACCAAAAAAGACTTAATGTGATGACAGATTGTTTTTGAACGCTTAAAGGTGGCTTAAAACCCCCTAATGGCTAATATCTCAACAAACTTTGTTGGTTCATGTGTCACACCAATCCCAAGTGGTCTCAGTAATCTTGTAGCGATTTCTGATATATTTTTTATGCACGAAAGAATGACCATTTTGATGATTTCTGTAGACGACTTTATAGTTGATGGTGTTTCATGGGTAGCTATTCATCTTTAGGATAGACAAAAAGTAATTTTATTCGTTTCTTCATGAAGTTGTTGAACTGTAGTGTGTTCTCACTCATTTGAATAGGCTATGCACGTAACTAATTTTGTTCATTGTTGGGTCGTTCATACTTTAATTAGTTAGTTGACTCAATTATCTAGAAGTGAAAGTTGGTTGCTCAACTTCTTTTCTGTGATGCATTTGACGTCATTGTAAACTTTGTTGATCACAATGTAAGCATTTTCTAATCATGACAAAAGTATCGTCTGTTTAGCTAATCCAAACGTTTGGTTTGATCACAGGTAAAATGATGACTTTCAGTTTCGGTGTCATTGCTTCTGTAACTAGTCAGGATATCAATGAACCCATCGGAGTTCCTTTTTTCTGTTTGTATATCTTACCATTCAACTGGAAGTATGTATTCAGACAAAGATCGATGAGTTCCATCAGACTTGAACATTTAGATTTTGTGTGTCCCAATAGGCTTGTCACTTCAGTGTTCAGAAGGGATATAGTTTCGTTGGTCAATTATGGATCGATTTATGTGAATGATGCTGTTACGCCGAGGAACCCATTAATTCGCCGTCTTTTGTATCAATTCCTTAGGTTCTTTTTAACAGTTCTGTTGATGATTTGATAGAATATCTGCATGATTAAACAGGTTATTTCAGTTTCCTCGAAAGTTCTCTAAATATGTTGTAAGTTGGAGTCCTCAAAAGTTCTTCTGCTTTGAAGAGTTTGTTCGAGTTTTGTTGAGAGGTGAAAATGCTGACAATATTGCAGAATTCGCACAGGAATCCATACACCAATAGTAGTCGAACGATTTGATCCAATCAGTGACGGAAATATAATGAGGCATTGAAATCTACTCCAAAGATTCAATTTCTTAATATGGTATGTACCTCAAAAATTCTGTCAACAGATTTTTTTAGTACTACGATCAAGACAGTAAGAAAGGAAATTGACTGTAAAATATTGTACGAAATAGCCTTTCCTTACATGAAATATAGGTTACGAGTTGAATAAATGAACTAATGTTCAATACTTATATTTATTCATGATGGGTATCATTTTCTTGCCTGTGAAACTGTCAGATTTTCAACTGTAATAATTAAAATGATTCTCCAAAACTAAATAAATGTTCCCTGAATTTCGACTATGTAGTGGTTTTTTCACTGTATCTTTACTCTGTCACCATCCAGTGACATTACAATACTTGACCGAAAATGTTTTCATTATGCACTCCGCTGGCAAGAATGAGAAATACTGATTTAAACTGCTTTGAAATCGCGAACTTAATTTCGTGATACATGTGTGTGTCAATCTAATATTATTTCTACATAGTCATTTAAGTTACGTCTTTATATGACCCATAAAGTTGTTAAAATATCTTAGTGTAACCTTCGAATCAGACCCGCTACTTAATTTTTTTAAGACGATTGCAGCAACTATGGTTTGTATAATTGTGGACATGATTTGTTAGTTCCTTGGGTAAATGGAGGGTTGTGTTGGCAATTCAAGGCACATCATATAAATTGATAAAGACTTGAGTACTACTTCACTTGAATGTTTAGTTTACAACTTTTCTATAAATACATAAAACAATTCTATTGTGATTACAAGGTTATTTGAAGAAAAGTACTAAACTATTATGATTATTTTAATTAAACTGTAGTAAGATATTGTATTCTCGCAACAGAATGAAAATATTACTAAAAATGATGTATGCAAGGCTTAAAAACTGCGTAGATTCATTAAAAATGGGATAAAATTTATTCATACTTCCTACTACCTCTTTTCACTTTCAGCTTCCAGTTTGCCGTCAACTTTACTGTCAAGATAGTGAACACAAATCTTGCTTACCCATGGAAGCAGCTTGGGCTGAAGGAACACCATGTGGAGATAACAAGGTAAGTGTCCTTCCTTAACGAATAGTTTATCATGTATTTATAATCGTCAGTACCCTAATGACTTCAGAAATAGGTAACCTATTCGAAACAAATCTCACAAGCCTTCTGAATCAAAAAACATGAGAAGATCGCATAATGATTTATCAACAGACTAGTTATGTTTCAAACTTATTATGGATTACTGAATTAGCCCCAACGAATGGCTGGAGATCGTAGGTACTCCTGCATTTCACTTGGTAAATACTTTCAAACAAACTTACTCTTCTTGATTACATAAATTTATCTTCTAGCTTCAAGTAAAGTAAAGTTATGAATAATTTACAGGTGACCTATGGTTATTCCTTGGGCTCGTAACTTATTTGGTAGTCTTTGGTCAGCGGTGAACTCTCAGGATTAGACAGCTATATCGGTCGCACAGTGGAGACCAATTCAAGTGTTTTAATCAGTCTCACAGGAGTCAGTCACGACCTGAATAGATACATGGTTAGGTCTCTGAACTTTAACACTGAGTTATGCAGTTTTGAATCATTGAAACGGTATCTCTTTTATCATAGTTGCAACTCTGTTACTGATAAATACCAAAAGTGCAAAACTTGGGTTCAAGGCTTCCTGTTACCTGGATGTTACTATTTAAAACCATGGTGCATAACTGCTTGTGTCTTTTGCAACCTCTTTGTCCATGAAAAACATGACCCAATACTGTACACTCATATGGAGATTTAACTCTATTCGTCGATGGCTACTTGTCGTCTTTCTAGTCTATAAATGTGGAGAAATGAGGATAGTTGTCTCAAATCCACATTTTGCTCATATTGTTTTGAGTATATCGCCAACAATGTGCCTAATAAATTAACCAATAAGTTAGAAAAGGTGCATACAACTGAAAAAATGCTAATTAATAAAAACAGCATATTTCGTTTCATTGGTTAGCTGTTTGTGTCATGAAAAGCACAGTTTTTAGATGCACTGCAGTAAAACCACTTTTTATTCTACGACAATTCGTAGTATGTTCTCATTCTCATATACACTTATCAAATTGGAGTAATTAAGTTTGAAACGTTTAGATAGAGTGCTCAGAATGTGTTGGAGTTAGATTTGAAGGCTGATAACGCTAGTGAGTAAAATATATCTAGAGCGATGACAAAATATCTCTCATCTTCAAAACTTTGAACTTAAAACAGTCAGCAATTAGATAATAGGCTTAACAGTGATCCTAATTGAATCATGGATGACCACATATAGGACTATAGCGTGTATACCGGCCATTTTTTGGCTAAATGACAAGCCATACAGTCTGCAACTTCTATATGTTCATTAACGTTTTATCAACTGTGCACATTTATCATCATGCGAAGTCAAAAACACTATAAAGTATATGGATGACCATATACAATTGATATTCACACTGCCTATAAACTGAAGACAAGGTGCTGTATTCCAGCGACTTTAAAGGCTACCTCAATTATAATTCTTTATTTTGTGAAAAACTAACTTCCCAACGGAGATACTGAAACCTGATTGTTCATTTTAGTGGTTGTTAGGATCGCCCTTAAAATCACTTCATTTGTATAAAGTTATCATAAGAAATACAATAAATTTCGACGATAGTTTACCAATGGATATTCAACCGACTCCTACGGCCACACTAGTAGCCACGGAAACAGCCAATCAGGTTTCTGTATTTTGGCTAGAAAATCACTTTTTACTTCGAACAATTAAACTCAATTGTTTGAATGACTTTAAAGGTCACCTTAGTAACACATGAAAGAACCAATCAGACTTTAGTACTTAAGCTGGAAAGGTATTTTATCATAGGATAAAGAGAAGTAAGTCACTATTCAGTAGTTGCCAGGTTGTCCTTTAAAGTAACTCCATTCAGTCCCATTTTCTAGTTAATGCAATCAGCAAGGTAATTTGTAAGTAACAGACACTGACGTTCATCTTTCCCTGGAAATCAATAACATTTTCACCAATGCGATAAAATGTCTACCTGCCTAATCTCATATATTAATTGTTTGCTGAATAATTACCTACATGAAACTCTATTACTACTAGTTAGAAATTATGATAAGTTCGTTTGATACATATTACAGTAAGCTCCATCAGGTAAAGTTTCGAAACAGTCCTTCTCCATATAAATTACTCTACAGGACCTTCTGGTTAATACGTAATCCTGAAAAGTTGTGTTCACTGTGGCAGTGGTTATCTTGTTGAAATAACAGCGAAACTAATATAAGAGTAAGACTTGGGCACTGTGGTCGATTGTAATTCCATTTTAGTTTGTTTATTAGAAATATCACAGTGAAACAGTAGCATTTACTGGATAACCTTTCGGACACAATTTATTGTCCATACTCATATCAGGTAACTCCACAACTTCGAGACAAACTTTATATATTCCTAATTTTCTCTCCTTCTATGTGATGACAAAGGTAGCGAAACTAAAAAACACATCCTAATCCACTTAAAAATCGGTGCCAGTTAGGAAGCGGTATTCAAGCTGATGGAGAAGAATGAAGTTCATATGCAAAACTACACTGCCATTGATCCTCCTAAACTTATGGATGAACATACCGACTTCTGACATGAAGTATATTCCCTTGGCTAAAGAACGTCAAGCAGTTTACGAGTCTCGGACGGATGATGAGAAGAGGACCTTAAAACCCTTTTTAAAACTAGAGTTGCAGCTACGCATTAGTGAGTAAGGTTGTCAAACGACCATCAAATTGTCATGTCAGTAAACACGGTAAAAGTCATCCATCATGGAAAACAAAATACTCAGATTCAATAAACCATCAAGGAAAACACCTGATCTCTAATAGGAATCTACGATACAAATATACTGACCACAAGTTATTTGACAAATTCTATTCCTTATGTTTATGTCGGTTAGAAAAACGGTTGAGCAAAAGCGTTTTGTACATTTACTACTACTAATACTTATGATTAACTCAGCGATTTTAAATATAGACCAAATAAAACCAGACAGCCCTACAGTAAAATGCATTCCTATTGCAACAAAAGATGGATATGTAGCCTAACAGTTGCATATATGAGGGAAACAAAATTTAAACAACCTAATAAAAAAGTCGAAGGTTATCTAAAATGCATGAAATATTAGTGCTGTACATTTCCAACAATCTGGTTATGCATGAACTTTTCGAATAATTTATATAAGAACCGAGAAAGATTAATTCAACCAGTGGAATTATAAATAAATAAATAAATAATCAGGACAGGACAAAAACTAGCCCCTACAGAATGTGAACGACAATGTTATATCCCATTGCATCTACCAATTCAAATGTACGTGTATTGACAGATACATAGGGACGACTCATAGATCCATGCAAGTAAAGACCTCGGAGAAAATTGCAAAATGGCTTCAGAAGCAAAGTGAACCATTTGAACCCACAAACTTTGGTAGTGGACGACCAAGTTCTTCAATCGCGAAACATATCGTTAAAACCAGTCACAGGATTGATATGGCTACTTCCTTTGCACCTATTTACAAAACGTGTTGGAGATGAGTCCTTAAATTTTTCCAGGCCTTAGCTATTACGAAGTTTAAACCCGCTTCGTGTATTCAAAAACGACTTGTTACCACAGTAAATCTCTCTTGGCAAATTCAACTCTGAAACCAAGTTCGATGTACTATTATTTTCGCTTTATTGAATTTCATTGTTATTTGGTCCTTAGTTCAGCCTTCCCACTTGACCTCTTTTCATACTCTCATCACTTATCTTCATATAAATGCCTAAGACAAGTACGTGTGTGATCTGACCGTTTGAATTATGTTGCACAAATACATCATTCGATTCAGACAACTTTCTCCTTCTCATTGTTTTGTTGAAGTTCATAAAGGAAACTAATTGTTTCAGAAAACAAGACAGAAAAAAAGGTCAGATCACCACTATCAATAGTATGAAGAGTTGAACTTAATGCTACCAGGGTAAGTTTAGTGTGAGCACAAACTGTTTTTGAATACATAAATTTGAACCCCTTATATATATTCAAAACAATTTCTACTCACACTTAACCTACCCTGGTAGTAATGAGTTCAACTCTTCATATTACTGGTTGTGCTAATCTGGCCCATTTTTCTTCTGTTTTCGTTTTACCCTCATTATGTTTCTTGATCATAATTCAATTGGCTGAATGAACCTTTCTCAGTTTTGTTCGACAAGTTCATGCATGATTACATTGTTAGAAATGTATAGCGCCAATACACCACGTATTTTAGATAATCTCCGTCTTCATATTGCATTGTTTAAATTTATCAACGGGACTATTTGTTTTGTAGGAATAAAATTCTCTCCCTACTCTGTGAAAAGACTTGTTTTTATCAGCAATAAGAATGGTTCTGGGTATCGTTTATCTGAGTTATGACAACAGTACTTTCCTAAGGGCAATTTAATTGAATTTGTGTATTTATGTAGTAAAAGTAAAGTGAATTTTTATTGAGCGTTAGCTTAATTCCAGCAATAAAATGACCTAATGTATTCAATAGTGATAATTATCATTACTCAAATTACATTCAAGAAAACGCCAAAACTAACGATATATATGTGTGTCTATTTTGCAGTTTCCGGAATCCAATCAGCACATCACATTTACTTAACTTTTTGAGGTTGAACATAAGACGCTTAATTTCACCGATGTATTTATTTTCAACAGTTAACAGACAACTGTGCTACACTCTTTTTAATGTGAAACAATACAGCCTTTATTACAAGTATTTAGTAATCGCCTCGAAATCATCATATAACCATTCTTATACACGGATTGCTGAGAAATTTCGAATCCATATTCTCAATATAAAAGTTTGTTCACAACAAAAAGTAGTTGAAATTTCAAAGTAAATTATTCATGCTTCACATAAAGTATACTATCATCTTTTAATCTCACCTAAATATCATCGGTTTACAAAGTTAATCGGAAAACAACACCTACCCCTTTAAGAAATATCAATAAAGTACTTTATGTGATCATTACAGAGACAAACTCTTATATAACACCGATGTGTTTAGAAAATTAGAATATTTTTCTGAACGTTTCGCTGTTTATACAATAGCTTCTTCAACAGTCCCACAAACTTGATTGACTTTTTTGAATCAGTTACCTAAAGAGCGCCTGGAAACTAACGAACATTTCATTTCCAGTTTGCAACTGCATAATACTATTACTAATAACTCTTCCACCAGCAGGTCTGGTGACCAGAAGATTATTGGTGAACTAAAGGTTGAAAATTGATGAGTTCATTAATTAGGCCTTTGACGAACTAATAATGTATTGCAAAAGTTGCAACTGGTTAACACCTCAAATAAGGAATAAGGAATGGATCTATTATTTTATAGTTATTATTTGTACCATAGCTTCTTCCAGTTTATTTAAGAAAATATTTAACGTAACTAATAAATGGTGACCTATTTTTACTTTAAAACTTTATCTTACCTTCAGAAAAGCCTAAGTATTTTTTTTACTATAATACTCTCTCTTTGTTTAGTGGTGCATTCAAGGACAGTGCGTGTCGACTAACGAAAATCCAACTCCCTCACACGGTAACTGGGTGAATGGGGACCATGGTCGGCATGTTCACGTAGCTGTGGTGGAGGAGTACAATTTTCAGAGAGGGAATGTAATAATCCTGAGTAAGTGGGTGAATTAATTACGTTTTCCAATGCTTTAATATAACTAACTTTAACCGTGTCAAAAAAATTATATAATCTTTCAAAAAATAGATGTATGTCAGATGAAACATGCATTGTGTACATATCAAGACTGAAGATAACTGTTGAAAGTACCAATTTATCTAACTCATTCCTACAGGAGGTCGATCGCATCCCAAATATCTTAGTAATAACATCTTTGGCTACAACACCGGGTGACACGAGTTCGAATCCATGGGAAAACATTACTCTTTTCGAGGTTGCAGATACGCCTTGCTATCGAGTGCCAAAATGTAGGGAACCTAGATCCAGGGTATCTTGACTATTGCCTCCACCTAACTAACATCTATTAAAGTTCATCGCAATGCTGAACTCCCTAGTTTGATGGCTACATTGCAAACTTGATCAGCAGAATTCGATCAGTACTCAGGACTAGATAACATGAAGCTGGTTACCTTCCGGCAGCTAATTAATATATTTACTGCCTTCGTTTTGTTAATTTCCTCTAATTTTATCAACATAAAATATGGCTTCCTGAACAGTGACCTCTTCAGATCATGCCCTTCTTTATTGCTGTCTATCATTCTATCATCCCAAAGACTGTGTAGATCAGATGAACTGACTGATCACTGCAGAGTATCCAATTTCATGTTGTCTAGTTCTGGGTGCTGAACGAATTCGATCGGTCTTTTCGCAGCATGACCACAAAGCTAGGCGGCACTCAGATGCACTTAGATGGATGTCACTTGGCTGAATACAGTCAGAAGGAAACCCTCCCCCATCTAGACCTTCTATTTGTTGCCACTTATCAACAAAGTGTATTTGTGACCTCGAAAGAAATGATATACTACTTGGAATTCAAACCCAAGTCAACTAATATTGAAGTCAGCGACATTTCTATTCACTTAAATGCATTCGTAGATTGAATTCTTTTGGTTGCGGGGAAAATATTACTCGAAAGTTGACTCTATATCTGTTAACTAAACTTTTATCGGTGCCTACCTTTAAGAAATCAAATCGAATTGTTGTTAAGATCTTGTGTATGCAAACTGATCAGGTAAAGAAATCTCTTCAATAGTGCTGAAAGATGAAAATAAAAGTAAATACAATAGAATGGATGTTGTTTGGCATTATTGTAAAAAGTAAAGAAAGTAATACCTTTCTCACGTTTATATTATGTTCATTTTATCTTCTTACAGACCTCAGCATGGAGGAGATTTTTGTCATGGAACGAGAACAAGAATGCGCTCATGTGGAACTGAAGTAAGATTCATGAGGAATTTATATGTTGGTCATATAATATGCATTCTTTTGGTGACATTTTAATCCAAGAAAAACATTTACAAAAGATGCAGAGTTCCTCCTCCTTTTTCTTCTTTTCTCAAAGAATATTTCTTTCGATATTTATGTGATACTTCAGAGACTACACTTATTGAACTAAGACGAGTTCCATTAGTAATATTAAGTATGCAAGCTTCAGATAAACTGATGTTTATTCTTTTAATTTTTATAATTTTACTAAGGTTTACATGGTTGTTGAATTCAAGGACAAACCTTATATTTGAACGGAAAATATTACCTACGTGTGATATCTGAAAAAATGTGCAGAATAGTGTAAAAACAAGCTTAGCTACCTTTTCAGGTTAGCTATGGGAGTTAATTTTCTGCATAGTTCCAACTAAAGTTGATTAAATTGGTAGAAATTAGTCCACAGCTTTAGAATTAGAAATCAGGACACTAAATAACCAAAAATATTTCAAACAATTTATGGGTTATTTTTTCAACTATCTACAGATTCAAGTAGTAAATGTGGAGATAAATCAGTTTAGTTGCACTGTATGTCTGGAATTAAATGATTCCATTGTATTCACCTCTTGATAAGTAGTGAAAACTATATGATACTCAACAAGTTTTTCACTTCTCAAAACTGAGCACTGTCGTGAGGATATGCTGGTCTCGTAACAAGCGGGTTAGCATTCAGAAACTGACTTCAAATTCAGTGTATGACTTACTTGAAATTTTTCTGGTCCTACTCATAGTTATATTATCTTATAATCTCATCAATGAGTAACTCTCACCAAACTAGACATGATTTAACTCATAAGTCTTGGCTTCTCATAAAAGCTGGAGAAATTATGCTTGGAGTAAGTTACTTCAGAGGAATGGTTTCCAGTTCAGCTTGAAGGCTTGTCAGTAACTACTTATTTCCTAGTAATTGATAAGCAAATGATATGATTTATAACGACAAAGTACTCTTCATGAGGCAGTTCAAAACCCAATTTTGCAAGGGGTAGTAAAATATACACTGCCAAAGAGTCACAAACTCCGGCGACACATGTATCTAATCCCTACTGGTGATCAATGGTACATTAGCTGATATCCATATGTGGTCTGAACTCTGCATTGAGTTTATTTGATTGTTTGGCTTTAACTCCTCTGTGGTTTTTAAAGAAAAGACAAAGTTAAGGGTGTCCCTGATTAAATTCGTCCAAATGAGAGATACGCATTCATATATTAGTCTCGGCTACACCTGCTATTGTACCAAAGTATTGTTGATGTAACTGGATGGAAGTGCTACAGTAGGACAAAATGTTGGCAAACTGTATAGCTATCTATTCAGCCCACAAAAAACGTTCAAGTTGTACAAATCACATGTTTTTACAAATGATATTGATATCATTTTACAAGACTGAGACTACTGAAAGAGGTCTGCTTTAACAATCTAACTATTTTCGCATATTATTTGCATAATAAGCCTTTATTCTACATTTTTTCCCAATAATTAAGCCATGTGAGAAAGTGATAAATATACGTCAAATATTGTGCGATCAAATTGATGGCCCATATACAGGACAACTAAGAGCATATTTCCCAAAACGTAAGTTTTGACCACTGTGATGTTGAAATAAGCACCTAACTTCGTGTCATTTCGATATTATTATAATAATATGACGGAAATCTAATCAAAATATATTATATACGTATATGTATATTAGTCGAATACATAATTCGAGACGAAAGAAAATGAAGCTAATTAGTGGCGTAATATTAAACCGTATTGACTACAACGAACCTAAACGAGTAATTATCACATTATTTTAAAGGACAGTCTTCTGTCTAAATCTTTGTTCATTAGTACGAGAGTGAAACCTTGGCACTGTGGTTAGTCACAACTGCATTCTCAGTCTGTTTATTAAATACGTCACTTAGCTAAACAGTATTATTCAGTGAATAAGGTTTCCGACAAGATTTATTGTTCATAATCATATCACGATAAGAATATGGACGATAAATTATGTCCGAAACTTTAACCAGTAAAAAATACTGTTTAGCTGAGTGATAAAATGAATCCTTGTACTTCCGACCAACGCCAAATCCGTGTAACGGAAATGATTTACTACCGATCCTAGATGCTGAGAGCATTATATTATGGGCAAAATGAAAGAGGGAAAAGCATTAGAACTATAAAGAGCAAGTAAAGAGGTTATGTAATGACTTTAACATGATGGTGAGAAATAAGTTGCACTACAACCGTAATCCCGTATGTGACTATAGAATACCGTTTTTTATAAGATGTGAATTAATGTAATATGGAATTATATTTTGTTACAGTGCCGAAATTCGCTAGTGAGATTAGAAGTGCTAACATGCATTCCAACAAGCTAGTTGAGATACACTAAAGGTGAGTTATTAAACGAAAGAGAAATAAATAGTTTCAAGGAAGATATAAGAATTAATCTCCTTCATATTGTTCAAAAGCTAGAATCACTAATTTTTCATCCTTTTTTAGCAAAATCGTTTTCAGTTGCTTGTATTACCCCACCGTTGATTGGGCCGAAATGATTGGTCTCAAGACTGATCACTTCAAACATCAGAACGTTATCCACTAGACCACCGAGTTCGAGTATCAGTAGGAAGAATATCACTCACTGGAAGGCAGGTACATCCAGCTGACGAGTCTTAAATAGGACGAAGTGCACGTCAAGCTAGCCACCATACATCATAAGTATATAATTGGAAGACAGGTAATATGAGTGGCTCCGCGCGGGATCCTATGTGCCAACAGAGACCTATCAGTTTGGCCCAATCAACGACGGGAAAATGCAAGTAACAATCTTAATGGGTAATAATTGTGTCCAGTTTTTCGGAAAAACCAGGGAGATTCTAATGGCAGCTACTACAAAAGTGTAGTAAGCTACACTTAAGCACCGTAATACCACTTTTAAATAACAATCCAATCAGAATAATCAAAATAATTTTATTTCTCAAGCACTGAAAATGTTTTTGCCTGGATATTTATGAATTTGTGATTAAATTTGTTGAAATTAAGTGTTATATGAATGTGATATTATCTAGGATTTATAAATTGTGGTGTCCTTAAACTAATTTAAACATGAAAGTAAAACGAAATCAGAGGTAATGAACAAACCACTTTTCAGACACAAGACAGAATAATACAAACAAATGAGACTTACGTGTTTATAAGTGTTGGCGGTGCAAGATTGATGTTATGTGCTCGTCTGTGTGTGTATGACTGTATTCCTATTTAAGTTGGCTAAGTAAATATCACCAAGTCATTGGACTAACAAGACCTTCATTTTATATTTTCTATTACTAGACTCTTTTATGTTGAAAATATTCTAAATAACCACCTCATAGTAAATGGATGCTGGATATAATCTGTGAATGACTATTTGGTGCACCTAAGCTACTCTATAACAATGGTCTCCAGTATTCTCTAGAATTGACATGAGAAGCACTTTAACAAGACAATAAACACTGCGAATTCTAAAACGAATCTTTTGCACCTTTTAACTATTCAACAATGTATGAACAAATATATTGGTATGAAACAAAGTGGATGGCTTCAATCTGTAGAACTGACAGTTCTGTTATCCAGTGTGAATATTACTTCAGTCTGAAACGGTTACATTCATGTACTATTCCACAAAGCAGCATTTACCAGATGACACATTAGACATACTAGGAGTAACTTGTCTAACAGAAAGTTCTGTGGATGTATACTTAGCTTACAGATTACCCTTGATGTGAAACCGCTTAGACTAGTGATTACTAAGGTGTCAGTATAGTCCAGCTGGTAGTTTTCCCCTACAGCTTAGCTAACAGAGAGTATAACAAGTAATGCAAGTGCCAGGAGTTCCAGTGCTCCATAGCCTAATCAATATGTTCACACACAGAACTATTTTATAAAGATATTTCCAATTTCTTGAATATTCAAACGCTTACAAATGCAGTCCGAGGTGGCCAGACTAAAACATGTCACCAGTGTATGAAGTCTCTGACTGTTGGTTTCAGCCACGTGGGACGATGCAGACTAGCAGGTTGGGGTCCGCAGGACAACATGAACCGCTGTCTGCAGACTCTAGGCGATCACATGGCTCAGAACCGATGTCAATGGCACACATGTGTACACACATTATCCTCATCTTAACGACGCTATACTGAATCTCACCATTTTCCCATTCTTCCTTTCTCTCTTCAAGTGCTTTATATTTCTTTTGACTGATTCCTCTTTCCTTCGTCTTCCACCTGATCGCTTTTTACTTGATGTGGTGAAATGAGGTGTGACAATTCGAAACGTTACTCAGTAATGCCTCGTCCTATGTTGATTTGGATGGATATGCATTTCAGTGTATCTAAAGACAAAATGTTTATGTTAAGTTCATGAATCATAATTTAGCTTCAGATCGTAATCATATATTCATCTTAGTTTTAAGACGGATAACTATTGCTTGGACTAGGTTTTAGTCAGAAATACTGATTTGTAAGTCGATTAACTAAAACAACAGAATTAAATCCAGTGATGACTTTTCATGGAAAATGAGATCATAATTCATTTCATTCAATAGATTTTGTGAGTGATAAATTATTATGTCAGTTGTTTTCAGTTACTAGTCCTAATTAGCACACTCTGTTCTTACTACTTCTCAACTGTATAGCTTTATACTTATACAGTCTAAGCTTTATGTTCCTTTCTAGATGCATCACAACTTTTCAGTTCTCCCCTTAACAATTACCTGTCACAATTGATCGGGGGTAAAGAGTGAGACAAGAAGTCCTTTGTAGAGTGAAGCAAAGCAGACCAAATAAAACACTTTCTTGAAGTCAACAGTCATCAAAAGATAGATTAACGTCTACACTAAAACAAAATATGTCATGAAAAAAGTTATAAGTGATGGTATGATTATGATTGAAGGTTCTGAAAAACTTGCTTTCCTCCAAATATTATAACCCAAGTGATAAATTGTCACTATGGTAATAATTTTAGAAGTTGATAGGACAAAACTAGGGTCTAAACTTAATTCAACTAAGTGGATTCTGTAATGTAAGCCATAAACCACCTACTTATAACTTGTTTAGAAAATACTATGAATTCACCTTCAGTGATTATTCTGAAACAAACACATGAACTTGCATACGACTAATTCCTCAGGCATTTTATTTAATATATAGCTCTAAACAGGACAAAAGTGCTTAATTTTAAAAATTACTTACCTTCAGTAATTCATTTAATCGGAAACTAATCACTTCCAGTCAAGTATTCAATGCATATAAAAACAACTTAACATCATAAAGAAGACTTTTATAACATTTATTTTCTGAAACATAGTTTTCTAGATATATATTTCCCTTATATTTCTTTTTACAATCTAGTTGGTGAGCCTACATCATGCAATTTGATATGTCTGCACAACTCACACTCTATTCCGCATAGGTTCAGTTTACCGGATGGTACTCCATGTTATTCACAAAGAGATGATATATGCATTAAAGGCAAATGTTGGGTGAGTTGAGGTTTTTACACAAAACATTATAGTATAAAGTTAGCTTAGTTCATAATTGTTCCTTCTTTTATAATTTATTTAGTCAATAGCAATAAAATAACTTAGAGATGCTTTCCTTAGATAACTGAGTATTGTAGTATTATATGTTTGTGAGTTTATTGGTCTTCCGATAATCTTGCAGTCTTCAAAATTAGAAAAAGAGATTTAGATAGTACAGTTATATCTGAGAAAGGTTGCATTACAAATGCCTTTCGTAGCAGACTAGACAGCGTGAAATCGTTTACTGTTCAATGACCAAGCAATGCATGTAATCCAGTCAATTCTACATTACTTGAATCCTGTTGAATTCTGTCTGGAATACCCCAGTGGTAAAGTTATTGTATACATTACTAGATGACACAGGTTCGAATCACTGATATGACATCATTTCCCTTGTAACTGCAGAAACATCTTGTTGACGAATCCCAACAAGCATGGAACCTAAGTCTAGATCCTTCCACCTACTGCCCCCAATCAAGTGACACTGAATTTTACTGAGTATAACATTCACTTGTTGAAATAAAACCATCAGTATTAAAATTCAAAACGGCAGTTCCAAGTGTTCTGAGGGAAATTCGCATACTCTTCACTTATCTTATGAAACATTCAATCCCGTAAATTAGTTGTCTAGTTTCAAATTACCTTGTACTCAGTTCTCAGAAGTGATCTCAATATTCATGAATACGTGTTACCGTAGGCAGAATATTTTATAGCTATTTGTATCAGGGGTTAAAAAATAATGAATGAGCGGAGGAAATTACGTAATTCAAATGAGGGTTTAGAGTGAGAAAATAAACAAGGGGTTATAAAAATAAAGATATAATAACATACACAGGATTTATCTGTGACAGTCAAGTTCCTGCAATGGCCATGACAAAGATAAGTGCTGAAAGTACTTTTTTTGGATATATAGGACCTGTCCGAACTTCTGAATGGCTAGTGCTTCAGCTATACCCAAAAGCCTTGATCTCACTCGCTTCGTATGGTTTGATCGAAGCCTGTAGAAAACTTTGAATGAGTTCTCAAAAGGAACTCAGTGGCCTAAGTTCATAAGGTGTTCTGTTACTGAGCTGAAGTTGCATTTCCCTCCCCCTTTGTTAGCCAGGTTGGGTGGTGTGTACGAGCATATTTTACATGCAGGTGCATGGTACGGATAATGTACTCAGTGCCACAGAAGAAAGTAAACTGGTATACAGACACTGATTTGGTTTAATGCGTTAGAAAAACAAGCTTTGGCACTAGCCATTCAGAAGTTCGAACCAACGCTGTGTCCAGAAAGAATACGTTCAGTCTTTGTCCTTTTCATGGCCATCATAAGGGCTTCTCTGTCATAGATTAGTCCCGTATTACGTCACTGTACCTCTTTTTTCTAATTCCTTGCTTATTTTCCTACTCTAAACCTTTATTTAATTTACCTAACCTCCCTTCGTCTTCAATATATTTTGACCTCTGATCGAAGAGAACTCTGGAATCCTCCACTTACTGTGACCCGAATATTGCGAACAGAATACGCATTACAGTCCTTAGATAGCGGTGTTGAATTTAAGGAAATCTTCAGACCCAGTTTACACACTCGTTCACATATCACACTGAAAACTTAGCTGTAACTCGTACAATAATAATTTCCTAACTAGCAATGAGGCGAAGCATATATCATTATCTCCCTTTTATGCTGATCTGCTGTGCCCTAGTCTCTTTGTATTATTAAACAATCCGTTACCTTAATTTCGTCCAATGAAAATTTCAGGAAAAGTCATATAAAGTCTAAATTCAAGGTTCTGAAGAAAAGAATATTAGGGAACAGGTAGAATAATAAACGCCACAACTTAACTCTTACGCGCCAATGATAGAATTCAAGCAAAGCCAGTGTATTCTGTCAGAAACTATATATCAGACTCATGCTTTAATAACTAGTTCATGAAACTAGACTGCTTTATGGCAGCCCACTTCGACCTTGGACTGCCAAAAATCTTCCACCTAACATTTACGTCAAATTCTTTCCCTTCAATTTGTTTTAATCATTTAAATATGTCTTCTGAACGTGTCATGTAATCTTGCACATTTTTAAAATGCTTTCAAATAACCGTCTTACAAGTTAGTAACAGAACGACGAAAAAGCATCACTTTAGATGGAATTGGACTTTTTGATGTGCAAACATATATCATATTTCTATCTCCCAGATCTTTAACTTGATTCGTAGATCCTTGTATTGACTGAATAAATCGCCACGATGAAACTTACGCTCGCTTTTCAGTTCACTATCCATTCTTGAAGACACGATAATGCAACACTAGCCGACGGTTTTACAGTATTACCGTTAAAACTGCTATTCCTAAAATCATTAGGATGCAATTATCATTTTGTATGAAAATATTGCCCTACTAGTGACTTCGGTGAAATATTAAATGCTAGGAATTCTATATTGTATCAAGTATAATGGAATAAAGAGACTAATATTATTGTCATGAAATGACATTGTGTGGTTACTAAAAACAATAACGTACGTCAAGGGATTGGAGAAAATAAAAAAACTCTGCTTATCATAGGCTAAACGGATCATACTGTACTTGTATTTCCATAGCTTTTGCTTACATTGAACAGTTAGTTATCTGTTTAGCCCTAAATAAATACTATATATCGTGGGATAGACACAAAGATTGAAAAACCTGGAAGTTGAAAGATGAGTCATACATTGTATTCAGTAGATAAGGAACTGAATTAAACGCCATGGCCATAATACGACCTCAAAAGTAGTTTATCATGCATACCTGTATTAAAACTACTATAAAACCTTTTCTGTTCATCACATCTTTTCAGGAAACTGGTTGTGATGGTATCCTAGGATCTCGTTTACGCTTTGATCGTTGTCGAGTCTGTGGTGGAGACAATAGTACATGTGAAGAAATCAAGGGAGTTTTTAATGGGAATGCTATGACTCCGCCTGGTATGCATTTACGTGGTAAGTTTTACATATTAACTGTCTTATCAATTAAGTAGAATTGTGTTTTAAAATTTATATACTATAAACTTTTTTAAATATTTTATTTAGGCTTAATCACAGCTGTTCGTATTCCTAGGGGAGTTACAAATGCATTCGTTCGAAAAGTTTCCGATCGAAGTACGCCGTATTCTTCGGATTCTTATGATGACTTCATGCTATGTAAGTTGTATATTTTCAGTGAATAGCCAAATTCATCTTTTCTTATCCCTCCTTTTTTCAAATGCTTAAATATTTCCTAAAGAGTTTTAATAAAACCATTATTGCAAACATTACGAAATCAACGTAATAGAAAAGAGTTTTCTAATTCTGTTTTATGTTTGACAAAAACAAGGGCCACCTGTTTCTTATTAAATCTCCTTTCTTCATATTTAGGTATCATTTTGAATTGTTCTACAGTAAGGCAACGAACAGTTGTGAAACACGGAACTCATTTTATGTAGTATAGAAGTGGTAGACGAAAGGAAACAAATTTCCTACAGAAGACCTGTCGTAAAGAAATATTGATGGCCTCCAACTCAACTCTCAGTAAATTATCCCTAAGAGACCACAATATTATTACTGTTATCTTTTGTGGTTGCGTTAGTTTATTTCAATAAAAAAATCTTGTAAACGTCTACCGCACAACTCTTATGCTAGATTAATGAATTAATGATATGAATTCGCTTTATTCAAGATTTATTGAGAGCTAAAGACCCTTAGATATCAACTATAGTCAAACATGAGGTTACTGTATCATTCAACGGCAACTGTCTTCAATTGTGATACAAAATTATCGACAGATAAATTTTAACAAAAGAAGGATAACATTTGCAGAATTTCACAAATACACAGTTTCAAAGTACAATGCTCATTAGAACGTAGGATATTCTAGAATTAGGAAATCAATAATCTCTAGTGATGGTAAATAAATAAAGAGTTATGTAATTACAACGAAAATCAAACAGGAGTGAGAGATTAGACATCCTCTCCTTCTGTATGTAAAGGTCAGATTAAAAGCGTTTCACTGTGATTACTTTCGCGAAGGACAGTTATCCAGACATTTTCTGTACATTTATAATTTTCTCAGAGGCACTTGAGTTTTCGACTTGATGTTCTGTGTCTATAAAGTGTCTGGCGATTGCACTGATTCGAGGTTCACTTTCTTTCAAAGCACAGATTCTTGGGAGGATGCTCAGTAGACGGAATGGATGCGCAATAAAATGATAAATAATGTGAGAGGTGGATTCAAATTTACTTTTGGTAGCAAGAACATTGAAAGGACTGAGAGGAAGCCTTTCATTCCATCTACTGAGCATCATCCCAAGAATCTGTGCTTGAAAGAAAGTAAACCTCGAATAATTTCCCTTTCTTATATTTCTTACCTCTTTATAATTCATTCTCTACAAGTAATTTAGATTATCAATGATTATGTTGTACAACTAGAGATTATTGATTTTCTAGTTCTAGAATATCCTACGTTCCAATGAGCATTGTACTTCGAAACTGTGTGCAGTTGAAGAATACTCGTGAAATAAAATGATATCACTTTCCTCTTCAAATCTCGTCCCTTTTTCTTTGTTAAATTATATCAAGGGATCCAAATGCATGAACTTTTTACGCATAAATGTTTACTAAACCATTACTAGATTTCCGATATTTCAGAAAATGAAACTGGTATATTTTGTCCAGAATTTGAAGTTTCTCGTTTGCTTTGGCTAACTAAAACTACGTAAGAATGTATATTTAGCGAAAAATTGATACTTTCTGTTTATACCATTGAAATGTATACAGACTTAATGGGGTTTAACCTAAACAGTTGATTGTCATGACCATAACCGTTGTATTACATTCATGAGTAAAACGTTTTGAAATATGAAGTACTCTGCTTCATTTCTAAGAACTTATTATACCCTTTTTTTATTAATACTACAATTACTTTCCCAATTAAGTGATATTTGAAGAATTAAAAACTCAAATACGCAGAGGTGAAACAAGAGAACCATTCGCTGGAGCTGAACTTTACTACAGTGGTAGTCGAAGCCGTGAAGAAATTGTCTCCATCACTGGAAGGCTCAATAAAGATGTAAATATTGTTGTAAGTAGAAACTTTTTCCCTCTGTATTCAGTACTTGATAAAAAAAGATGCGTTTTAGAGGACTATGACATAATTTATATTACTTACTACAAAGTCAAGTAGTCAGTTCATTTAAATCACGACATCTTATTTGTGTACGTCACGGTTTTTATATTTCAAAGGCCAAATTTTATAGTCTGACATAATTTCCCTTTTAACCAATTTGTAAGTACACTATTCAATGATACAGTGATGATTCTACTGAGAGCGAAGATGTTGAGCTCCAGATACAGATAACAATTATGAGAAATTCCCTTGATCTAATGATAAAACATTTCGAAAAAAGTAGCAAAACTCAAAGAACATCTAGTTATTGTATTGACAACTTCACAGAAAAATAATCACCTATCAAATCTAGATATTTACACTTGCTGAAAAACAATAGCTCAGTCTTAAATCTTCATCTGTCCGTTCTCATATTTGTACATGAAACTGCTACAAAATAGTGTACTTACCGAAGTCTGTTGATTATGTTTTTAGTGTTATCACTAACCTGAATAAGTCACAAAACACTTGTACGTTGTGTCAGTTATAAATCTTGCAACTAATCCGATGAAATCTTGTCTTCCACGGCATACGTCACCGACGTGTATATGTTAAATCTTACTTCCTATAAGATATGAATCTATAGTAACAAGTGCCATATTCGTAAATTTCCCCACTAAGCTGTTTATATAACGACTGACCAAAGCTTGTACTATAATCTTGCAAAGAAAAGTATGTAATTTTTGTGTCTAAAATAATATTCTCCATTATTTTACGCATGATAGTGACTCCTAGTCAGCACAACATGAGTAACATGGATTAATCGTACCTCCTGCGTCAGAATATTCACAGCTAGTGTGTATCATGTCAATCCAATCGATGACTTATTCAGCTCTACCGCATAAATGATTACTTAATGTAAGATTCACTTCAACAGTAGCTCGAAGTGTTTATTTCAAACTTGTTGTATATAGGCTGTCAGTTTACATGATCACCTTAGTTCGTATGAGATTTTGAGCCACACTGAAGCTACAGTTTGATACAAATTAAGCCTAACCTCTGACAGTAACAACAAAAAGGCAGTTTAAAGGCAAAAGTTAGATGAACTTATGTTAGTATTTTGAAATTTCCTTAGACAATATTAATTGAATTGTAATTACCTGTGTTGTCATTCAATCAACACAACTATCTTTTTGATCAGACACTAAACTCAGTAAGACTATTCTTGTTTGACTTTACATCGAGCGTATTTTTACACGAATTAGGATATAAATGAAATCTTTGGCTGTTATGTCAGAAAAAACAAACAATGTAAACATGAAAACATGATCTGTGCCCGTATGATAATTCGGTTCTTATTACTTCATAGTTAACATGGGATAAGGTAATACTCAACTGGTGCGTAATTCCAACTACTATCCCCACAGTACGTACGTAACTTCACTGTTGGAATTCCGGGGTCCTTTATCTGTCTGAACTATAGCTAACTCCTTTATCTGACGAGATGTACATCAAAATAGGATGTATTTAATCCATGAAGAGTTAGATTTGCAGAACATTCGGATGATGAGATGAAGAGACCGAAACGAAATCTCATAAGTAACTCAATATTTCTTTTTGCACAGTAAAAGCACTAGTTACAGTATGTAGCTCTTCAGAAATCTCATGACATGTAGAATGTCTTCATTTCCATGAGAATGGTCACATAAATATGACATCAGCAAATATAATGTGCACCTACGGTTCTTTTTTAGTCATTCATGTTTTTCGAAAAGTTTTATATGTTAGAAGTCACTTAGTAGGCTGCCCAACTTGAAGTACGCTAATCAGTGTCGCTTAGCTATTCACCCCCCAAGTGACCCACGATGACACTAGATTACGTACGCAAAGTGATCACTAGTACGTAGTCTGTGTGACTGTCCAGTCCTTACTGCTCAACGTTGATCGTGGAATAACAACTAAGTTCGTGATCTGGTCAATAAGCAATGTGATGCGATACTAAGCAATTGAGTTATCTATCCATTGTTTATCAACTAGAGAAACCATTTTGAAAAAGTTTTAGTTACATGATTGTAGCTGAGTGCCTTTAATAAAGCTTTCCACTTCGTTATTCCTGAAGACAGAAATCAGGATATTGGTAACATAATCTAGACGAGAAGAAGATTAGTTATTCTAACAGTAAGGGATTTATAAACCTAACGTCTCTATTGTAGATACATAGGCCTTGATTCTAAAACGTAGAATGCTGATAAGTCTGAACGGGAAAAAAAGAAACTTTATTTTACTGTTGTTTAATTTGTTTGAGTTCTTCCAACCAAATTAGTTTATGAGTAAAAGGATCATCATATTGATAACTAGTTGCTTTTTGTGATCACATATTTATTGCAGTCATCTATTCTGACAATAAAACATCCAAGGTTCAGCATCAAAATTCTAAGAAGATACAACACAGTTTTTGTCTCTAAGTTAAACTTGAAGTCTTTTTCTACTACTGCGAAATTATTTTGTTCAAACCATCAGAATTGTGAATATCATGTTACCAGTTTGATCACAGTACCCACAGAATCATAAAGAAAAGAGATAATTAGGAGGAAAATTCCCTTTTCAGACGAAATCAATTTGAAAAGCTGTACTGTCGTATATATATATATATATGCTCTTGTAATGTAACTAAAACAAGACAGTTAAGCTTGTAGTCTGGTCCTTTGTAATGATCAAAGTTAGTCAATATGCTGTTGAAATTGCGTGAAATGATCCGTTGCCATGAAGGGATGTAAGCAACAAAATATGTATGGAGGATGATAATAGTAGGATACATAGACTGAATATCCATCTCTGTGTTTATAAATCAACAAGGCTTATTCCAAAACCAAACTTCTTCAATCACTCACAGACATAGCCACCAAATTACCATTTTGTTTCCAAATAAACAATAAACTACAAATTTAGATCACTTGGCTAACTTTTCATGAAACTGGTGAATTTGAAAAGTGCTCTTTGTCATTTTCGATAGTACTTATTAATGAGAATATCTGAGATGTCCATGGTTTGACTAACTGAACTTCCCGCAAAAGGATATTGGCAGGATGTATATCAAAAGCCTTGGTTGCTGTGATATTCCAACTAGCAGCCTCTTAGATATGCTTAAAAAACAACTAGTCATTCTTTTTTTATTTCTAATTTAGCACAATTCAGATTCATAAAAAAAGATTTGATTGAGTGGTTGAGCCCGTAGTCTATAGCCTGTAGATAATTGGTTCAAATCCTCCAGCAACCATACTTACTGATTCCCCTCCAAACATCACTCCATTGGATAAGAATTCATATTTACTCACGCTTTATAGTCAGCTTTGTTATTTGGCATGGTAATAAGTGAGATGCATCTACAGAATCGCAACAAACTATTCTCAACCTTTGTACCGTGCATGAACCATCATCTAGTTTAAAAATCTGAAATATATAAAGAAACAACCTGATTCCACCTGTAACTTATTTTGTACTACATTTACTTTGTACTTTATTTCTCCCAATAGATTCGTGTAGAGAATACACATACAACTCAGTCATTGCCAACAGTGGAATACAGTTATTTTATCGATAAATCTCAACAGAATAGCCCATTATACTTTATTGCTGAAAATGAAGCCCGACTGGCTGAAGACAGAGTGAATCGTCGTACTGGAAGATCCCAGAATGCTGTCTCATTATTTGCAGAACCTGATAAATTAATGGTCCCATTGCAGAATAACCCTACCAGTGAGATAGGACGTCAAAGAAAGAGACAAGAGAAACCACAAATATATTTTGTTTGGAGGATAAGTGAACTTCCAACTGGCTGTACTACATGTGCAGGTAATCAATAATTGTGCATGGATGTTATATTCTGTAACATATCAAATACTATGCATTCACAGTATTAATTTTTTTTAGATCCCACTAACTACAGTTAAAAACGTTTGCTGTTATACTGTTAGGAAAATTTATGACAACAAAACTGATAGCCATTATGACATGTGGCAAACAGCCAACTTATTTGACAGGAAGTTTCAAAATTATTGGTGGCTAGGTATCCTATAAAATTGTTTTAGTAAGCAGCTGGACTTGTAAAACTCCTTCTTGGTAGTTTTATTTCAATTTCACTTTTCCAGTTTCAGTTAACATGATTGGAGGTTTTTTTTACTACAAATAAATTTAAAAGTAATTTTCATCACACATGGAACTCAAATGGCAGTATGGGAATCCTCCGCAATTCGCATCCTCGATCTTACCAGGGATCCAATCTAGGACGGTCATATCTTGCGACGAACATGTTGCCATTCAGCCACTTGGTCAGAATCCAATAGTTCACACTTCCCTGCTTGTGTCACCTTGTTATATATAGGTAATTAGAAATGTAGGTTATTGTATTCTAGCCAAGTGGCTGAATGGTAATGCGCTGACCTTGATATTCCCGGCCTCGTGCCTCGCTAAATCGTGGGTGCATGCTGCTGAGGATTCCAACAATAGTGCGAAACGGCTATCCAATGCTCTCACTTTCTTAGCTATTCGTTAACTAACTTCAGTAAGTGACGGAAACTACTTTCAAACTAATCATTTCGCTTGAACAAACAAATGAATACGAACAAATCGTCAAAGATTGTTCCCACGCTCTAACTAATAAGTGAAAACAGGTGTTGGTTGGTTGCAGGCAATAGGTTGGAAATCATGCCCAATATGACCTTTCTGCTTATCAGCACTCGTCAGTACAGCATATATCCAACCTCAAAAGAACTGATGTCCCCTCTGAGATCCTAACCTGTCTCATATTCAGTGCTATGGTCAACGACATTACCACTGAGCTATTCGAGTCCTGACTGACCCTTGTTAGGCCTGAATTAAATGGGGTGATTGATCACTACACAGCCTTGTTGATAAAGGTCAAAACAAGCATGAAATCTATTTCCAAGGCTCCCTACGACTGCTTGTAATCAACTTACACATACCAAAGTGAACCGCGGTGGTGGGCTTCCTAGCTTGAAGGCCATATTTCAAAAAGATCGACAGAATACTTTCAGTACTCAGGACTAGATGATGTGAAGTCGGGTGCTCTTAAGTGACCAATCAATCGAGCATAAACGTTTCAATCTATTGACGTAAATTTTTGTGTTTCTCAAGTAGTATGTAACTTTGCCGACGGTTATCTTATCCTGCTTGCGCCCAACTACAGAACTGATTGTATTCAGTCTACTTAGGAACATAACTTCCATCGAGTGATGTTAAACTACAGTGGAAATCATAGGCATACACCACATCAGCGATAAAATAACTACAAGTTGAGCAGATCAAGTTTACCATAGTGAATCCAGAGCGAAAAACCAACTTTTATCAGTATTCCCTCAGTGCTTTTAGAAGTGCTTTCATTCACACCGAAAAAGTAACCAAAAAAAGTAATTTAATTACTAAACAATTTGTATGGTAATTATCTCATTCACATACGAAATGAAATTTATGCATTTCATATCTAAAACGTAAACAGTGGAGTGAGAATCGAATTTCGCAATCCCGATAAATGTAACACATTTTTTCGTAAAAGTGATGATTATCAGCTACCTAAATGAAGAAAACCAACTTATTAAAGTTATGCTGTAGAAGTGCTAAGGTTCATTATAATTTCTGGTGATAAATTGGGGTTAAAAATTCATCTAATCAATAATATTGTACCACCATGTTATGTATCAGATAAACTAAAACTTAACATGGAATTATATCGTGCAGCATTACTCAAGTTCTACTCTTACACACTAAGAATCAGCTTCATACAAATCTATTTCAATCACTACCTTGGTGAGCTAAATGCCATAACCTCCAGAAGATACTCAAAACTATTAAGGTTCCTACTAAGATATATAGATGAAAATCATCGGGAACCACAAAAACCTTATGTTTCCCCTCAAAAATAAATCCACTAAACTTAGTTCCAAAAGATGAACACTAGAATTATTGAAATATTATTAACTGGTTGTACAATAGTAATATTTAAACAGACGGGTCAGTTTGTATCAACAGTATCATGTTTTGCTTTTATAATGACCCCAACCACAACTTTTGTGGGAACTATAATCATTTATCACAAGAATCATCATTTAAGAAATTTCTTAGAATAACTAGCGTTTTTATCCTTATGACTGAAAATGAACTAAATAGATGGATTGTCAGTACGGTCACCACTTAGTATCTGTTTATCCTTAATTTATCGATTTTCAAAATATAATTCACCATTCTCAAATGTATTTTGATCTAATTTACTTCAAAAGGTAAAGTAGAACTGGCTAACAAATTGTAATTATAATGCTATTTGCCAGAGTAACACAGCCAAGTTATGGAGATGGCAGCTTTAAACAGATAATAATTCAATATTTGTACATCTAACAAACTGGTGAAGCACATCTTGTTAGAGTTTCTTCCTGAAAATAACATACAAGTTAAAAGCAAACAGTTCAAAGAAAGTTCTGCCCAGCAAGAGTACTAAGTCGAAGTTGAGAAAGCCGAATCACTGATTATGATCTCTTATCTTGCCGACACCTTAGTCCTCTTTTCTATCACTTAAACAATATCACTTACGATATGGTTCTTGTTCATTTTCTCAGCTTATTAATGTTTGTGATATCGGTCAGAAACTAGATCGATTTACATCTGAAAGGAATTTTGATTCTTGTTTCCTCATTCAAATCTTTGGTTTCCATTCAAGAGTCTCATCATTTCTGTTATTCTTTTGTGGCTAACATTTTAACTGTAACAAAATGAACTGCTTTTATATTGTCGAACATCAAGTAAAAACCTAATCGGTTAGCTGTTTTGGCAGGTTGTACTACTGAAATTTAATGCAATTAGCTTTTCAGTATAAGCATCCTATTACTATTACTTCTCTCAAAGAAAGTTGCCAACAAGTAAATTCTTTATTATATTTCTATAGGGAACGTTACAACACATGCAGAATGTTATCCATTAGTTCCTAAAGAATCTGAAAGAAGTCAATTCTCACAGTTTGATCTCTTCAGACCAGTATCTGATTATCGATGTTCTTCTACACCCCGACCTCCACCTGTTTTTAGACGTTGTTCAGATTATTGTGGTGTACGATGGACAGCTAAACCAGTACCAACATCGAAATCATCAAATAATGCCAATGAAATTCATACAAGCAGCTGCTCTGCACGATGTGGTGAAGGTCACCAAGCTGTTTTCTATGTTTGTGAAGAATACATTGTACCTGCTGAGCAAAAAGATAAGTCAAAAGGGATTTGGAGACCTGCTCAGCTTGGAGAAATTGTATGTCATAAAGCAGGCCTAGGAAGTGCTACTTCACAACCAGCTTATATAACTTGTAAGGGTTCATGTTATCCAGTATACTGGACCCTATCAAACTGGACAAAAGTAAATTCTGTTTGAAAAATATTTTAAATGATTGAATTATGCTAAAAAATAAGCGTCTTACACTTAAAATTAAACAAAGGAGTACATGAGAGATATACATGGAATACTTCCAACCTACTTCTGCATCGATTCTAATGAGATAGGGAAAGGGAATATGAATACTTCATAAGCACCGTTTTTATGAAGATTTTGTTTAATTTGTGCGATTTTACGTCTTGAAGATATAAGACTAGTCCTAGAATGTACACATTTGAGTAGAAACTTGCTTAATCATTGAGTTTAGTGCCCCAGAAATTAGCAAGCCGTTAGTAATTTAAACATGGAACCAGTGAATACCTTTCTCAATTTTTCCCCTGGTTTTCTGTATGACTAGAACATCTAGCGCAAATCATTCGATTCAGAGATCTGAATCGTAAAATCGGATCGTACAGGCTGCAATACTAGAGAGCAGGGTATAAGTTGGTCAATATTTTTATCTGGTAATTAAAATACTCTGATCTGAATGGTTGGATACTAGCCTAACTTGTTTTTATGATGCTGATTTATTGCTTCATTCGGTAAAGCACCTATCACAATGCCTTTGGTTGTCAACAAAACAACCTTGAGGTATATTATTAATATCGACTCAACTTGAGTGATACTACTGTGATTCGTTTACAGAATTAGTTGAGAGTTTACCCGTTGAAGTCAAATCATCAGGAGATACTAAAAATATCAGGAGTGCCATCCTAGTTACCTGCGACCGAAATATGATATTGAATTGTCACTATTAATGCCTCTAAGTAGTCATTTTTCAACTATACTGCCTCACTGAAATCTAATGGTTAGGATTCTTCAACCTCAGGCTAACTGATACAAAAGTCACATAATCGTGAAAATAACTGCTTTTTTTACCACATTCAGTCACCATTGGTTTATACATACAATCCCTTTAAACAGATTGATAAGCAAATCAATGTACAGGGGTCATACAGATTAAGCTGATACACTCTACTAAAGCAAACAAACGAGAGGTGAATCGAAAACTAATGAAACTAAAGGACAAGGAAGTATATGAAAGAAGAGAGAATAAACAGATTTCGGTTGGGAATCACTATAACACCTCCTGAACTATATTACGAAGAGTCTCTAACCACTAATTCTAAGCATCTTGAAACTAAGGCAGTCCTAGAAATTTCTATCAGCTCGGCTATAATTGGTCGTTGCAATGCGTACAGGTAAACACAACCATATATTAGAGCGAGACAGAGCAGCAGGACTAAAGTTTAGGAATGGATCTTATGCGAACTTGATAGACTCGAAGGTCAATTCTGATTATTCGTACTTGTATACCCTTAAGTGCGGTACCAAGGAAAAACACAAAAAAGTATTCAGGTGGAACGGTTCATTCTATGAACCACACCGAAATATCGGTGCGTTCCAACTAAATGGCTAGAGAATTGTGTACGAGAAACGCAACGTAACACTACAAAGTGTCAAATGGCGTGGATTATTGATCTTATGTCTTCAGCTTAGCGAGTTTGTTAAAATTATGAAAGTCAGCATGGATGTTGAATCTAGTCAAACTAAAGGCTAGTGACTATGAACTTTCGCAAAATGTTTAGTAGATTATGATGATGACATTCAGGCAATGAATACCGGGACCTCGTGGTAAACAGTCCATTCAAACTTTTTATGAAATGATAGCTTCTTGCTGGAATCCCTTAACTTTAAAGCATGAAGTTTGGAAAAAAAACTTACTAGGTAGTTTTAGAAGAAATAAATCTTTCCCACTTTTTCCTCGATTTACATTGCCATTTAATTTCTCATTTCTTGCAGTGTTCACATTCTTGTGGAGGTGGAAAACGTAAACGAACTCTTCAGTGTCAAGATGAGATAGGAGAAAATTGGCCGATTAGTGAATGCATAGTCCACGGTGAATCAGTAGTTCATCATTTAAAAGCACCAAAACAAGTAATTACTTTCAAGTTAGCACAAAAGATCATTGATGAATATGATCAGAATAATGATCCAAATAAAGTATCATTTGAGCATAGCTTCTATATTGAGGAATTTACTGACTGCTTCTCCTTAGACGATTGTCGAAATGATATAACCTGGTCTGTTAGTGAATGGTCTGAATGTGAACCTTTAGATGACAAAATGAAATCAATCTGTCGTTTATTTGATAGTAATGTGAACCATGAAGATTTCATAAGCAAAATGATTGGTGTCCACCATCGCAATGTTTCATGTTTACTGAACAATAACGATAATTATCATCCATCTTTAAAGAAGTATATCATATCTGAACAATCATTATCTAAGCAGACTATAAACAGAAAAAGGTTGAATTTAGAATTCTGTCGTAAAGCAAGTATACTAGGAGAATTGATTGAAGAACCATTTAGCCGGGAAGCATGTAATCAACTTATTTGTTACAGGTGGGGCAATGGACAAATGACTTCGGTAAGCTGGAATTAATATAATACTTCGGGTTTGTATCACTTAACTGGTCTGTTAGAATTTATGCATTTATTCTTTAAATTTTAAGCATATACACAGTTCTGATTTTCTAGATATAACTATCAGCGCCAGTTAAGGTTTCATCTTAAGCGTATACAGACTGCCTGCTACATTTTAGTAATGTTCTTTTCCTTATGAAATTTACGCATAAATATATAATGACTTTTTACAACCGCTAAATATCACTGAGTCAAAAGATTCACTAAACGAAGTATACAAGAAAACTTTATGTAGCTTACAAGTTAGTTCAGTGATTATTCGATCAAGGCACTAGAAGCTGATTAGATAGGTATGTAGAGTTGCTTATCTACTACTCAAATGTTAGCTGAACAAAATACTGTAAAAGAAATTAAGCCTTTGAAATAATTGAGCAGGTTATTGAACCTGAAAGTTAAAGCCTACTAATTTGAATGCTGCCGTTTCTCAAGTATTTCTTTAAATTTAGCCAATATTTTCAGTGAAAAAGCAGACGAATTACATACATTTAGCAAAACTTAGTCTTTATAAATTAGCGTAAAGACAATTTGGGCAAGAAACGATAGTGGGATAAAATGAACAAGTATAATGAATGTAGTTTATGTTCATTAGCGTTTTGGTGTAATTACTGTAATTCATAATTTATGTAGAGCAAATTACCATGACCCTAAGGTATATATATATACTAAAATAAAGTTTGTATTTCGCAGTTCCAGTTACTTTTCGTGTATTTTGTCAAAAAGTTAAAACAGTGAATTACAACTATGTACCTGCAAATAAATGTACATCATAAATCAGATTATGCATGAGAGACTATAAAACATGTTGAGATTTCTAGTCTTTTGTGAAATGAAACTGGAAAAGGCGAAGTCAGTTAATAAAATTTACGTCCATCTATAAATTCACTAGTCTCATTATGGTTGATACTCACTAAAAAACATCTTGTATAACCATTTAAAAAAGTCCTAAACCTGTAAAAGTTACTTATAAACAAATAAAGGTCTTCAAGCCATCTGATGCGACTCTTTCCCTGACCACTATGTCACAAGAAAACATAATACTAACATCAACCCATTACTAGTTAATACACAAGTACTAATTCAGTGTATTCACTTGTTAGTGTAGTGACGAAAGATTTATTATGTTTCTACTGCATAAAAATATAATGACCATACAATTAAGTGAAAATTTACTGATCACATATGTAATGCGTTTCAGAGAATTTGAGAAGCCCTAAAAGAAGTTTATAAAGTAAAGCAACTTAGGAATACGTAAATGAACTTGCTAAAAGTTTTGAATTAACCAGAAATACAAAGTAAAAGTCACTATATTAAAAATTATTGGCTAAAGTTAACTGGTTTAGTCAGAAAAATTGGAAGCAACAATTCGATATCAAAAGGGATCGTTATTATACACTAACATGGAAGAAAAGTGGATTTTCAGATTAACGTTCTGTTTTGGCTATTTTCATTATGAATTCATAAACAATATTCTAAAATAGTGAATACCTAGGGATATATTGTAAATTAAACGTCGAAACAGAGAAAACAACATACACATAACACATAAAACGTTAAATATTTTTGGCAACTCAGCTGATAAACAAGTTTTTTTTTAATTGAGTGATCCGAAACAAAAGTTGATGCTTGCAAACGTTCTTCAAATTATGCAGATCTCTGATGAAGGCTACTTTGAAACTTTTAAGAGCTTAATATGCAATGCAAAAGTATTATATTCAGCGGTAATATCAAACAACCTAAATAAGTAGTTTTACTCATCATAAATTAAAAAATGAGTTTGCTATTACTGAAAATTGTATAGACTTTAAAAATTATACCAAGTCATTTGTACATAATTCATAACTCGAAAATGATTTTTTAAATCTTCAGTGTTCTGTCACTTGTGGAACAGGAATGAAACAAATTAAAATACCATGTGAACGGATTAGCTTAAAACATGAAACCGATGCATCCAATGAAAAGAAAGTTGTATTGGAAAGTATCGATATAGTGAATAGTGATAAATGTATGGAAAGTCTTCAGTATATTCCACGGTTATCTACTGATAAGATGAACAGAACTGTTTATGTGGAAACTATTGAAAGACAAATAATCGATAAAGATGCTATACCCTTGAAAATTGATGATATAAATCAGCCTATTGTTTTACCGTGTAATGAAGATCCCTGTGAATTACGAGTACCAGCTTGGAGAACTACATCGTGGAGTTCTGTAAGTCAACCTTTAGGTTATTTCCAGTGTATTTCATCCCTTACTGTACCACTTACTAAGATCAACAAATTTAAATCAACAATCTACTTCATAAGGTTTACGTGCAATTCACTATCCTATGTAAAAGCGTCTAAAAAACATATTTTGATTATATTAATAATGGATAGTGGCATCTGCACAGGGGCCCATATGACAACAGAGACCGACCGATTCGGTCCAGTCAACAACGGTATGATATAAAAACAACTATACTATAACTATACCTGTCGCACAAGAAGTGGCTATCGTGGCTCGCTTCCGATTCCGAATCCCGGTAGGAACAACATCACTCACTGGGAAGAAGGCAAATCCAGCTGACGAGTCCCAAATAGGATGAAATGTGCACCCTAGACTCCACTGCTAGCCACGATCCATCATTAATATGATCAGAACGCAAGCAATATCGAGGCATCCGCACGGCAGCTCATATGCTAATACAGACCGATCAATTCGGTCCAAGCAATGACGGTATGATATAAAAACAATTATATTTCGATCAATAAAAATTCCGTAGGAACCGATTTCCTCTCACTTTCATTTCACATAAATAATTGATACTGTTACAGTTTATAGTCTATAGATGTATGTAGAGAAGCAATGCCATAGAAATGTCACTGCATGAATTTTCAACTTCACAAATCACATACACAGTGTCAACTATGATCATTCGGAAAGTGAAAGAGATTTCATTTACTAGATGATACAAAAGAGTAATCATATTGTCTCGTTGAGATCTCACCAGATTCTAAATCAAACACAATATTTTGTTTCACTGTACTTATTATGAATCGGTAACAACTAAAAAACTACTGACAAGCAGGGAATATTGAACGACTGATAACATCCATTTGATATCAGTTCATGAAGAATACTACCTCAAAGTCAATCATTCTCTACAAACTTCCAAACTGAATCACTGTATGAATCGGTTTCCCAAAGTTCTAATGAGAAGCTATGACCTGTTAAGTAAATCAAGTGGGTTGTGAAGCCAAATACTTGGCAATGCATTGCATTATTATCACAACATATTACGCCTAGATAGAAAACATGAATTATAAGTCCTGATACATTGACTGGATGATAAAACCCTCTTCGAAACCTGAAGGTCGTGGGTACGATTCCTGGCATGGTGGTTGGTGAGCACTGCTAAGGAGTCCTATATTATAACAAAACGGCCGTTTAGTGCTCCCAGATTTTCATTGGTTCTCCAACTGATCTCAGTCCGTGAGACATATTACCCTGAAATCAATCAATCCCTGTAAATCACCATAGTGTATTACTGTCTGATCTTAAATAGAGTGAGAACAACAACTTTGGATCCATTTTACTTCACAGTTTCTCATCACCTGCCTACAGCTAAAAACAATTTTAACGTCAATTTACATAAGTGTTTGCTTACTTGAGTCAACTTGTTAGAAATTCGTTGGCTTGAATTAAGGATAACGTCGATATGCAGAACTAATAGTGAGTGGGATGAGGGACAGATAAATGAAAAGGTTAAACAAAATACATGAAAGGTCATAAGATTTATATTAATTAAGAACCAAGGTAAGTTGAATTCAGATAATTAGGTTATGAGTGTGATACGTAATCTTAGCTGAGAATTGATCATGAGTGGGATAATGCTTATTAATCAATTCCTCATAAATATCTCAGCTAAATAACACTACTTTTGTAGTAAATTGGAATGACTTTAAAGGCCACCCTTGCAAATGGTGAAGGGGCCAGTCAGGCTCCGGTATTTTGCCTAGGAAATTACTTTTCCATAGAAAATAATTGGCTACATCGTCAGCTGCTAGGGTAGCCTTTAAAATCCCCCATAAATTCCCCACACATATTCTGTAATTAAATTAATTTCAATACTCATAAGTGTTTGGACAGTTTACAGATTGTGAAATTAAGACTGCATAACAATTTATCTAACATGATTTTGTATGATTATAGGACAAAAGGGATCCCTATATACAATGGACCATTTATTACAGATTACAAAAAAGTTGGAAACGATCGGAACTACTTCATAAAAGCCACCGAATAATGGATGACATAGCAAATGATAAGACAAAGTTAAACTGGGAAAAATGAGAATTAACATTTAGACAATTATAAACGAAATTTGATATAGATTTGAAGTCTTGAATTTTAGCTGAAATCTGTTTATCAACTGTGCAACAATTTTACCGACCTCACAAACATCAAACCAGGGTGTTCCTTATTCGTTGTTCGATATTTATAGTCAGTCGGAAGAAAACATTTGAGATAAGTTTCGTAAAAAGTATTTGCAACACAAAAGAAACTCATGCTACTCAAAGCGTTACTCAATAAGGAAGTTACAGACGCTATAACTGATCTGGGTTCTACTACAATTGGTCTCATTGGAGATTCAACTGTAACTATAAATATTTGATGAACCGACAATCAATATACACCTCGAGTGGCGAACGGTGAATGAAATCTAGTAATGACTTTTTAGACTTCAGAATCACAATCTGACCCTATAGACTTGAACAAGCTGAGCATTTAGTACATAAGTTATGAATAAGATGTTTTATATCTGAAATCCAACCAGTAATCAAGTGTGCAATGTATGCTCACATTACTAGGAAATACTGCTGACATACTGATTAACGGGATGGGTTCGAACCATGTAGAGTATACTTGTTTCCTTCCAATAAATATTTAATGACACTTATTGCTACAAGTAAATTTATCACAACTAATAATATCTAATAAACAGTATTTTAAATAATTGCTCTAAAAACTTCTCATAACTATACTTCATTTTTAAACTTTATTTCTGTTGTCTTTCAGTGTTCTAGTTCTTGTGGACTAGGTGTTAAACAAAGGCAAGCGATGTGTGTCATCGAGATTCAATCAAATCAACCCAAAATGAACCCATCTAAGCATGATTCAGAAGTGTACACATCTATATTTACAGCGAGTCGATCAGATGTTGGAATTGTTGATTCACAAATTTGTCATACAGCATTATTGCCTAAACCAACAGAACAAGAAACTTGTCTTGAGGCACCATGTCCTGTATGGCGTACAGAGGACTGGCAAGAAGTAAATAACTATTCATTTGATCATATCAAAATTTATGGGAAATTTTTAACATTGACCAATATCACTTCAGTAATCAATAAAAATAGCGAAATCTGTATACCTCTGAATTTTTCACGACATCAAATTATGGATACTTTGCATAATTAAAATTATGATATCCAGGTACAATGTGAAATCAGTTAGTCGTAAACCCAGGCGGTTAAAGTCTACTTAACAATAATTTAGAAAACCACTCAGTTGAATAAGAAGCTAGTATCAATTCAACATTTTTATCCATTAAAAACCAGTTTCAACCTTCTGATCTAAGTTGAAATTCTCTGACTGTCAAAGACTTATATGACATTCAATCTTCCATAAAACTGTTATGCCTGGAAGTAGTCTTTCTGAAAAATGAACTCGTTAGAGGAATATGATAAATTCCTAGAGTCATTAAATGAAAATCAGTCCACTATATGAATGAGATAGAGTTGTGAACTTAATATAAGGCTTAAATAGGGTTATATGACCATCTTTCGTTTTTTATTAATCATCATAATTATGTGACTAGATCAAGTATTTTGCACATCAAATGGTATATCTGATCAGTTAGGAAATCAGATACAAATTAGTCATTTTGAAAATGACTGAATAGTTATTGGTAATACATAACAACAGGAATAAAAAATATATACACTTGTCAAAAAGACTCTAACCCCTTTGAGTCAGTCACATGTTCTTTCACAGTTTACTAGAAAGTAGTGGGCAAAATTTATGCCCTGTAGTAGAAGGTAATTCCATTTTTTAGTTGATTTACTACATTTATCACTAATTGAAGGACCAGTATTGCTTACTGGATTACGTTTTAGACATAATTTATTATCCGTAGTCATATCAAGATAAATACACAGCTTTGAGATTTCCTTTATATGGTCCTTGTTTCCTCTTCTCCTTTATGATTTTGACGGCAAGACTTCCATATATCTGGAACAGGTGCTGAGTCATTCCTGTTGCTGCATGTATTAAATGTTGATTCGATAAACAAATGATTCAGTTATCAATCTCTCCCTCTACCCTGTTATGTTAGTTACCTGCTTAATTTACATGTGTAAAGGAACTATGCATGAGCTCCGATTTCAATGTGTCGTCTGCATATCGAAACCATATTTTTGGAGCACATACATAATTTCTTTAAACATATAAATTCAGTAGTCAACGCAGTCCAACTTACCTATAGATTAGTAAATAGTCAGGGGGAATTAGCCACGTCGGATTGCAGAATAAAATGGAAAGAAGATGCAAATTTAAACAGTAGTGTCTACGGAAAATCTTCACATCCAAATCGTTACTCAGACTTCAAATCATCTCACCCCATGCCAGTTAAAGTAGGCTCAGTAAAGTGTCTAAGTAACAGGGACAAAAGCCTTACCAGTGAAACAGAAGATCTAAGACAAGAAACTAGATACATTGATGACACCTTACTTATCTAGTTACTCCCTCAAATTAATTCATAATTTCCCCAAGGATAGTAACAAAAATATTAATAACAGTCACTAATGTTAGTAATAATAGTGTTAATAATAGTAGTGGTAATACTGTGAATAGAGAATTCAAAACCTCTACAATATTAATATACGAAGAAGACACTTCAGTAATACTACATAGGATTCTCAATAAGGCTGGGATTAGAGTGGCATTTAAGCCTACAAACTCATTTAAAAACAAGCTTTGTAGGTTAAAAGGTCTTATTGTTCTAATTAAGCAGAATAACTTAGTTTACCAAATCTCTTGCAACGACTGTGAGGTTAAACACATAGGTCAAAGTAGTTGACCGGGCTCATTTCGGTTTTTCGAGCATAGAAAGCTTGTTAGATCAGAGTTGGTAGATCCCAGAAAGATAACGAATTTAGAAAAAAGCCCAAGTATAGCTGTGCATGCAACTGCACACAACCATGAAATTAGATGTGACTGGGTGAAAATCCTTCAAACTTAAATAACAGGGTAAAGGAGGAGATTGATAACTGAATCATTTGTTTATCGAATCAACACCTAATACATGCAGCAACAGGAATGACTTAGCACCTCTTCCGGATATACAGAAAATCTTGCTATCCATATTACAAAGGGAGTGAGGAATTAGAATTATATAAAGCATGTATCAAAGTTGTTTATTTGTCTTGATATGACTACGGTTACTAAATTTTGTCCGAAACGTAAACAACACTATTCCTTCACTGTGGGATAAATCTAACAGATCAATAAAAATGAAATTCACTAGAAACTACTAATAAAGCAAATTTCTACGGTCACTTGTTTTATATCCAGCTACAAATCACTAGTTTTTTTCCATCATTTACAAAATAATCAACATTCTCTTCAATCAAAATTATTACTTTCGATGTTGTTCTCTTTAATCAGTGTGATGGTGTATGCGAGTATGGAATACAACGTCGCCAAGTTCGATGTGTCATTGAATTAGATTCATCTCAGTTATCCAGCAATAACCTGTCTACAGAAGAAAAGAATGATTCATTAAGATTACTTTTAAATAATCCTGATTCATCTGCACTAATAAGACGCTCACGTTCAGCAAATGTAGTGGATGTAGATCATGAACGTTGTCGAAATGCTGGTATCAAACCGATTTCTGAACGGCCTTGTTTAATCAATATCAGATGTCCTTATTGGTATAAAAGTGAATGGTCTAAAGTAAGTCTACTTTTATTTAAAACCTTAACTTGAATAGTTTGATCAATGCTTTACTTAAAAACAAATAGTCTATTGTGACCAACAGATTCCTAAAACGAACAAATTGCACTAAATATAGCTTTTACGTTGGTGTGTAGACTTACATATTAGGCTACTAGTCTCAAGTGTTGTTCAAATCCCGACAATTAACTCCTTGAAAGAATCTCTCAAAGAACAGTGGAATTAAAAAGTACTGTTCACTTCTTTCAGTAAGAACACCTGAGACCTTCAATCTACATTGAAATAAATAAATGTATGTATTATTTATTAAAGGAAAGGTAAAATTCTACTGTAAGAGGGAGGTGGGATAAATTAACTTTGTGGGATCTACTTTTATTATACTCACCCAAAGGATTTATAAAAAGGAGTTTCAAGCCAAGAGACTATGATTGCAACGAAGAAAAATTCTTCTTTTAGACGAAGTCATTTACTAAGCTGTACATTCGTGAATAAATGTTACAACAACAACAACGTCACCCATCGGGTTCTACTATCTCCCGTATTTACGGTCTTCCCAAAATACACAAAAAAGGCATTCCACTCCATCCAATAATGGATATGATAAATTCTTGATATCATTTAATTGCGAAATGGCTTGTGGAAATACTGGAACCTGTAAAGAAGATGCTATTGAACCACAGTCTCCGTGATACATTTGATTCAATAAAGAATGTCAATTTGACAGTTAAATTAATGATTTCATTAGATGTCCTGTCAATTTTCATAGATATCCCACTGACAGAACCCATCTGCTTCCTGTGTGAATTCATTCAATGTCATAACATAGATACTGGTATTTCAATTCACTACTTAAAAGAGCTTCTCCTTCAATGTACCTTCAATTTACACTTCAGATTTAATAATGCGATCTGCAGGCAGATACATGTTGTGGCAATGGGTTCTCCACTAGGACCTATCCTAGCTTCGTGGCAAGCCTAGAAAACACCAAATTATCATCAACAATCAGTAAACTTCATGTCTACAAAAGATACATAGATGATACGTTTATAATTTGTGATGAAAATATGAATCTTACCAACTTGCTTCATACCTTCAACAATGCCCACTCTTCAACCAAATTCACTCCCGCTCAGATTCATAGATAAGAACATAAAGCCACAGAACCCAACTGAACGAACACATTTGGCGCAAAAAAAGATTCTTTTGTTGCGTCTTGGATTTAAAAATGACACTCCTGTGGAGATTCTGAGGAAACGGCCGTCAAAATCCTTGAACAAAAAGTACTTCGCCGCCAACCTTCCCATTATTTTCTCCTGCAAGAAACGTTTTGGTCAATCTATGAAAGGCAACCTGACGCATTGGGCCATATCAATGGGTGTATAGCAGTCTACTTGCTCTAGTGGAGTTGAGTGCGTCGGCTGTACCACGCGTTTGCTTGTAAAAAGTATCCACAAACACCACCGAGCCCAGTTGGAAAAGAGAGAACGGAAATGTATCATTAGTTCAATAACAGAACATCCCGTGAACTTAGACCGCTTAGCCCCTCTCGAGAACTCATTCAAAATTCTCTACAGGGTTCCACCAAATAACTCGAAGGGAGTAAGATCAAGACATTTGTCTATAGCTAAGTTCAAACCGGCGCCATGTATCCGAAAAAGTTACATCCAACCTTTATCTTTGCCATGGCCATCATAAAGCCTTGACTGTCATAGATTCATTTTGTATTAGGACACTACGTGTATATTTCCTTCAACCCTTGTTCATTTTCCTACTCTGCCATAGATTTAACCTGCACTACGTAATTACAATCTCATTTTCATAATCCTCTGTTTATTTTCATACTCTGTCATAGGTTTATCCCATATTACAAAATCCCAATGTTATTTTCATAACCCTTCGCTCGTTTTCCCACTTTGCCATACACCCATCCTGCATTAAGTAATTACATTTAGTTTCACAATCCCTTGTCTATTTTCCCACTCTAAACCCAAATATGTATTAATTAACTTCATTCAACATATTTTGCCCCCTAATCGGAAATAATTCTGGAACCTTCTACCCATTGTAACATATATTCACGAATATACAGCTTAGTAAATGACTTGTCGAAAAGAAGAATTGTTCTTCGCTGCAATCACGTCTTCTCTTTTCCTATGACCAAATAGGTATATTCCGCTGTTCAAGTGACTTACGCGAACGAACTAGTTAGTAGGACAAGAAGTTCACAGAAAAGATTTTGTAATTAGATTCGTTTTTAGTCTATACACAAAGTAGCTTATATACTGATGTGTCCCTGAAAAACAAGTAACTACTCAGTAGTGGCATGTACTTCATAAAATTTAAAACTAATAATTCAAACACTATATAGCTTGAAGTATTGCTGACGAACGTTGTGTGATACTGCTATGAAGCAAAAGCAGTTTCCCTGAAGTTGTAAACACACCTTAGTGATAGTTCAGAACAAGAATAATTTGAGCGAACAGTTGTTTTCAATAACTTCCACTTCAGACTCTACATTTATAAATCCATGAGAATAAGTGAAATGCGACAGACAAAATAAGGCATGATGTACAATTTTTACTATATTGAAACAGTCAGCATTATGGGTGAATGAAGATCAAATCGAACAGAATGGTGAAATTTTTATCAATCTAATGTGTAAGTTGTACTATGAAATCAGTACTCACAGAACAGTTACGAAATGAGAAGACAAAATCTACAGATAATGATTCACCTATATACATTTATTGGGGCATGAATTTGCATGTTTGTTTACTAAGGGTCAAATAATAATTATGTAGTTATGAGTTATATTCAGGTGGGATAAAAATCATGTGAAATAGAGAATAACAAATGTGAAGTTTTACGTCACGGTTGAAGATGACTACTGGCAGTGGTATGGATAAGGAAGGGCGTAAGACTAATAACGTAAAAAAATGTATATTTATCAATGTAATAACAATATAGAAGAAGGGGATGGGAGGCTAAAATGTGCAGCTTGTGGTAGGAAAGTTCATATTGATAAAAAATTATTAACATCAGTTGGAGGAATAATGGAAACCTGGGAACACTGGACAGCTGTTTCGTCCTAGTGTGGGGCTCCTCAGCAGTGCGCACCCACGACCCCACCAGGGATCGAACCCACGACCTTCAGTCCACGATGAATACTAACTTGAAAATAGTTCTAAATCCTCACGACTCCCTGGAAAAATTTATTGATAATTTTTCACAGTGGTCTCATTAGTTGATGTTCTTAAATTATCTTTTTGAATCTTGAACTGAAGCCTCTCCTATAAGTACTCGTCTTTAGTAAAGCAAATACAAGTTGTAGCAGATTAACGTTCTGGGTCAATGGCTTTCTTGAAAGACGCCCCGAGATTACAGTTATTTGTGACTCTGCAATAGGTGATTTGGAGCCAACTTCATGTTAAATTCTAAAATATTGACATTTGGAAATGTATTACACAAAGGTTCCACACAAACCTCTTCTAAAACTATCCTTTCCGGTAACTTATTTCAGAAGAAACGACCTAATGAAATTGTTTTAGCTCATGTTTCAGGCCTTCATAAGGTAGTATGCACTTTATTCTTCCCAAAAATGTAAGATATTCATACACATTTTTTTAAAATTTCTTACTGTTTTAGTGTTCAGTCAAATGTGGAATGGGTATGAGATCACGTCAAGTGGATTGTCGTTTTCCAAATGGAACTTTGGTTGATACAGAGATAATAAACAACAATCAGACGGACTTCCAAACTTCAGAAATATTCCCAATACGCTCACTGCAAAAAGTTGTTGAAAGTATCAAACAAACAAGTGTTCTGAGATATAGTTGTAGTACTCCACGTCCTATTGACAGTATTGCGTGTAAAACACGTCCGTGTAGAAGACGCGAAGTATTCTGGTGGCCTGTTACCACTTCTGAGGTAAGTAGAAAGCTAAGAGAAATTTTGAGTTACATATGATGAAAGCAATTTTAATTCATTGATTTCATAACATTTTTACTGATGATAACATCCGTATTTCAACGTGGAAACTATAGTAAAAGATTTGCGTCAACTGACCAAAAAATAAAGTTATAAAATCAACATTACAAAGTCGTTTGAAACTGAACAATCTGCCTAAAACTCACAAGAAGACATTTACTTATCAGTCTAGTTTAAATGGAATATCATTTCATATTTCTAGTTTCCTGATTAGCGGATGACAGTGGTCGGTGTTTAGGCTTGAAGTAGTTGTCGTAAATGTTCCGCTTTCGCACTTCGTGCATCTAGCGTTCTTTCAAACGATTGTCGCTTTATCATCATAAGACGAAGTATTGAAACCAATAAATATGAGAGGCATTCTAAAAACGATAATGAGGTCTAACAGAAGGCTCCTTTTAAATTTGTTATATATTCCTTTTGAAGTAGACATTTGTCTCATAAGTGATTCTTAGAAATCATTATCTTCATTATCAAGTAATATTAGTCCGATCAAGCTCTTCATTTAATAAGCGATTACATTTAAATATTTAATGCCATCAATCCTAATTAGGGAATATGGATTTGTTTTAAATGGTAATCTCCTCCCGATAATGAAATGTGAGATGTTTCGGGGACACTTGTCATGATAGCCACAGAATATGCAAAGTTTTTACTGTGAAACACTTAAGTATAATATCAAAAAACGAATTTGAAAACGTCGACAATCATACTTCATTATGTGGTTAGCATTTACAATGTTAAACAGTAGAATATGACCTAATATTTAAATGTTATCATGTCCAGAGAAAGACATCGATGTTTTGAATTACATTCCAAACGGAGCCATGCGATAAAAAGTAAAACGCGTCTTGTATGTCTTGTTTTTAACAGAATACACATAATGTTAGCGACTTGAGACTAAAATAGATATATTGCTTTATTGAAAACTTCTAGAATATCACACTAATATGAAGACAGTTTACTTAAAAACTTTAAGCCAAGGCGAGTTAAATTAGAGGACTAATTCATCCAACACTTAACTGTACTGAACACTAGTTACATCATAAAGTGATTACCTTTGTAAAGCCATATTTTCCTAACTATCCATAAATATATATGCTACGACTGGGGATATTGGTGATCCCATTACTACTCCTCTTTTTCGACATATTTTGTCCTGGGACTTAAAGACTGTGGAGGTCAGGCATAACTGTATGCCCAATATAATCTCATCAACCGATATCTTAGTTCTGTAAGTTCTACTTCAATATTCAGTTGACTTCTGGCTGCCTCCAGTGCCATATTGACTGGTATTTTAGAATACAGACCATTTAAATCGAAGCCATCCATTTTTTCATCCTCTTCTACGTGTAGGTCACTAAGCTTAAGTTTTAACTCGTAAGAGTTTACTAGTCTGGAATTTGAACGGTTCCTAATAGGGCATAATATTGAAGCCAAGTACTTTGCTAGTTCATATGTTGGGGTATTTCTGAAGTCAACTATGGGTCTAATGGGATAACCTGATTTATGAACCTTAACAGTGCTTTGCAAACGTTTAGTCCTACACCAAAAATATGGTGGCGATATATGGATGACACATTTACTGTGATGAAATCGGAACATATCGACAATTTCCTCATGCATATAAACTCAGTAGTAAACGTAATCCAATTCACTTACGAGGTAGAAAATGAACAAGGAGGATTACCTATCTTGGATTGTAGAATAAAACGAAGAACAGATGATGGTTTGAATACTACTGTCTGCAGAAAACCAACACATTCCAACAGATATCTAGACTCCAAATCATCCCATTCAATGTCATTTAAGGCAGGATTAGTCAAATGTCTAAATGATAGTGCTAGTCAGAGCAGGAACCTAAACAAAAAATTGAAACACGTAAAAGAAGCGCTAATAGTTAATAATTATGCTCCGCAGTTTATTAAGAAATTCTTACGGACACAAAAAACTAAAAAGTAACAGTCACACGGGTGTGACTAATAACGACAACACGAGGAAAAAGTTCACAGCCTTCTTTGTATTACCCTATAAGAAGGATACCTCAGAAACTTTACGTAGAATCCTCAACACAGCTGGAATTAGGGTGACATTTAAATCTGCAAACTCACTCAGAGATAAACTTTGTCGGCTTAAGGATCCGATAGAACCAATTCAGCAAAATAATATAATCCATCAAATTCCACGTAACGACTGTGAGGTCAAGTATATAGGTCAAACTAGTCGGTCGGGGTCAGTTAGAATAGCCAAACATAGAAATTTAGCTAAATATAGACTAACATGCTTAAATAAAATCAATAATCTAGAAAAAACTCGGCTATTGCTATATATGCATTAACACACAACCACACAATAGGGTGGGATAAAGCCATTGTACTTAGGTCAAATATAATTAGGTAGAGATTGAGAGAGATTGTTTACTGAATCTTTTTCCACCGAATCAACACTCAACACATGTAACAGAAATGACTCAACACCTACCAATAAAAACAAATCATATAAGGTGGCGGCATAACTATAAAAATCAGATGTCGAAAGTAGTGTGATTACATTGATAAGATTATGAGTAATAATAATTCATGCTCGAAATGTCATCAAGTGAATAATACTAGATCACTGTGTATTATAAATCAAGTAAACCAATCTAATATGGAATTAATTTCTACCACAGTGCCCAAGTTTTACACCTATATTAATAAAAAATGTTCATTTAAAAAATATAAAACATGGAATGGAATAACCGTCATGTTTCGAAGTCAATTTAACAAACAAATCTAATTAATTTGACTCACTTTAAATACGGCAAATTGCTTTCCTAATAAGTCAGTAGTCATATCTGTGACTGTGGTCCTGAATAGTACATGCCAGAATATTTGAGTATATTTGAGAATATTTGAGTCTTTTTTGTATCACAAATGTCTCTTATCGATGACATAGAAACTTTCGTTGAGTAAACCCAGTCACTTATACATCTAGTACTACATTTATCTCATTATAGCGTCCAGTCACTTAACTTGATATTCAACCAACAAGCTACAAAAAGCTAAACGATTCACCTTATAATAAATATTTTTGGCCTGTAAGTAGTTAGTTATACGCTTTGATTATCTAAACCCAGTAGGACCAATACAACTAGATTTTGATGTCCTGTTTGTTCTTGAAGACTACGCAAAATAGTCAGTTAACTTACTTTTCTAAATGTTGAGATTATTTCAGATAGTGAAAATTGTATGAGGCTCTATGAGTCTACATTTCTTCTTTTTCTACTGCTGATATCATTTCTAGAGAGGCAAGCAATTGTTCCCTTCTACGTAATCTAAATGAGCCCAAAATCGATTCTTCTGTTTTCAGTATTGAAAAAAATAGTGTAATTTCTTAGGAAATCGTTTGTGCAGTTGATAGCTGGCAGTTGACGTCGCACCAGCGCAACACAAGTTCAGACATCCCTACACTTAACAAGGCTTGGGCAACCAGGTAGTATCATTAGCACTCATGCAATAAATATGGTCCATTGTCTGTTGCTGAGTGCTGTTTGCTTTCCATTTAAATGGTGGAAGAAACTAAATGACTTCCAGCATTATATCCTACTCCGTCATATTTATGAACTCCCAATGCTGATTACTCCGTGATGTATGTTTCGATTTAGGCGGCCTTACAAGATATCTTGAACATCGTGAAGTTATGATTCATTTATTATAACTCATTTTAAAATATGAACTGAGTTCTGTATTCCTTTCACAGAATATTGTTAAACGGTAAGAGATAATGGTGTATTAGGAGTTATTCACAATAAAATGGTATGTAAAAACCGCTTACTGAACAAAAAAATCTCTGATTCTTCCTCACATTCATAATAACCGAAGTTAACTGGGATGTGGGTTCAGAGGACAATACAGCTATTACAGAAAAAAGAGAGCGCTACTGAGCTCCGTTAGTTATTTCGTTTTTCCATGTCCTCCTTACACACGATTAATTAGCTGTCTTCAAAATTATTATACTTGTATCTTGTGATTCACTTTTCGATATATTTTATTACCAAGTGACCTCACCCTTTGATCACTGTTTCCATTTTTCATGAAATGGTTAGACGGCTACTACTACTGTATAGCTATGATGAGAAGTTGTGAAAACAGTCCTCATCGATAGCCAATGTTTTTTTAGTTGAAATAAGCCTTACCAAAAATCAATGTCGAATATTTTTTCAAACTGCTAAATTTTATTGTTAGACCTTATTGATGAACACTCAATTTAAGCGAAGATGCATCTACTAAAATCACAAAAAAAGGTGAAACAAAAATAAGCATGAAAGCGAACAATCATAGGACCTAATCATCACTCTTCTGATTAAAGTATAGGCATGTGGAGATTTGTATCCATGTATCATTCGGCAGAATCTACCCTTTATGTATTTAACATTGTCCTTCCACAATTTTACATAATAATCTACACAAAGGCTAAAGTCACCTTATTTATGGTGATGTTCAACTTCAAAGAATACCTACCTATTAGAAGTAGTAAGATAATAAACCTTACAAGTTTTTGTAATTATGTTATTATTTATTTTATTTCATCTTGACTCTGATGAAAACACACTTAAATTTATATATTGTATTAACTGTTTTAGTAACGAGGTTGAAAGATTTGAATTCACTGAGTTAGTCAGTGTCGTGACTCAAAAGTTCACTATCAAGTAGAGATACATTATCATGAATATATTGATTATATCATCATTTGTCCCTTGGATTCCAAGTGAAACAAAGAGCTTCAATAACACATCTCCAGTCTTTTGAACCTGGCTCCAAGACTGCCCTAAAGCTTTCATTTCTTCCCCACATGATCTCCTCTTTGTCAACCACAGACGCCCAACTCGTCGTTCCCCCTTTGCTGGCTTTCCTCACTTTTGAGTTGAATCTTGCTGTCAAGATTTTGATCCCGCAGGAGGAAATTCATTCCCACTGCATGAGAGAGAGTCTTCGATACTCTTCGGAATATCATGATAGCCACTCCACAACTCAGTGTGCTCGTGGTTGTCGTCTGCATGACAATATCAGAGTAGATTATTGACTCCTCTCCAGTTGACAGTTTGGAGAGTCCACTTCCATTCCATCTGCAGATTCCTTGCAGATTCTTAGCACTTTTATTCTATATCTTCTCATTTCTTTTGCAATCTGACCAGCTTTGCCAGCCGGCTTCAGACAGCTTGTGGACATTCCATGTCCCTATGTTTACTTTCGCTTTCATGGGGTGAGAGGGAGAGAAGACACATTGGCCACTTGGCTTCCCGAATGCCTTCACCAGCTGGCGTCATTTCGCCTCTTTGATTCCAGCGAGGAATGAGTTTAATTTTAAATTTTATTTTTTTTGTGCTTTGAAGTTTTTTAAACGATTGGGTTGGTTTTACGGGATAGGGTTGTTAATCCTATGCCCAACCTTCTCTTTCTATCCGGGCTAAGGACTGGCTAGTAACTAGTGTACTAGTTACCTAGGCAAGGTTATAGTTGCTCAATCCCAATAACGTATGAACACAATTTGGCAGTAACATATTCAACTTAGTATTCGTTGGTTTGATGCATGTGATTGATTTCTGAACGAAATTTCATTTGTAATACCAAAATATTATTAAAACCGTGAAATATAAAGCACTTTGGGAAATTTTAAGAAACAAGAACTCTAAGGAAGTATTTCCTAAGTTAATTTGCTTCTTTTTAGAGATAACAACACCGAATTCGTGCATATGATAACAAACTGTCGTAAACTTATCATTAAGAGATTGGATAATTAAGCAACTGAATACTGACTATAAATAGCTATCTGTCCAGAATTGCCAGCAGATGAATTCAGGTGACTGGTTGAAAAAAATTAACGGTGTAACTCTGTTGTAATTAGACTTTAGAATTTCAAGCTGATAGATAAGACACTTTAGTAGAAGAAATAGCGAAGTCTCGACTTCCATTAGTATCTTTTCTTTGTCTTTTCTGTCTTACAGTGTAGAGTAACAGGATGTAAACTGGATAAACGTGAACGAGTTATAAAATGCATAAATCCAAGACGTGGACCAGTTCATGATGCAGCATGTAATCATTTAATCAGACCAGTAAATTGGACAATTTGTGAATTGTTTACGTGTAAAACTTTTGAATGGTCAACAGGACCTTGGAATTCAGTAAGTTAAACTTAATAACTGACTTCTATCTTTTTTTTATCTATTGAATAATACCTTCATAATGTCACTAGAAAAGATCACACTACAATAGAAAAAAAGATAATTCAAATGATACTAAAGATAAGTGGTGTTAGAACTAAAAAGGATCTAACTCTTCTTGTTTTAAGCTAATAGCTTTCAGGGACAAGAAATTTAAGTCATGTTTTATTTGAAGAAGTGAGAACGAAACTTAATTTTATCACTAATTCGATTTAGCACAGTGCTTCTATGAATTTCAAACAATTATTTTACATTATCGGAAACACTTTCTTCTCAACTGAGAACTGTAAACTTGGTAACAGTTGTACTACGAGCACAGCAATACTTTCTTAGTTATGGCTAGGAACAGGCATATTTTATAAGTCTTATTACTGATATTCGAGTGACTTTAAAGGCCATCCTATCAAATGACGAAACAACCAATCACGTTTCTCTATTCTATGAAAGATTATCTTCCTAATTAAAATGCGGCGACCTGATTGGTTATTTTGTTAGCTATTAGGATGGCCTTTAAATTCTCCTCTGATATTCATGACATAGTGCGCAATAAATTTGACATATTGCTAACCGACCTACAAAATATCACTTTAGTTTCAGGACGAATAACATTATGGGCGACTTTAAAAATCACCCCAGCAACAATCGAAATGACCGAATAGGCTTCTCCACTTCGGCTGGAGAGGTAAATTTCCATGTGATCAAGAAGTCTAATTGGTTATTTCAGTTGTTTCTTCACTTTCTAAATAACTACCTTCGCAACCGAAATACCAAGAGTTGACTGGCTATTTTAGCACTTGCTAGCGCGGCCCTTAAGGTCTCTCCAAAAAAAGCGTGAGTAACCAGCCTGTTAAGATGTCTATGATTCTACGGCCTTTGAAAGCCTAAATGGCCTACTAAGTGCTTTTATAAACCTGAAGGCTTATATGTTTCCTATTTACTTTCCCGTGATCCATATCGCGTCAGTTACTGTTGCGCTTTTTCAAAGTTCAACACTATACTTCACTGGATATTATTGTGGTTTTTTAAAGAAGAAAAAGACATTGGTGAACAATACTGTTTTCAATTAGATCCTCTTCAGAATTTTCTTCCAATATAAATTGCTAAATATATATAAAATAAAACCAATCATGTAGATTTGTCGGTTGATGTGATGTTTTAAAATAACCACGGTGATAATATTACAAATAACGAAAATGATAACATACTGGGTTGGATCCAGCGACCACCGAGTTACCAGCCCGTTGCTCTACCAACTGAGCTGCGAAGTCCGACTGCTCACCAGATTTTTATTTCACTTCAATCACCATGGGTCTCGCCTGACTACCATGTGAATTCATGACGCGTCGCTACCGTCTGATCATACTCACACTGGCTGTCTAGTCAGGACTTCTCATCTCAGTCCAAATCTAACTGAATCAGAGAGGGAAGCATCATATGGATTATCATTGGACTATCTGAGATAGCCGTAGTTTGGCAGACTAGTATTTATGCTGGGTGATTAAAGTGAAATAAAATTCTGGTCAGCAGTCGGACCTCATAGCTCATTTGGTAGAGCAGCGGGCTGGTAACCCGATGGTCGCTAGTTTGAATCCAGTCGTGGTTCAAGTTATCATCTCACCTTCAATCACTACCCAGTATCAATACTAGTTTGCCAAACTACGGCTGTCTCAGATAGCCAATTGAGAAAAGTATAAAGCTGACTAAAGTCCATGCAATATGGATGAAAATGCAGACACTGATAATAATCAAAGTGGGTCTAAACCTTGCTTGTGAAAATAAAAGTTACGTAATACCGAAGGACAAAGTAAGTGGATAAACAAAGTCGAAACGAACACAGTAAGTATATGAAACAGGTAAGAAGACTTTTGATGATCAAGTTGTTTACTAATTATTCTTTGGACAAGGGAGAGATAAGAGGTGTACAAACTTCTGGATACAAAGACTAGGATTATCAGCCCAAATTCCCATAGCTTCGAATATGTGCAAAAGACGAGTTAAAATACCTTTCAAAAGATGAGGTGAAATGCCACAGATAATCTTGAAAGCACTGTTTTTATCTACTAAGTGACCAATACCGACGAGATGAGATAAAATGGCACTTCTGATGGATTTTATCCGTTCCTTTCCCAACTGTGAAAGCAGATGCTGAACAACACGTATGAGTTATCTAGTAGTACACCCTATATGGCTGTCCCACAGGATCGGCTAAACTTGTAAATATACATAGAAATGGCTAAACCAGATGGCTCATCTTTTTGCTTGAGCAACAAAAATTGGTATTATTGTCACAATAGTTATTTTAAAACATTTGTCACACTAACCGATAGATTTGCAAGACTGGTTATATATATATATATATATATATATATATATATATATATATATATATATATATTCAAGAAAGAAAATGATCTATCTGATGTCTTTTTCTATTTCCTCAAACACTTTGAGGCAACTCAACGAAGGCTGCAATATTTTTCTCTTGATTTTAACTGTGGTGTGACTGAAACGGCATAATGGCCTATCGATTTAATAAGCTATGAACTTCAGTTAACTGGTAATACACCGGTCACAAGTTTCTCATAGAGGTCATTATCATATGCGCAGAGTTTCTAGTATGCCCATATTTATGCAACTGAAATAAGTTCAGACATCATGATCCTTATAGGATTACATTGCCCTATGAATTAAAACAATGCATATTCATAAGAATTACTGTTTTAAAGCATACTTTCCTCGAAATTCACCTTAATATGCATAGCTTTAACTGCGAGCATACATGTTGGTAATGCAGTATTACATCCTAATATTTTGCCTCGAACAAGGCAAACTTGTACTTGAATATCTGTGTTTGTGGCTAGTAAAAAGCCAGATAAAATTAATATTTAGCTCAAAGTTACTTCATATGACTGGTATTCAAGGAAAGAACAACAACAAAAGATTTGTGATCATTTGTAAATCTTTATTTATTCCTTTCAACGAAGTTCAAACTTATGTTTGACACAAAACAGAAGCTGTATGTGTTTGGAAAATGTTTATTTAACACTTATCACTAGCATACATAGAGATTTTATCTATTTAGTTGCCCAAGTCGTTTTTGTTCTCCACCTCTATCATACAATCGCTAAAAATTCAACTTTTATTTTTCGGTCATTTACTCAACTCAGTATTATCTGTTATTACAGGTTATAATCGTTTCTTGATCTTCAGCTTAATCTGGTAGTTGACGCTTGATGAATTTAACTTCACCTGTCACTCAGTGCAGGTGACTTGTACATGCAAATAGATTCTGCAGAAACTGTATTTCATCACTCATCATCATAAAATATGGTCACAGATAACAAGAAGATTCAAAGAGGTAGCCTTCTAAACACATATGACACACCTAACTGTACTATTGTTGCTTAAAACTCAGGAAACAAAACCATTGATGCAAAGGATAAAAAATCAGATATTAGTAGATTTCCTGTATCCTAGACATATTTCAAGCCGAAAGAAGAATTCAACGATATTTGAATCGACAAAGAATAATATTTTCAATAACTTCTTCCTCACGTTCTGCAGTTATATGTTTACCTTGTTTAATTTCGCCTTAACATTCAGACAATTACTTATAACAATTCTTTGGGATTATTATGTAGCCTGGGGATTCTCTTCAGAAACGACTTGTGTGAAGGATAATGTCGGAATCCAATATAACCAGGATTCATTTCAAAATGATTAATTTTATAGATGATTATACCTCTTGCATAAAACTCCATAAAGTGGGTGTCGGAAAGTTATTTTCATTATTTACCAGGATCCTATCGACTTGCCGAATGGCACTAGGCTGTGAATCTTCAAACTGAAGAATAGGTAGCAAATTAATATTCCAAACGACCGAATTTATAAATTCAGTAAAAACACTTTTCGCCACTGCAGGCACCTTGACACAATTCACGCGTCCTATCCCAAGTAGCCTAATTTTCGTTTTCCACATAAAGTCTCTTCCACCGTCCCCATAATCTAAAATAATTTTTCCTATCTTTCTGGCCTATTTCTTCCCCTTACGTCTGAACTACCATACCAAAATATAGTTTGAGGTTAATGGAGATTCTGTTTTGAGGCAATGTTCATCGCAAACTGATATCAATTGGAGAACTGTCGAACACCTGATTGCACTGGACACTTGTTTCGCCCCAAGATGAGACTCCTCAATAGTACACGCTAATGACCTTGCCAGGTACCGAAATTAGGACCCTCCGGAGTTCAATAATCCACAGCTTCCTACTTCTATCACTTCGTAATATAGCACGACCATAACCCAAGGTCTTCAGTTGTCATCTGCTTCAATTCCGACTGGTTGACCACAAAGGTCACGGCTTCCATCAGAACTTCTGGAAATCCATCTGGAAAAGCTTCACTAATGAACACTATACAGCAATACAGTTTGAGGTGGTGTGCCGCAGCGTTCACCACAGACTGACATCAGTTGGAGAACCATTGAAAAACAAACTACTATTTCTTAATTATCTATATTTGTTTGTCGCAACCTACTTTCATACAAGCCAAGATGAACATAGGAATCGAAAAATCAACGTATATGTTTCTCCTCAACTTTCTTATAATCTAAATTTAATGAGATTCCCGTCCATTTATACAACCTGACCTAGTGTTTTTATCAGACTGTTTTTGTTTATCTGATTTTACTTTCATACTCCGCCGCATTTCAATTCCCCTCCTACTTATGGCAGATTTTACTCTTAAAAATATTATCATCAATGTGAATATAATTCATTTAACCTTTTAATGTTTCGCAAGACACATAATCATCTACACTATCAACTATTTCCAACTAAACTGTCGTGAAAATTGATTCTGACATTACCTTTCACAATCTTTATAATATCAACGAGCTGTTATAATAAATCAATCTGTTCTTAAGGCATAATTAATTAATATGGACTTATAATTGTAGAACATAAAGAAGAAGTTATTGTAAAGAATATTCTCTATTCATTCGAATCTTGTTCGAATCACAGTAGGAATTTTCAAGAAGCTGAAGGGATAAGCGAATGATCAGTATCTTCAGAAAGCTTCGAATCAGTGCATACCTAAAAAACTGTGACCTCGAAAATACTTTTGAAATAGCCATCTTGTGAGAGCAGCATCGCTAACTTGTCGGTATCAGAAAAGAACTGATGTGACGGATAACCAATTAAATGCCTGAAATTGCCGAAGCTGTAGAAAGATGACTCTGGTGAATCGAGTGCATCTAGGTTGAAGCATATTTGAGCATTATAGGTAAATTCTCACCTGGAAATATGATAAAATTTGAACCAAGATCCAGACTCTTGAGCAAAAACATTGTCTGGTAATTAAATGGAAAGGAAAACACGGAAAAATGGTGAATAAAGGATCGGTTGGCAGCGTTTTCCAACCATTATATATATATATATATATATATATATATATATATATATATATATATACTTAAATATCCCTTCATTTGAATTATTTCCGATTCCTAGTGTCCAGATACTTGTGGATCAAGAATGAAATATAGACAGATTACATGCGTAGATGATTTAGGCAATGAATACTCTGAATCATTGTGCCCAGCGAATCTCAAGCCTAATAGCTGGAGTGTCTGCCCAAACTTATGTTCAGGTATGTCTTTTTCTGCTGAGTTTTTTCCTAAGTTAAGAAGGTAATTTTCAAAACTTTTTGTGCTTTTTTGATAGTATTGTGTTCCTTGAGCTATATGATTAAACCGTGGAGCTTTCATTGTAATTCTAGACAAAATCACCAGCACAAACTTCAGAAAGAAGTGATCTATGATGTTTTCTCCACAATTTAATCGGTAGCTTGTTCTGATGATCATGTGTGTGCTTAACTGTTTCTGCTAAAGTCTTGTCATTATCTCTGTACTCATTTCTATTGATTGTCCTGCTCATGTCAACTTTCTGAATGGTGGATAGATTGGGTCAATTTCAACATATCTGTACTGATTGCTGACTGACTTGAGTACCAAGCTTGTCAAACTTTTCTAGCATTCTTTTTATTTCCTGTATCCAGGACTTCCATATTTTCTCAGTTAAACTCATGTCCACAGTTATCCATATGCATTGATATGAGCGAAGATATGCCATGATGCTTCACTATCAGTGAAGACGGCGACCACTCTGTACGATGTAGCATCTCCCGCAGTTCCTGCAGTTTATTTTTCAGATGATATCTGGTTTGTCTTCCTTTGCTATTACATCTTTTGGTCTGCATAACAATGAGTGAAGGGGTTTTATGGGCTTATTAGATACAATGATTTCAAATGACTTCAATAGTCTAGTCATGATCTCGGAGACGTTCTTCTTTTAGGGTAGGATAATCTGCTTTTTGTTATTCGAGGATGACTTCTGGGTTGACGACGAATTATATAAACATCTTTTGATGAAGTTAGGTGAATAGCTGTTCTTCTGGGAAGCATTCACCAAATAGTTTTCTTCTTTTCTTCACAAGGTTGTTGTACCATAGTGTATCTTCCCTCTTCTGAACAATGTTTTCATACAACTGACCTTGTATGCTGTTGTTGATACTGTGATTAAGGATTTGATCCATATGAGTCAATTTTCAGTAGACCCCAGTTTCCGATTTCCCCAAATCCATTATAGTGATCAGAACATCTAAAAGTGCAAGTTTATTAGTTGATTCCTCTTCAGTCGTGAGTTTGATGTCATCGAAAATTTTGTTGACTAGTGTGTAAGCGTTTTTCACTTCGTTTCTATTGATGGTGACAAACGCGTCATCTACACATCGGACCCAAATTTTGGTTTCAACAAAGGTGACACGACAGTTTCTAATGTTTACATTACTGCCTCTGCAAATAGTCCTGATATTGGGAATCCCGCTGGTGTTCCCTGTGTCTGTTGTTAGAGCTTACCGTCGAAATGAAATGAGTTAATTCCATCAAACTGGAACTTTGGAGTCGTGTGTGTTCCGAGTGGTGTGTATCATTGGCGAGGAGAAGAGTCACTGTATCCTTAGCCAGTGTCGATTCAGTTGACGTGCATAGAGCTGAGAGTTGGTTGATACTCATATCTATCCATGTGTAAGTCTTCCACCTTTTTGATGTAATGGTCTACATCTGTGTGCCGGAACTGTAACGACGTTCTTTTTATCCTTCAGTTTCTTAAGAGCCGTTTGTTCAATACTGGCTGGCTGAGTGCGGTCTTGCCTCCACCTGGTCAGAGGTACGATTACTGGTAGTATTTCCAGTTGGTTCTTAAAGTTTAATCTTGAATTCTTCAGTGAGGACTCTAGGGATGTGAGGAATTCTGGTCCATATTGCAATATAATTCTTTCCGAGTGGTAAAGACACTTATCTGTATGATAAGTTTCATTGATCAAATTATTCTAGTACTATGAACATACATAGTGAAAAGTTCAGCTTTACTAACAATATATATACATGGTTTATGCTTACGTATGACGGATTTTGATCAGCTATGGAATCCAGTAACCATATACCCCTCAATTACAGACTCGTTGGCTTGATAGATCAGCCTGTTGGTGATTGATCTTGTCCCCACGAAGGCCTGAACCCTCTGCCCACTTATCGCTTTAAACACCAGAGTTTATCTACTAGAGTACAAATTTATGAGAGTGACAATTTGACCGTTGAGTATAGTTTGATTTTGAAGCTTCTGCTAGGATGGAACAATTAACTTCAAATTAAAACGTTTTACGTAGAAAGGTGTGTTCAGATGACATTATTAGAGAACAAATAGTTTCAAAAAGTAGAAGATACCTCAGCGTAGGAAAAAAAACCGCTGTCTGTGAAGTTACATGGCGCTTGGCGACAATCAAAATATGAACTGCTCCTTATGCCAAAGAAATTACGGATGACATTTCTACTTTGGCTAGAAACAATGAAGTCAAAGAGGTCATAATCCACTATGCTTAAGTCTACTGTTTCAAAAATTCTTTTACTCTATTACTGATGGACAGTGGCTAACAGTGGAATCCAGGATGCACGTTTCGTCTTGTTTGGGATTCGTCAGCTAGATATACCTGCCTCCGAGTGAGAGATGTTGTTCTCACCAAGACTCAAACTCGAGATTGATTGCTTCAAACGACAGAGCATTATTTACTAGACCACCAAGTTTAACGTTTGGAGTGATCGGTCCTGAGTTCGAAACCCATTGTGAACAATAACGCTCACTGGGGGGCAGGTGCATCTAGCTGAAGAGTTCCAAACGGGGTGAAACGCTCATCTAGGGTTCTGCTGCTAGCCATTATCCATCAACAATATATAATTCAAACACAGGCAATATAGAAGCATCCACACTGGAGCCCATATACCTGTAGAGACCGGTCAGTTCGGTCCACTCAGCGATGGGATAATACAGGTAATAACATTATTTTATTTTGTTTCTAGAAATTCACTCGTCGTCAAGTAGTGATTTGGCATGAAGTGTTGACGGTTCTGGATGTGCAAGCTTATTTAATAATGGGGTTAAACCAGTATTACTCAGTGACTTTCTGTTAGCGTCTGGATATTTAAAACAACACTGCTTACAAGTGCGTTGTTTTATCTACCTTTCTGAGGCTAAAATGAGTCAAGAAGGCCGTCAGTAGGACGTAATCACAATACAGAGCTCACTAATTTTAAATGTAATATCAGCAGGAGATAAAAACTGTCGCTAAGATCACTCTAGTCTAAATCTAAACATTTCAGTACTGATATGGGGTATTATGTTGCAAAATTATCTTTTGAAATTAGTAAGGCTATTCAGTATAAGAAAAAGTGGAGTCAAATAACTCATCTATGACACATACATTCTATTCTGAGGCATAAATGGATATAGCTAGAGGTTTTACGCTTCAGCAAATATTAATACGTTACTTTGAGTTCAACATATATTATTCATGTAATCAATTCTTAAAGAGGTACATGCAGTTATCCATAATGGTGGATTTTACCAGGACTGAACAAATAGTCACTCATCAATGTCATATAAATTTTTGATATATATATATATATATATATATATATATATATATATATATATATATATATATATATATATATATATATATATAGTGACCCTTTTCCATGTATTGTGTGATAAATTATTTGATCTCATATTAGTTAGAGATGTTTTCAAAGAATGATTTATTTTAATGCTTACCCATAGATGTTCCCAAAAGTTGTTGGGAGTTTAAACATCGTTTTCCTTCAGCTGATGATGGTACATATCAATTATTAATTGAAAGTTCCTTAGTTTATGTAAGTTGAGTTTGTTTTTATTGATAATACACGTTGAAAATTGAGCCAGAATTATCAAATTATTTGAATTCTGGTGAAAAATATCTTATTTAGTTATTATCAAGTTAAGCAAGTAGATTGTATATCCTTGCATGAAACACTTGATGTATGATAGCCAACACTAACGTCTGATACTCAATAATGACTGGTTTCTGTCAGTAACTTTATACAAGCCCATAAAATAGTTGCTATATCTGATTTCATTTAAAACACTTAAAATTAATAGGAGTAATGACTAATCTATAGTGCCACAGTGGTCTGTTGGATAATACTTTGGCATTTGCAGCGATGAGTACGAGGTCCAAGTCTTAGTGGGAACATGATTCTTTGAGGTGCAGGTATATCTAGCTGATGAGTCACAAATAAAATGAAACACCCGTCTTGAATTCCTCTGCTAGCCACAACCAAGCGAATTGCCATGATAAATATTCAGGCGATATCAAAGCATCCGTACTGGAGTTCATATCCCAACAGAGGTCGAACAATTCGATCCAGTATAACAAGTGAGAATTACAAGTATTTCAACGACTAGTAATATCAGTAATTTGACTTACTATGCTCAATTTTCTAATCAGCTGAATGAGAAAATCACTAAGTACTTGGTATCATACTAATCCTCAGCTCATTAATAAATGAACAGCTCGATTTTGCTGTTTATGGCAGTCAGACTGAAAAATATAATTTCAAAGATCAAATAAGGCATTTGTTCTTACGTTTAGGAAATATTTTAATAGATCTTTCAACGTCGTGTCTTTCCTGTTACGTCTTATGGAAAAAGCTTTGCTCATGAAGTAGTCATTATCACAGAACGAAAGCAGAAGAAGTATCACTGAGATCTAAGAAAAACTGAATCAATATCTTATCCAATATGAAAAGTTGGATCCAAAAAACTCGATGAAAACGAGATGAAAAAGGATAACTGAAAACTACTCTGATTAGATGTTATGACATAATTATGATTGACTACAAAACTAAAATTGAATTCTTTTCCTTTACAAGAATTACGACAACTGACAGTGAGACTATTGCGCTAAAAAAGTGCTTTTCCTTTGAAATACAATGAAAATCACTGAGGCTAACCAGACATCATTTATATGGTTGGTGTATTCATTATCTACGTATACCAACACGTTTCAAAAGTAAAAATGCGACTTGGTAGACAAGCTAAAAATATTTCTCTATAAGTATCTTTATCACCTTTTATACAGAGGTATATCTCGTTCTAATGCAAATCACTCTCTTAAACGTGTGTGAGTATCACCCTGTGTCTGTAAAGTGTCAGCGCTTAGAGTGGATTCAGTATTCACAGTATTATATTTCATAACCAGAAGTAGATTAAACTTAATCAGCTTTTTTATTTGTAGATATACTGTGCAAACATGGGGACACCAAATCCATCAGAATACATCACTTTGCGTCAAATCAACTACGCTGGATCTTCCGAATTCTTACAACCGTAAGTATGCGGTTCTGTTTCAGTTTTCTTTCTCTAGGCTTCAAAATAATTAATCCAAAAAGATTATGCTTCTTTTTAGGAGATAACACCTTTAATTACAAACTGGATAAAGTTGAATCTATCAGTAAAATAAAATGTGTCACATTGATTTTCTTTAATTATAACTGTTAAATAGATATTCCAGATGAATTTTCGCCTTCAAAATTCCCGCTTACAGTTTTCAAGTCTAAACTGAGATAGTACGTTAGCACACTGAATCATTGAACAGATGTCAGGTAGTGACCTTGAATGGATTCTAGTATTATGTGTTAGTGGTACTTGTTTCCTTGTATTTCATGTTTGTCACCTGAATTTGCGTGCATTTCGGCATAAGTGTACCTGTCAATACAGAAACCTTATACTGATACTTTGCTAATTAATACTACAAAAGTGTACTGGAAACATTTTCATAGGAGTTATGTTTAACTGACAACATAAATAAGTCCTGTAGCGTATCCATAATATAGTCAGAAAGACGCTTACTCGTTTTCATCTGACTGATGTATCTCAGACAGTACATCCTACAAACATTATCAACAATAGTGAAGTTCTTTATTTATTAACAATTTTACAATAGTGTCATACTGACGAATATCATCAAGTGTTTTCGTGGCAAACAAAACTTGGAAATTTTACAGCTTCTTAAAGTGATTGAAATGGTGCTAATAGACATGAAATGCATCACCTAAACTATCAGATAAAAAGTAACATGCTTCTATAAGCTGTTACCATAAGTTCAAAATTGCAAACCTATAAAACTTAAGATGCTACAAGAAGCCAAATATCTAAATGCCTACTAAGATACTTTTAGTAGGGTATTGGTAAATACCATGGAAAATAAATTTTTAGCCCAATCCTTAAGGAAACAAACAACTTTTCAAACAAAGCATTTTTAAAGTCAACTTGTTTCTCCAAGTGATGTCTGTAGATGAATGAAAGATTACTTCCCTTCGATTTACTTTGAACAAGTATATGACTTTTGTCAAATGGATGATATGGTTGAGATCAACAATCCACAATGAGCAATCATTAACACGATATCTTCCAGAGAGCTGTAAGCACCTTTGAGTTGGCATATTATTAAATACTTTTAGCTTGAAATTCCTCATGGACTGACATCAGTTGTAATAAACATCCACAAACCTTAAGATAGAATTAATCTAGTTCTGTTTGATAACTAGCTTCGAGAGGTGATTCCTGAAGTTCCAATGAGAAGTTGTGACCAGTGGAATCAACCTAGTAGAGTATGAGGACAGTTACTCAGCGATAACATTGGATGTAGGTCGCGCTATATCGTAAACCATTGGATTCCGACCCAGTGGTCCAATGGTTTGGTGCTGACCACGGAACATGTAGGTCATGGGTTCGACCCCTGGTGAGTGGAGTCATGGGTGCGCACTAGTGAGGAGTCCCATACTAGGACGAGATAGCTTTTTTGTGCTCGCAGGTTTCCAATGTTCCTCCAACTGATTTCATTCCATGATGAATTCCAACTTGAAATTAATTAATAAACATCCACAAACCTGCAGACAGAATATTATTAAATAGCTAAGTAAAATAAATAAACTAGGCGTAACCAACTTAAGCTGTTGGTCATTCTAGAAAGTTAGACAGTACTTATTATTTAAATCAACTCAATTGGATCTTGAAACAAGAACAGTTGTAGGATACAATGGGTCAACCAACTAAGCAGCTGAAAACCTGAGACAACAATTGTTTAAAGTTGCCCAAATAGTAAAATGAATATTAACGAAAAATATTATATAAAAGGGAAAGTAATGTAGCTGTGGAATTACGGTAACGAAATACTCATTTCTTAAAGCATTACAGACAGCGAATCCACCAGTATTTGTTCTATGCTAAGCCATTAATCAGTATCTCCTAACAAAGATATTTCATCCGACAGGCCCAGCACCACGTTCCACACACACACACACACACACACACACACATACTTGACTCAGAAAAACAATAAAGGATTTTATAGATTAGTGTCACTTTCTGATCTGAACACACAAAGATTTCGTGTACCGCATCTTTATCACTTAATACATCACCAGTAGAGGTAGCTTAAAAAGAGGTCCAATTAGTAGTTATAAGAACCATCAAGACATACACTCCATATAACTGGAAATTATCTTCTAGATTGCAGTTTCGGTTATAGATAATTCCATCACTGAAGTTTTACTGGATATATCTGATGATTACATTCTTTTCGCGTACTCACTATTACACGTGTAGTTTTGAATAAACATTTCATACACTTAATATGCAGTCAGTGAACTCTGTGTTAAAAACTTTCACACTACCTCTACAAGTAGGCTTCAACAGTTGCCAACGACATAAGCTTTCAAGTAGTTATGAACTTGCACCAGTTTGTGTTTCTTCTGAAAAGAACTCCATCAACCGTTTCGTATAGATCTTGTTAATTCACATCAATGCTAAAAGACAGTGACACTATCTTATTTTATCCGTTTTATTTAAAGATATCCTGATTCCAACTGGTGTCCTACATTCAATGGAACAGCTTCACCATTCAATTCATCTGAAAATATCTATCACACTCATTCAAATATTGACTTATCGAAAGAAATCTCCGAATCTCTGTTAACAAGCATGGAAGTGAATGCTATGAATTGCCCGAATTGTCCATCTATACCAAATTTAGCCTCTAAAACATTTTATCATAAAATAAGACTGGATATATATAAATTAGAAGTAAAACGTGAGTTGAATATTATCTTTATTATTATGTTATCTAAACGTACTGTTGGCATTTTTTCGTCATTGAGATTGCAAGAATAACTGAACGTCCGACTACATCATTAGCTTGTCTAACCGGTTTTTGCGCAGAATGACAAGTATTGTATATGATACATCCAAACTTATTTGTGAACCATAAGACTGACTAAAACATTCAGTGACTTCCATTTGTCGAAATCTTGAGAGTTTGTATTTTTTATTGACTCACTGTAGGTATCGTTAATCTGAACCATTCATGCACTGTTCTCTGCTACTTTTATTGATTCTTCACTGAAAGTCAATCTATTTCATGCTGTCTAGTCCTAGATGAGAACGAAATTTGCCGGATCATTTTTAAATGTGAACACTAGGCTAGATGTTTCAGCATCATAGTGCACTTTCATTGATGTCGGTTTGTTGAAAACATTGAGGGTGAAACCATGGAAATTTACTTGACGAAGTGGGTTGCAGATACACATTTCTGACCAGTGATAGAATGTACAAAACTACCTAGGTCAGTCAGCGCTTCCTGCTGATTACTTTTAACTAGCTAATATTATTCAAATTTGAGAAAATAATTGCCTAACTTCCCCAGCCAGATTTAAGGCGACAAACTAACAGTGTCTAAGGTTAAGTATCGGAGACACTCAGGCCTTACACACAACGTAACCTACTCCTGTACTTATCGTAATGGGCGTTCTTTAGGAACTTCACTTGTGCTATTTGGATATTGATTGATCACGTAGGAGTACTGCTGTTAGTGGTATCTATTCTACATTTATTCTCAAATTAGTTCTGTTCAACCGCGTTACATGTGAGATTTCGATAATTGGTTTCACAGTAGATAACTTGTTGTACATTGATTCAGTCTGTGTTTTGAATTGATCGTTTCAGAACAGTAGTCTTTAAAGTTGACAGTATGTCCTAGATGAAGGTTTGAAATTCTATTGCAGACTTGTGTTTCAGCACAAAATTCTTACATGATTTCATACTGATGGACTATAGTGCTCTGCGTTGACACCGAGTAAGCTTAGCGTATGCCTGAGATCATCGGGATGATGGATGTACTTCAGAATGTTAATCATAAAAGGTGTATAATTCTCTGTCCTTTCTTGACCAGTAAATGTTAATTACTTCAGGGGTTAGATGACCTATCTAGTTCGATAATGGAGGTTTGAAATCAAAAGCGAAGAAATAGTAGATTTCTACTTACATCTCATTTGTTTGAGGAAATCTGTTTCACTGATAAGGGATCAAAATTCAATGAAAAAATCTACCTCATTTTTGTCTTCTTTTCGAAACAGAGTGTTAATCTTCAAAACAGCATCATTTAAACCACAACTGTGGATCTACCAAATTCCTTCATGAGTTACTGTCCTACTCAAGGAAATAACTTCTCACCAGTTCACCCATTTTAACTTAGCGAATCGATTGCAAAACCTTTCAGGTTTTAATCAACAGTACATTATGTTTCAAGAATCTTTTAGCTTTCAATTACGCGTTCAATACACGAATATTGATATGGAAAGTTTGAAAATAGACTCAGACGCTGTGAACAATAATCCAACCATAAATATTGCTCACTGTGTATGTTTGATTTATTGAGAATAACTCTTCCATTAATATCAATTGTCTTTTGCCGTTATCCAACATTTAACTTTCCTACTTTTAATTTTAGTTGACGATGCGCGATTTTCACACACTATTGGTTCATCAATAATGCCTTATGCAACTGCAAAGGATTGTTTCTCATCCACTGTTTGTCCACAGGTTAGAACCTACTGACATTTAGATATATCTCAACTGCTTGCAACCTTCATTTTTAATAAAGTATTTCAAAGAATTTGGCATTGGGGAATGAAAATCCCAAGAACTAACTCTGTATTTTCTTAGCATAATCTTGCTCGGCATCAATGAAACTAATAAGCTTCTCAGTCTATGAAAACGCCAGTGGTTGATATGTAGATTCCTTGTACATTTTCCACCTGGAGAGTTCACTGGGTAGTTATTATCACTATTAATTGTCCCTTAGGTTCCTAATGGAATATAGGGCTTCAGTAGCACGTCTTTAATGTGCTCTGTTCTCTGAAATCTTTTGAACCTCGCTCCACGACAGCCCACAAGCTCTCATTTCTTCCTCACACCATCTCCTCCATATCAGCCTCGGACGCCCAACTCGTCGCTTCCCATCTGGGTTCCACTCGAGGGCCTGTCATGGCACGTGATGTCCCCAGTTGGCCTTCTCAGTGTATGCCCAATCCACCTCCACTTACTTCCACTGCATATTTGTTTAGCGATGGGTTCTTAGTTGGTTCGTTCCCAGATCTGCTTGTTGCTTATTCCTTCTGGCCATCTGATCTTCAGTAATGAGCCAGCGTAGGTGGCAGTTGTTGATGAATGTCTGTAGTTTATTGGAAATCCCTTTGGTAACGCGCCAAGTCTCTGAACCATACAGAAGCACTGACTTGACTGAAGTTGGTGTTGAAAATCCGCATCTTGTTCCACATGCTGATTGGAGGGCAGTGCAGTAGATCTCCACACTGGTTTCAGGCTAATGAACGCCTGTCTTGCTTTTCTGACCCTGGCTGACCTGGCTTTGACGCCCTCATCTGTGCCTGTGCCGCCTGCAGTTGAAACGATGCTGCCTAGGAGGCAGGTGAAAGAGACTACTTCCTTTGAGTTTCTCCCGTTGATGGTGATTGCTGCTTGTTGTTGTTGTTGTTTGGGTGTCTTCATCACCTCTGCTTTCTCTACATTCACTTGAAGTCCCGTCTTCGCTGCTTCGCCTCTTCTGGCAACTTGTTAGTTTTTGCCTGTAGATCTTCAAGTTTGTGTGACATTAGACATAAGTCATCGGTGAAATCCAAGTCTTCTAGGTTCTTTTCCGCAGTCCAGCCAGCGTATCCCTCTCTTCTCTCTCTCCACTGTTTGTTGCGTGATCCAGTCGACTACAATCAGGAATATCATGGGTGATAGTAGGCAGCCTTGTTTTACTCCTGTCTCCACTTCACTTCAAAATCATCACTGAGCTTCCCATTGTGAATCATTTTGAAGACTCGTGTTGGTGACATCAAAATTCTAATGAACGATATGAATGCCGAACCTGGAGCAGACAACGCAGGAAAAGAACCAATCATGGGTCGAAAAGCACTCAGCAAAATGAACGAGAATGGAAAATTGTTCACAGATTTCTGTGCATTCAACGATTTGGTGATTAGAGGCACTGTGTTCAAGCACAAGGATATTCACAAAGTGACATGGATTTGATTTCACCAGATGCACACACTACACTAAAAATCAGATCGACTTCATCTCACTGTGAAGAGAGTGGAGATGCAGCCTACTGGACACAAGATCAAATGAAGAAGGGGAGCAGATGTAGGCGGTTCATATCACTCACTATCTAGTGCAAGGAACCTTCCTGTGTTGTCTGCTCCAGGTTCGGCATTCATGTCGTTCATTAGAATTTTGATGTCCTCAACAACAACAAGCAGCAATCACCATCAAGACAGGCGTTCATTAGCCTGAAACCAGTGTGGAGATCTACTGCACTGCCCTCCAATCAGCATGTGGAACAAGATGCGGAGTCTTGTCTATTACTGATTGCAGTTGTCTGTAGAATTTCTCCTTCTTCTCTTGATCTACATTATTTTTTGGCACGTAGCATTGAATGATTGTTACTTTCCTTCCTTTTGAGTTAAATCTTGCTGTCAAGATTTTGATCCCGCAGGAGGAAATTCATTCCCACTGCATGAGAGAGAGTCTTCGATACTCTTCGGAATATCATGATAGCCACTCCACAACTCAGTGTGCTCGTGGTTGTCGTCTGGATGACGATATCGGAGTAGATTATTGACTCCTCTCCAGTTGACAGTTTGGAGAGTCCACTTCCATTCCATCTGCAGATTCCTTGCAGATTCCTAGCACTTTTATTCTATATCTTCTCATTTCTTTTGCAATCTGACCAGCCTTGCCAGTCGGCTTCAGACAGTTTGTGGACATTCCATGTCTTCGATCTTACTTTCACTTTCATTGAGAGAGAGAAGACTTCTCGACCATTTGGCCTCCCGAAGGCTTTCACCAGCTGGCGTCATTTCTTCTCTTCGATTCCAGCGAGGAATAATTTCGTTTTTATTTTTTATATTTTGTTTGTGCTTTAAAGCTTCTTTAGCGGTTTGATTGGTTTTACGGGGTAGGGTTGCTAAGCCTTTGCCCAACCTTCCTTCTTTATCTGGATTTAGGACCGGCTAATAACTAGTGAACTAGTTAACCAGGCGAGGTTTCAGTGGGTAATACAATCAACGTTTTCTGGCAACGGATAACTTTAATGCCTTAGTACTGGATAATGTAATCGTGTAGATCAAGAGACTAGCGTTTATTCAAAAGAACAGACATGGATGGTAAACAGTCTCTGAAAAAAACAATATTGCTGTTGATGATTCCCAGTTGATTTCCTTCGACTATCAAAAGTTAACCTTTATACTGGTAAAATTTTCAATGAAAGCAAATTGTTATAAGTTACTATCAGAGAAGTTGACTATATCATTCTCACTTTCAGTGACCATTTCAGACAGCTATTACTCGAGTCTAGAAGTATTTTTAGAGCCAAATTTTGTTCTGTTCCCCTCTCTGGTGTTTGTTGAAGGTTATTTAAATCCTACTGTTGAAATTGAACAAGATTTGGTTGCATACCTCAGTTAATCCGGCTTTTCCGTTCTTAAGTGTTTTATATTAAGTTAGGATGATTCAATCAAAATATTTAATTATCGTCTTAAACAACACCCTCCAGGCAAACTGTAAAAGAAGTGAGCCTCCAATGTTTTTCTTCAGCGAGTGATATAATACCGTTATCCAACGTCTTTGTGAGTGATCATTTGAGGCTATAACTTTTCTACGTGACTGACTGATCCTGTTTACTGCTATTTTTACTCACCAGTGACTGACCTGACATCATTTTCTTCCTGAATAGTTAATGTAATGGGTTTATTTGATTTTTATGCTTATAATTAGGTGACGTGAACATAAAGTCCTCAGAAATGCTCTAAAACCCTTTAGATGCCTTGAGAATTAAGATTTTAGCGTTACTTTAGTCGACTTCAAGTCCTAAGCTTTCTGCGTACATGGGAAAGATCTAAGAAGAGGGTAGCTATGCTGTTGAGTGCTGGAGTTCACAGTGTAAACACGTTACAACAACATATACCATCTTTATATTCTTTCCCTGTTGAGTCGAGTGATGGATAAAGTGCCTGAGATCATGCTGAAAACTTAGAAGACAATAACTGAAGCTTAAAGGATCTAGAACAAGGAAACAAAACACAACAACTAGAGATTTCTAACGTTTCGTTTCCGTATCTTCTTGGCATACAGTTTTGGCCAGGGAAACTGTGAGACGATACTTTTCCAGCTGACTTTTGAATAGTATGGATAATCGATGTATTCTGACTCCCTAGGCGTCTGCCCTGATCATTGTCTTTTAAGTGGATTGATGTTTCAGTGTACTTTTTTCCGTACCAAGTGTTTTCAATTCTAGCTTTTTCTACTACGAGTCTGAAACACTGACTCATGCTCAGGGAATACTATCTACAATACTTTCATAAGTATCTCACACCGAACTAGCAAGCTGAAACAAAAATCATTATATAGTGTACACTAAGAAGAAAAGCTTTACAATCAGCATGACAAAAAAGATAAACTTATTAAATCTCTTCAAAGAAAGCAATATAAGTGGGAATTTTCTGAGGATAATCATCGTCTAGATGAAAATCAAATTTTATGTTCCATGTCTGAAAAAACACTCTAACAACTGGTTAGTATAAGATGAACAGGGAATAGTATCGATCATATAACTAAGATATTTTCCTAACTAGGTTTTAAACGTTAAACTATTCACGCTATCAGATACCTAGAATATGTAACAAGTTTCACCTTCCAATTTAACATATAGAAGACTTCTCATCCCAATCCGAATCTGAGTTAGAGAGGGGGCGCATCACATTGATTAACATTTGGCCATCTGAGATATGTAATAAATAAAACTCTGGTCAGCAGTCGAATCACGTGGCTCAGTTGGTACAGCTTCGGGCCGGAAACTCAGTGGTCGTTGGTTCAAATCAATCCGCGGTCCAAATTTCATTCATCACCCAGTATAAATACTAGTCTGCCAAACTACGGCTATCTCAGATAATCAAATGATATAGTAGACTGTTTAACATGCTTTTAAAAAAATTCATTTTTACCAGATGTCCAAGTTTGAAAAGTTAAAAAGCAAAGGCCATTGAATCATTGAACTATTGACATTTATTTGACAAAATAGGTAAAGTAAATAGTTTAGCCACTCTTTAAGCTATCGACAATCAACAATCATTTACACGTGTAAGCATAAACACTTTCCCCATTTTCAACATTTGATTGATTAGAACATGGGGATGTATGGTAAACGATAAACTATCACTCAAATGTATTACTTGATCACTGGAGAGCAACTAATTTCATGTTGTCTAGTCCTAAATATGGATCAAATTCCGTCGATCATATTTCAGTGTAGATACCAAGCTTAGAGACTAATCATCACCAACAAAATCTTAATGGTACTAGGTATTTGAGTTCAAAATCCATGCAGTCTCTGTATCATTACATCTTGAAACAATCACAGGTGAATAATTTATCATACATGTTACTTTATCACTTCTACGCTGATGCTTTGTTTTAAAGTATTTTCAACTAATCTATTGTTGTTGTTGTTTTTTATCTAGGGACAATTTCAGATTGATTTAAGAGGTACAGGTTTTCAGGTGAGTGTTAAAACACACTGGACCGTGAACAGCAATACTGAAGGAATATCTCACATATATCGACTACATGTAAGTAGTATATTTATATAGTAGTATATTGATATATTATCTGAGATGAGAAAGGAAAAGCGGATAGGAATCTGTTTCAGTAGTTTACAAAGCCTATTTTCTGCTTTCATAATTACTCTAACTTGATACATAGTGGCTCGATGGTAAGGTGCTTCCCGGCAAAACTTGAAGGTCCTGGGTTCGATCTCTGGCAGGCTCGTGAAAGCACACTTGCTGAGGAGTCTTATACTAAGACGAAACAGCTGTTCTGTGCTTTCAGGTTCTCAGTGTTACTTCAACTGATGTTAGTCTGTGATGGAAATCAACATCATAAACAAATAATCAGAAAAACGTTGGATATTTCAATTTTTAGCCACAGGACATATAAGGAATGCTATTAAGACTATGATAATCATAAAATAAACTATAAACGTGGCAAAAAAAGTGTTCACTGAAATTTAATTAAATAGACGCTATCAATTCTATTGTTCAATTGACCGCATCTCCTACAAACATGAAACCCCACTTAACCGATTTCAATAAAGAGATTAGTCAAACATACGGTCAGTCATGTTTTCTAATAGACTTATTATTACATCAACTACAGTCCATAGAGGAAAGCGTTAAAACTTCAAAAGCAGTATGAATCTGATTTCAGCTGGTTGGATACAATCGGTAGCAAGCCCTGCTAGACCTAAGTACTTTTCATTCTAGTTCGCACTTGACAGCAATGAACATCTCCAACCTTGACGGACATGATATCCCTCATGGGAACAGAACCAGTGTTACAGTGTCACAAATACAGATGTTACCCCCTACAAGACTAGATTAGACGTATTGATTGATCACTGAAGAATAACCGACTTCATGCCGCCTAGTGAAAAGTTCAGCTCTCCCTTCTGATTTCCTTCAACAACCTACTATCAACTACAGTGCACCGTGATGCCGAAGCTCTTAGGCTGACGAACCCATTTTAGAATAACCTATCGGGTCTCAGGAAGGATATTAGTTCATTCAAGGTTTCAGATACATCCTGCTGATGTGAACATGCATATGAGGAATTTAGGTTCAAAGCTTCCCGTAGACCGAATCCAACCAACTAACATCTAACAAACTGCACTGTGCTGCTGAGTCACCTAGCTTGATCTGTGGAAATCGGTCAGCACTCAGGAGTAGACAATATGAAACTGACCACCTACCGGTCACCAATCAATAATGTTTGGATTTCTTTTCAGTTACACAGATAACCTGTTGCTAGGTACTAAAGGTTATGTAACCTGTATTCGATGTTTTCCCATAACTGTTTCAGAAAAATTAGCATCGAAAGCTGTAAAGTGTGTGCACCTAGACATACAAACACAATTGAAATTTAAAATAAGACCATCAGAAATTTGCATCATTGTAAAAAATATCAATCAGGATTTGCGCCAGCAGCTGGTGTTTTATAAATTTTTTATCTTCAGAATGATAATGAGGAAGAACTTTTCAATACATAAGTAGGATGCCTTTAAAGTTTTGTAAGATTTTCAATTTATCGAAATCAAACTCTTCATAAAGTTTGCTTCACGTATTCATAGAAATATGGATGTTTTGGGCAACAGCAGAATATCAAAAAGACTTCACTTCTGTTACTAATAGTAATGATATACACATATACTGGCTGAATGAAATTAAGTAAACAATATAATACTTTGATTCCCACTACCTTCTGAAATTATTAAAAGTTGATTTGTGAGAGCTACGGTTCATTGGTCTAGGTGCCTGACTTCCAACCGACAGGGTCACAAATTCGAACCGCTCTCCACCTACTATAGTTTGAGCAGTCAGGTAGTTTCATTAGCCCAGGTACATCATGGACTGCACAACTTTGCAATAGGTTACAGAATGAATTCCTCTTTCGATTTGAGGTATGTGAGGTCTTATGTTATTTCTGTGCATATGCGAGCGCTATATGTCATATGTTTTCTGAGTAGCTACAAAGAATACGTTTTGAAAGGGACAGTTTGATGGTGATATGCATGCATAACTTAATTATTTATTTATAATTTATCTCTCTAGGATGGACAAGTAATACGTGGTCGGTGTGGAGGCAGATGTACAGGATGTTGGCCACAACCAGGGCTATTCCTCGATGTTGTAACAGACCAACGATTAAATCACTCCATTGAATAAACATATTTTGAAATTCAGAACCTAATTGCATCACAAGTAAAAGTCAGTAATTCGTATACTACTAATAAAACTACCAGTAATAATAGTAACCAACTAGGCAGCTATGAAATTTCGTAACAGTAAAACAAACAAATAAACAAGCAAATGAACAACTTAACCCAACTTTTATAATATACAATACTGAAAGTAAATCCTACATATATACACATACATGTTGTCCCAATAATTACTTACGGGAAAAAATGAAGATTTAACACCTTTGTATTTAATTAACGTTCTGTGTGTGTTGTCATTTCTTCCCCTCAAATAAATTATTTTACCAAATGTTATAACTTAATCTACAAAAAAGGCGTAATAAGCAGATGAGAAAAAGGCGTAGGTTTCTTCTTTCACGAAAATCATGCGGCTGGGAATAGTTATCTTCTCTATTCTCAAATTAGTATTATTATTATCACTACTGCTATTACTATTCTTATTAATACTATGAATAATGATTGTATTGCTGTGAACTTATACTCCTACAATACACTACTGTTGATCAGAGAAAAAAAAACTTGAATGTAGCTTACTTTTAACAACTACCTCTTTGTAACACATTGAAATTGAACTTTGAACAGTGAACAAATTACGCTACATATACAATTCAACCGATACATACATGTAAGTAATAAAGAAAATATTATGTAACACAAGTGAATTGAAGACAATATAATCCAAATTATATTTCACACTGACAGAGAAATTATTACTGTATAAAAAAAAATGCAGATCAATTATTAAAAATTCTGCGAAAAATCAGTTATATTTCTACAATGAACAGAAGAGTAATCATTGTTATGATAAAACACTTAATAAAAATGACTTCAGAAGAGGTTGAATTTTTAAAAAAAATATAGTTAAATTTTCAGGTTACCGAGATCAACTTGAGTGTAAATGTTACATTCCAAGTCAATAGACTCATTGAACTGAATCCTGAAGATGTCTACTACCGAAACTGGTATAAACACATACCCTTCTTTTTTTTTAATAAAAAAAGGAACAATAATCAAAACACTATAACCTCTAGTAAAAAAATAATGAATACCAAGTAATTAGATGTATTATCTGTTTACTATTATTGATGGGTGTTTGTGAAATTCTATTAGTAACGATAACTATCTCTTCATACTGTTCAAAATTTCCAATTAAATTACAAACTGATGTGAATATACAAATACACAAGAACAATACAAAATAAACAGGCAATGAAGTAAGCGTACGCACACACAGAGTTAAGCATCACCAACTAACCTACTATTATCGTTTCAATCTCATTGACGTTCATGTCTCCATTATTAATACTACAGTTATCATTATTACTATTGTTACTATTATAAGCTACAACTTCTAGATATGAATAAGAAAAATACAATCACTTAAAAAACATTTCCAATTAGGTGTCTTTTCGGTTCGTTTCAATTTGTCTTCTTTTCTCTTTTTTTAAAATTATTCTCTAGGGATATTCACTTTTTATGAAATACTCTAGTATAATACAATAGAGAAGATGGATAAAATATCAGTTAATCTTTACTAAGCACATAACGTATATATATATTCTCATTTCAGGTGCTTAGTGTAAACGATTTCTTTAATATGCTTTAATCAAACGTTAATTGTAAACAAGCGGTGAATGATAATTTTACTTGATACATACCTATACATGTATTTATGTGTTATTGATGTACAATGCACATATATAAATAGAAATAATAAAATGTAGTTTGCTTTTATTACACTATGTATACTACTGAAGTCGTGTAGGTGGTTGACACTTCCCGGCTGCCTACATCTTGGAAGGTTATTTCTTCTCAAGGTACCTAAAAGAAAAAAAGATATGTGTGACCACACAGTCCATGCAACATTTGCTTGAGACCTGTTACAAACAATCTTTTCAGGGTTGTTGGTTTTAACGACGGATAGGATCAAAACCCTTACCGTTGTCACCGGAAGACCTTAGGTCAGGTATGAGTATGTTATTTTGAGACCGACCTTTCCTAACCGTTTCCTCCCCTCTCCTCCTAAGGAAGGCACCATCAGTATGGCACTGTTGAGAAACACCTTTTGCTGTTACACTTCGGTCCAGCTAACAGTACGACTTCACGTAGCAATTCGTTAACTGCTTTTCGTCTTGCCACTGGCTATCAAACCTTTCTGATATAGTAGGATCTCGAGGAAACAAGCCTTCCAGCCAGTGTAGCTCTTCGGATCAATATGATTCGTAAGCCCCACCATCACGTTAAGATAGCAGATACTTTTAGGGTTATTAAACTTCACGTTATCCACCTAAAGCGCTTAGTTTATGACTATTCTGTCACTGTCCATAAGTTGTTCTACCAACATTATTTCTAATTCACTGAACTACTGAACAACAAGAGTAGTTGGAAATGTCTCACTTACGTCTCCAAATTTCACTAATCAGATACATGAATTAAATACTAGTCGACTTCTTAGCATGTGCATTACTGCTGCTCGAACTTTACAGATTAAAAGAAATAGCAACAGCCTAAAGTTCAAATTCCAGTTACTGACTTTGTGAAAGTTATTATTACATAAAACTTGACACAGCGTTATTTATTACTGTTGACATCTTAGTTGGGCAGTCAAGAAAATAATCACCAGGGAGAAATAGCCACACGGATCGTACAAATTGTAAATAATTGATATACTGACCTAGGGTTATTTGATACCTCATTTAAACAATAATCAAAATTGAATCCAATTATATCATTCTCTGCATTTGAATACTTCTATCAGAGGCTGCTGTAAAAATCGTGAACTATTGTTGCTTTTCGACTAAATGCGTACCTGTACAACATTCAAACGACTTCTTAAACAACCATATAATTGTGCTGCAAGGCTATTCGCAACAAGAATACTTACCGATCTGAAGGTTTCTGCCGACATCATTTAACTGTGACAACGTACATGCTGCAATGAATAACTCTGAGTATAGGCAAATCAATATACGTAGAAGTAGTTTTGAGTATCCTTTATCCAACTGTGGAATCATTTCGCCCTTATCATCACAATTTGTGATGATATGGATATGTTGGATGATAAGACACATATTCAAAACCAGTGTGTTGGCTTGATGATAGAAAGTGGATACCATTTAAATCAGTATTTCCAAAAGTTAATCACTGAAATCTAATACTCTGTTGCTTTTGATTTATACCAGTTTACAACCTCAGTAATCTCACTGGACATGTCATTTAATCCAAGAAGCGATTGTAGTCAACTAACTAGTCAAGAAAAGATAGAAGTATACACCTTTTATAAGTAAAATTCTGAAGTACCTCCGTTAACTTGGTGACCTCAAACATGCTTGACGCTTACTCAGTGTCAATACAGAACACTTTAGTCCATCAGTGTAATATCATGTTAGAATTTTATGCGAAACAAAAATGTACAGATTTCAGATTAAATTTATTTGACTTGTAACACACAGTGATCTCGAGCATAAATTATCACCGCTCATAATCATATCAATGTAATCACATACCACTTTCGACATCTGATTTTTATAGTTGTGTCACGTCGTATTATTTGTTTTTGTTGGTAGTAAAACTCAACCATATCTCTGGTATAGGTGTTACATCATTCCCATTACATATGTTGGGTGTAGATTCGATGAACAAAAATTCAATAAGCAATACCTTTTCCCACCAAATTATACTGGACTTAAGTACAATGGTTTGATCCCACCCATCCTACTGTGTGTTAATGCACGCATTGTAATACCCGAGTTTTTTTCTAGATTACTGATCTTATCGGGGATGTCATTCTATATTTAGCTTAATTCTTATGTTCCGCTATTCTAACTAACCCCAACCGACTAGTTTCACCTATGTACTTGGCGTGACAGTCATTACATGGAATTCAATAGATTAGATTATTTTGCTTAATTGGTTCTATCGGATCCTCAAGCCAGCCGACATAGATTATCTCTGAGTATGTGGGTTTAAATGCCACCTGAACTCCAGCTTTGTTGATAACCCTACGTAAAGTTTCTGATGTTCCTTCCTTACAGGGTAACACAACAGAGGCTGCGAACTCCTTTCTACTCGTGTTGTTGTTGTTATTAGTACTAGTGTTACCGTTATTATTTCTCTTCTTATGTGTTCGTACGAATTTCTTGGTGAACTGTAGAGGATAATTATTAGCGCTTCTTTTATATGCTTGAATTCCTCATGTAAGTCCTTACACTAACTAGCCAGTTTTTTAGCTCTATCATTTAGACATTTGACTAAAACTGCCTGAACTGACTGACATTGAATGAAATGACTTGAAGTCCAGATACCTGTTCGAATGTGTTGGTTTTCTGTGGACGGTATTATCCAAACCACCGTTCGTCCTTCGTTTTATCCAGCAACCGAACATAGGTAATCCTCCTTGTTAATTTCCTATCTCGTAAGTGAATTGGATTGCGCCTACTACAGAGTTTACATGTGAGAAAATTGTCGATATGTTGTTCCGATTTCAACACAGTGAATATGTCATCCGCATATCGCCACCATATCTTAGGTGCAGGGTTAAATGTTTGTAAAGCTATGTTTTCTTAACTATCCATAAATTTGTCTGCCACGATTGAAGATATTGGCGATCCCATTGCTACTCCTTCTGTTTTTCGATATATTTTGTCCTGAAACTTGAAGACTGTGGAGGTTAGACACAAATATATGCCTAATATGATCTCATCAACGGATATCTTGGTTCTGTGAGCAAGTTCTGAATTAATATTTAGTTGATTTCTACCTTCAGTGACATATTGATTGGCATTTTAGTATCACGACTTGTCACATCGAAACTAACCATTTTTTCATGCTCTTCCATATGTGGTCAAATGTGCAAGACTGACTGAAAGAAAAAAATATTTCCTATCAATTAGTTCTTCGCTTTTGGATCTACACTAATATATAGGTCTACAATTCAATCAAAACACCAATCGAGTGATGAGGATGGGGGTTGGTAAACAATAACTACACATTTCAGGTAAGTCAGGAAGATGATAAGTTTGAGAAATCAAGACGCAAATAATTAACAGAGTAGTTATACGGGATTAAAAATGGTGATTATAATAATATGAAACAGGTTATTCTTGGGCGAATGGCACAGTAACGGGTAAGTGGAGTGATTTTTTTTCTCGATAAATAAATCAATAACCATTTTTAATCCTGTATAACTACTCTGCCGATTATTTGAGTCTTGATTTCATAAACTTATCATCTTCATGACTTATCTGAAAGCTGTAATTATTGTTTATCAACACCACCTGATTTGTGTTTTGAGCGGATTGTAGAGCTATGTATTAGTGTAGAGCCAAAGACGAAGACCTAATTGAAAAGGAACATATTTTTTCGTTCAATCAGTCCTTCATCTAAATGTCTAAATGGGAATTTTCAATGTACTGAAATGTGCGAGAATTGCAAATCTTCATCTAGGACATACTTTAAAGACTACTATTCTGAAACGATCAATTCAAAACACAGACTGAATCAATGTACAACAAGTTATCTACTGCAAAACCAATTATCGAAATCTCACATGTAACGCGGTTGAACAGAACTGATTTGAGAATACATGTAGAATAGATACCACTAACAGCAGTACTCCTACGTGATCAATCAATATCCAAATAGCACAAGTGAAGTTCCTAAAGAACGCCCATCACGATAAGTACAGGAGTAGGTTACGCAGTGGATAAGGCTAGAGAGTTAGGCAAATATTTCAACCATTTGACAGCCTATCTGGTATGTATTCTCTTTCTAAAGATTAGCTATTCACACTATAATCATTTGCAAATCTCTCTGATTTGGATGCTTAATTTATTCTGTTATCAAAGTTAGTACAGCTATTCAACGAAGTCAGTAGACTCATGTCCTGAACCAACTTACTGCATACACTGAATGCGGATGCAAGTTGATGAGTCAGGGATCAGTAGGGGGAGTGCACAACCTATTGATAACGACGTTTAGAAAACTGATATTCCTAAGCATTTTCGGCAAACAGAATTATACTATTATTGTACTATAAAATGGTCGGATGATTCTTAGGAAAAAGATTGTTACGTAAAATGTAGAACGTTCATCACACAGTAATCTAAAAACGAATTATTTTGTTGATATTAAAGAAAAGCAAGGATAAAATAAAACAGTTAACTAGTGAATCGATAAAGTGATTTCCACTGCATAAGTCTAGCATACAATATCTCTTATAAAATACAAAAACGGGTCGTTCTCAAAGGAAAGTTTTGCCTAAATCATGAAATTCGTAGAACTAGAGGGAACATAATACGACTGAAGTGGGTACAGCTGATCAGAATGAATATAAGTACTACATGTCGGGAGAGTAGCAGAAATCATAGGCAATTACCAGCAATGGGTAAATATTCTGCCCAGTGAAAAGCAAGAGACAATGTGAGCGTATTAAGAGCGAATCGAGATACAAGCAGAAAAGAAAATGAAGCACATTGTAAAAATGACTGTTTTAGTGGAAAATATACAATATCTGATGACCACTGTACAAGACGTCAATAATACACATTCCTTCCTGTGTCTCACTCTTGTCGTTTCTTACACGACAAGTGAAATGGAAGTTTTATACAAAAAGTAACCGGTTACACAGAGATTTATTAACTTTGTACACAGAACAGATATACATTTGTTAAAACGAAAAATTATTGGTTAAGGTTTATAGTTAATTCACCAAATTCTATAGAATTATCATAGAAAGAACAAGAAACAACCATAGGCTTCAATAAATCCCCGCTATGATAACTTTCAAATGTCCAATCAATACCATACGCCAATTGTTCGTCAGTAGGACGAAATTTATATATAGGATTCTTTTCAATAGAGTTGAAAGACGATTGAGATAAGTGTGTGACAGCAAATCCTGCATGCATTGCAGCAACTATAACAAAACTATGTGGACCCCATTTATGCCGCCAAACTCCACCATTGAAATGACATTTAAATATAGGATTGCTAAGTTCTTTAATAGAATTCACCATACGTAGATCCCATATGCATAATGTTTCATCATAGCTAAAAGCGATATAATTAAAAACTATCACACCCAACAACAACAAAAATGGTAGTTATGTGGAAATAAATGAATTAGTTTTGTTTGTAAACTAAATAATCACTAAAAAACCGATTGAAATGAACAGTTGCTGCATCCTATTTGAAATTCTACAATAGGAAGTGTATGTACTACCCATCACTGGTTATCTGCGAGATAGAATTTTGTAGACTTTAGTAACTTGTAGGATCGATTGAACTGGGAAGCGATGTCATAAGACGACTAGTAGACTATAACTACAGATTACCAATAATATACTCTCTTACAAACCTCAAAACCTCGCCTGGTTAACTAGTTCACTAGTTACTAGCCGGTCCTAAGCCCGGGTAAAGAGGGAAGGTTGGGCATAGGGCCAGCAACCCTACCCAAGAAAACAAATCTAACCGCTAAACAAACTTCAAAGCACAAACGATATATAAAAAATAATAACAAAATTATTCCTCCCTGGAATCGGAGAGGCGAAATGACGCCACTTGGTGAAAGCCTTCAGGAAGCCAATTGGCCTGGCCGATGTGTCTTCTCTCCCTCGATGAAAGTGAAAGTAAACGTGGGGATATGGAATGTCCGCACCATGTTTGAACCCAGTAAGGCAGCCCAGATTGCAAACGAGATGAAGAGGTATCATATTGAAGTGCTTGAAATTTGCGAAAGCAGATGGAATGGGAGTGGAGTCTCCAAACTGTCAACTGGAGAATCAATAATCTACTCCGATATCGTCATCCAGACGACAACCACGAGCACACTGAGTTTTCGAGTGGCTACCATGATGTCCCCAACAGCATCGAAGGCTCTCATGGAGTGGGAACCAATCTCCTAATGCAGGATCAAGACAGCAAAGTTCAACTCAAAAGGAAGGAAGGTCACAATCATACAATGCTACACTATGCACCTACATATAATGCAGAGCAAGAGAAAAAGGAGGAATTCTACAGACAACTCCAATCAACACTGGACAAGACACCACCTCAGTTGGCGATATCAAAATTCTAATGAGTGGGGTGACATGAATGCCAAACTGCAAGCAGACAACACAGGAAGAGAACTAACCATGGGTCGAGAAGCACTCGGTGAAATGAACGAGAATGGAAAATTGTTTGCAGAATTCTGTGCATTCAACGATTTGGTGATTGCAGTGAGCTAGAGTGTTCAAGCACAAGGATATCCACAAAGCGACATAGATTTCACCAGATGGACACACTAAAAATCAAATCGACTTTATCTCAATGTGAAGAGATTGGAGACGCAGTCTACTTGACACAAGGTCAAGAAGAGGAGCAGATGTAGGCGGTTCACATCACTCACTATCTAGTGCAAGGAACCTTCCAAATCAAGTTAGAAGCCTTCAAGGAAGCTGGTGATAGACCTCAATTCAAGTACAACACTCGGAAACTGAAGGATGAAACTACAAAGCATATCTTCACGGCAGCCATCAAGACAGAATGGGAGATATCGAGGAACATCCGTGAAGAAACCTGTGTGGAAGAACACTGGAAGTCTTTGAAAGCTATGTGGAAAGAAACCTGCACAGCCGTATCAGGAAGGAAGAAAGAAGACAAGGAATGGATCTCGACGGATACATGGAAGCTGAATGAGCAGGGAAAGGAGGATGGTGAAGCAGAAGATAAACCAGTGCAAGGATGCTCAACGACAAGAGGAATTGAGCACAATGTATGAAACACTGGACAAAGAAGTGAAGAAGAGTGCGCTCAAAGACAAAAGATACTTCTATGAAACACTGGCAAGTAAAGCAGAATAGGCTGCAGGTAGGAGAGACCTGACAACACTGCATCAAATAACCAGATTGCTATCTGGGAAGAGATCAACGCAGACGAAACCAATAATAGATGATAACGGAAAGTTAATTACGAAAGGAGAGAAACAAAAGAAACAATGGACCGACCACTTCAAAAAGCTCTTGAATAGACCACCACCACCACCACCTGCACTTCGTCCAGAAATACCACCTACAGCCGCTGAACTACAAGTGAACATAAATTCCCCAACAAAAATGGAAGGCCTGAACGCCATAAGGCTACTGAAGTGCGGAAAAGCAGTAGGACCAGATGGAATCCCACCAGAAGCACTGAGAACAGATGCAGAGACCACAGCAGACATGCTCACACCACACCACTATTGTAGAAGGTCTGGGAGGAAGAGAAGGTACCTGCCTATTGATTGGAAGAAGGGTTACCTTGTCAAACTCCCGAAGAAGGGAGACCTAAGTCTTTGCAAGAACTAGCGCAGAATCATGCTCCACACTTGTCCACCCAAAGCAAACAAAATATTAAGCCGCATCATCTTGGAGAGGCTTAAGGATGCACTAGATTCAAAATTACCACCGGAACAGGCTGGATGGCTGGATTCAAGAAGTACAAATCATGTGCAGACCAAATTACAACGCGTCGCATCATCATACAACAGAGCATACAATGGCAGTCAACTGGATCTCTACCTCAACTTCATCGACTTTGAGAAGGCCTTTGACAGCGTCCACCGAGAAGTAATTTGGAAACTGCTTCAACACTACCGAATACCGCAAACCTTTATCAGCCTCATTCAACAACTATATGAAGATGCCACATGCCAAGCATTTCACAAAGGGAAGCTCAGTGGTGCTTTTGAAGTGAAGTGGAGACAGGAGTAAAACAAGGTTGCCTACTATCACCCATGATATTCCTGATTGTAGTCGACTGGATCACGCAACAAACAGTGGAGAGAGAGAAGAGAGGGATACGCTGGCTGGACTGCGGAAAAGAACCTAGAAGACTTGGATTTCACCGATGACTTATGTCTAATGTCACACAAACTTGAAGATCTACAGGCAAAAACTAACAAGTTGCCAGAAGAGGCGAAGCAGCGAAGACGGGACTTCAAGTGAATGTAGAGAAAGCAGAGGTGATGAAGACACCCAAACAACAACAACAACAAGCAGCAATCACCATCAACGGGAGAAACTCAAAGGAAGTAGTCTCTTTCACCTGCCTCCTAGGCAGCATCGTTTCAACTGCAGGCGGCACAGGCACAGATGAGGGCGTCAAAGCCAGGCCAGCCAGGGTCAGAAAAGCAAGACAGGAGTTCATTAGCCTGAAACCAGTGTGGAGATCTACTGCACTGCCCTCCAATCAGCATGTGGAACAAGATGCGGATTTTCAACACCAACTTCAGTCAAGTCAGTGCTTCTGTATGGTTCAGAGACTTGGCGCGTTACCAAAGGGATTTCCAATAAACTACAGACATTCATCAACAACTGCCACCTACGCTGGCTCATTACTGAAGATCAGATGGCCAGAAGGAATAAGCAACAAGCAGATCTGGGAACGAACCAACTAAGAACCCATCGCTAAACAAATATGCAGTGGAAGTAAGTGGAGGTGGATTGGGCATACACTGAGAAGGCCAACTGGGGACATCACGTGCCATGACAGGCCCTCGAGTGGAACCCAGATGGGAAGCGACGAGTTGGGCTTCCGAGGCTGATATGGAGGAGATGGTGTGAGGAAGAAATGAGAGCTTGTGGGCTGTCGTGGAGCGAGGTTCAAAAGATTTCAGAGAACAGAGCACATTAAAGACGTGCTACTGAAGCCCTATGTTCCATTAGGAACCCAAGGGACTAATAATAATGTTATCCTATCCAAAATTCTAGATTCTATAATTCTTTAACGCCTGAGTGCAGATCGGGAACAGCCACCGTGAGAAAACCAAGCAGGCTTTAGACCCGGCCGCAGGTGTATCGACCAAATATTAACACTGCGCCAGGTCCTTGAACATAGACATGCTTACCAACGCCCGATAGCAGCCGTATTTCTCTAACCTGAAAGCAGCGGCATTCAACTCCGTTGATCGAGAAGTCTTACGACAATGTCTCTCACTGAAAAGCACACCGAGTAAGTATATCACCTTATTAAAGGGTCTCTCTACTCGAACACTTGCGGGCGTGTTAGAGCCTATGGTGACATGTTCGGAGAGCTGTACTTGTCGAGCGGTATCCGTCAAGGGTCCTCACTCTCTCCACTCTTTTTCAATTTTATCATATTCTTATGGAGGTCTCCCTCTGGTCACCTGACTACTAAAAGGTTGACCGAATCGCGGGAGAATTTTCGTTAGACCTAGAATATGCAGATGACATAGTCCTGTTAGGTGAAATCGATGACAATATGCAGTCTTCTGGACAATTTGAGCGGCAATTTAAGAATGGGATGCGTTTCTCACTACCCAAATGCAAATTGGTGCTCCAGGATGATCTTCAACGGTGCCACAGTTAACATTAGAGAGTGTAGTGGTTGAGTGTGTTGACCACTTCACTTACCTGGGAAGTGAAGTGGGATCAGCCCTGGCGGCTCAGTGGCCGGTGAAATCTCTCCACGAATATAAAAGGCTCGATTGGCTTTTGCCAACCTACGCCACCTGTGGCGCCGCCATCATATGCGATTGTCTATTAAAGGTCGCATGTAATGCACAGCAGTCCGCTTCGTTCTACTGTATTATTGCGAAACAATGCCACTGGAGATGAAAGACATGAAGAAGCCTTCAGGTGTTTGACCACCGCTGCCTTCATAGTATAGGCCGTATTCCGTGGTATCACCACGTAAGTAACGCAGAAGTCAGGTGTAGAGTTTTAGGGAAAAGAGGTAAGTCAGTTGACATGGTTGTGAACCTTCATCAACTAAGATGGTTGGGATATATGTTACGTATGCCTGCCACCTGCCTCGTCACACAATGTTGGCTGAAGTAGGTTCAGGATGGAAAAGATTCGAGGCGGCCAGACTAAAACATGGCACCAATGTATGAAGTCTCTGACTGTTAGTTTCAGCCATGTGGGGCGATCCAGACTAGTGGGTTGGGGTCTGAGGGACAAGAGAAACCAGTTGTTTGGAGACTCTAGGCGATATGGCTCAGAACCGATGTCAGTGGCACAGATGTATACACACAATATCTTCATCTTAACACTATACCGAATCACACCATTTGGTCATTCTTCCTTACTCTTTTTTAGTGCTTTATATTTCTTTTGACTGAATCCTCTTTTCTCCATATTCCACCTTATTGCCTTTTTACTTGACGTACGGATATGAGGTGTGGCAAGTGGGACCGTTACGCAGTAATGACTGGTCCTATGTTGATTTAGATGATGATTAGATGATCAATGTTATCCGAATTCAACGATGAAAAAGCCAAAGTCGTGTACCACTCGTTAAGGACTGCTCTTAATTCTTCCCTTGGCATCATAACTGCAATGAGTTCATATTCACAGATTTATGCAAACTCTATGAAATCAGCAATTATACACACAATATAGAAATCATAGTATACTTTGAAAAGATGTAAGATATGAAAATCATAATAGTGAAGTAAAACATTTTCTTCGAGCTAGGCATATTTCTAATACAATCACATTTCAATGTAACACATAAGGTTCGATTAAAAATCTTCAACGCGAACTGTGATGCTTTTTTTCTCTTTTCTTCTGTATTTTCTTCTACTTTTTGACAGATAACCTGTAAAATTTACTCCGTCTAGGTATGTACTTCTAGTTTATTTATGCGTAATAGTATGGGACATTTATGATAATCTTTAATCAGCTGTCAAATTACCGAACAGTTTATCGTTGATAAACACTGATCAACTGTTTCATCTTGAAAAATATTACAATATAATTATAAGGGAAATCGTTTACTACTTCTCTTGGGATTTTATATGTTTGCTAATATAATACTTACTACTGGATTAAAGTACTATAAGTCTGTCGAATCGACAATGAAATAGACAACAAATTAAGATATTCGGTTGCTTGAAACAGAGATGAGCGGCACAAATTGAATAAAATATTATACATAGTAAATATAATTTACAACTTTCTCAAAGCTTAAAATCAACTAAGCCGATTTTCTTTACTCTATGCATTTCATGGAATTTAACAATTGAATACAAGACCGTGTACTCAAATAAAAAAAATTATGTTTAGTTTAACGGTTAATGATAGTCAACTGTTTGGCCGAGATAAATTTCGCTATAACACTCCACCACAACAGTTTTCAACTTTACTCAACCCCATAGGCTGTATGCTACACCAATTAGTATATGAATGCTGATAAAATTTACCATCAGGTTGTATGAATATCAGGTATTTGCAATACTTTTTCAATCCGTGACTCGAAATTTAAGAATCGAGTGATTATGCCAGTTAGTTACAGTCTCATACAACTAGATTAAGTAGACTGATAACAAACTTACAGTAAATTTAGACATTGACTTATCTCAGGGGAAAAAATATATCATACAGCTTCATAAATCACATGAGACAAACAGGTGTAAACAAATTACAATTCAGCATAACCAGTTACCGGTGCAAGTTGTCAGACCACCAACATATCAAAGGTGGGAATCATCAACAAGGAAGATAGCAAAGTAACAATAGTATCTAGTACCGTACAACAAAAACCAATCACCATGAACGGGAGAAGTCTAAAGGAAGTTGTCTCTTTCACCAAGACCAGGATGTCAAAGCCAGGATCGGAAAGGACAGCAAGACAGGCCGTCCTTCATTACTCTGGAATCAGTGTAGAGATCTATCTACTGAACTGTGCTGTACTCAGCATAAAGAACAACATCCGGATTTTCAACACTTAATCAGTCAAGTCAGTGCTTCTATGTGACGGTTGAGAGGCTTGGCGCGTTACGAAAAGCATTTCCAACAATTTGCAGACATACATGAACAGCTGCCGCCTACGCTCGTTCAATGCTGAAGATCAGATAGCCAGAATAATAAGAATAAACAAGGAGGAACTCTGGCTGACTGGCAACGAACCAGCCAACAACCTATCACCCAACAAATGTACAGCAGAAGAAAGTGGGGATGGATTGGATTGGACATACACTGAGAAGACGGTTTGGAGACATCACGCATCAGGCCAGACCCTCGAGTCGAACACACATGGGAAACGACGAGTTGGGCATCCGTAGGTGACGAAATGGAGGAGATGGTGTGATGAAAGGTTATGGGGAGTCATGGAGCCAGGTTGTAAAGACTGCAGAGAAGAGGGTGAAATGGAGACGTGCTGCTGAAGCTCTATGTTCCACTAGGAACCCAAGGGACAAATAATAATAAAATGGAATTCATCTCAAAAGTTCAATTCTAAAAACCAAGCTTAGCATAAAGATTTTCTCCAATGAAATCACACTTCTTATCAGCACAAATTATTCAGTGAGAGAATAAGTTTACAAAAAGAGTAACAAGACAAAAAACAATCATTTGATTGAGTCCATGTTACACACTTGAGTATAAACTACTTAAGGTTAATTATACAGAACAATGTACTACGAAGTCTTAGCTACTGTGAAAAAGATATACCGACAATACGATAAACTTGCAATGATGACTGATGGCTTCGAATAAATACTTTAATAGGTGGGTAGAACTCCACAACCCAATGCAATAAAATACACTTCCCAATAACCCGTAATTGTTGTGGTTGATTAATTTAGTCGAACATTTGAATTGATTTATTAGATTTATTCCACAGTGGAACAGTACTGTTTAGTAGATTACGTTTCAGACATAATTTGTCCATAGTCATATCAAGATAACTACACAACTTTGAGACATCTTTTATACAGTCCTAATTTCCTCGCCTCCTTTGTGATGTAAATTAATTGATAAGTTCCTTAGAATTCATAAGAAAAATGTGACTAATATTAGTAACACAGGTGTGAATAGTGGCAACACTATGAAAGGACAATTCAAAACCTCAGTTAGGCTAACCAATCAAAAAACCTAGCTAGGTCAAAACTGATAGATCCTAGTAAGATAAGGAATCAAGTAAAAAGCTCTATCAAAGCTATGCATGCAACTGCACGCAACCACGTCATAGGACGGCACAGGGTGAAAATCCTTAGAACTAACATAGTACGATGGAGTGAGAAATTGATAACTGATTCTTTGTTTATCGAAATAACACAAAACAGGAATGATTCAGCACCTGTTCCGGATATATAGAAAATCTTACTACTCATATCACAAAAGAGATGGAGATAATTAGGACTATATAAAGGACAATGCTGTAACTTGCTTTATCCCGATGTTGATTCGACCAATAACTACAAGTAACAGCATTAAAACCATACCCGTCACACAAAAAGTGGCTATCGTAACTCGGTGGCTTAGTGAATAACGCTCTGGCGTTTGAAGTGATCGATCCTTAGTTCAAGTTATAGTGGGAACAACATCGTTTATTGGGAGGCACACACATATAGCTGACGAGACGCGTGTCCTGGATTCCACTGCTAGCCACTATACATCATTACTAGATAAAGGATGTTTCAATGTTGTGTAGTTATCTTAATATGACTATGGACAATAAAGTGTGTCCGAGACGTAGTCAGTCCAGTAAACAATACTGTTCTACTGTGTGATAAATATAATAATTCGATTAAAATGGAACTTTCGACGAATGGGCTACATGCTTCAACCTCACTACAACTGTATAGCTCTTAAACGTTAGGTGTAACTCAGAGTAGCCTATGAACCTTTAAGCGATTACCGAGTTGTATTTTGCTTTTTAACTTCACAGTAATTTGAAAATGAAGCTAATTTACAATTTCTACTGATAGAAAATGCGGAATACAATCGAAACTATACAGAAAATGCTCATTTTATAGACTAAATAGCCACTTATCAAGCTGTATAACACATTGAAGCTCACTCAGTAGCCTTGTGAACAATCCACCAGTAGACTGTATGAGAGCTAATGATACTAACTGACTGCCTACACCTCAGTAAGTAGAGTGCAATTCGAACCCGTGACCCACGGTTTTGGATTCAAGTGCCTAAACGGGCGAGTCACAACTCATAAGATAGTAGTGTGATTAAAAAAAGGTAGAGTGAACAAAAAGCAATGCAAAATATTTATAAAACCAGACTAACCTTCCCGTAGAAAAAAGGTACTCCAAATCTGGATGATATCGAATGCTGCACACACCCATATTTTGCCTAAAATTATATCAAGAAAGAGAGGAATTAAATCGATATACGTAATCAAAGTTACACAACTACTAAATCCAGCTATACAAAACTAAACTGTTTGCATAAATCAAGTCACATTCCCTAAATTTCTTCCAACTAGGGATTACGAATATTCTAGGGAACTCATCCAAAATGCATTAAATATCGCTGGCAAATAGTAGATTCATGGGTTGTTTGTGGATGTGCATTTGATGGAATCACTGTGTGAGCAATGTTGAGGTCAGACAAAGAGTACCACGCAAGACAGTGAACCTTAATCCATAGAGATGACTTGGACATGTACTGCTTAAGTCGAACAACCGTCTACCTCAACATATCACACCAGGGGAAGTTGGATTAGGTTGGAAGAGGGCTCAGAGTGACCAGACTAAGACCTGGCAACCACCAATCAAGTCTCTTACTGTTGGTCTGAGTCGTGTGGAGCGATGTAGACTACCTGGTTGCAGTCCCCGAGACGAACTCTTGGTGATATGGCAGAAAATCGGTCACAATAGTGCAGATGTACTCACTCTTGACGTCTTCCGAAGCATGAATATTCGCAATACCTTTTATCCTCAAATGGTTTATTCCTACATGATTCTGACCCCCTGGAGATTACTACTTTTCTATTTACTTGTTTTTTCGTCACTACTGGCGAAGTGTGGCAACTTGAACCGATGCACCTGAGTGCGAGGTTCTACGTTGATTTTGTCAGTCAGTCAGTCGCCTGCCAGTCCTACAAACTTTAATCTGTACGTACTTATAGCCTTATCGACTGACTTACCTAGTTTAACCGAAACTATACTCCTAACATCAGCACTACTCATTCAGTGGTCGCACTATACACTATGTTTAGAATACACCTACAACTGAAGACCATTCCACAAAAACTCTTTGTCTACCGTCTTCAACAGTTATGCCTAAGCATGGCTAACCGGATTTGACCTGATTCCTTAGAGAAATGAAGAAGAATTTGTTTCCATGTCAGAATGAGATGCGAGTGCTCACTCATGAGAAATAGCAACACAATATACAATAGATTTTTATTCCTCCTTATTTTTCCGCGGCTCCCTCAAATACCTTCAGTCCGTGACTGAAAATTGACTCACAAAATACGGGATTTGACTACTAATCACGCAGATACACATTTACTACTACTGCAACTAATTGAATCCGTGTGGTTAGGTGCATCTGTGACTTAATAGTCTCGACACGACTTGGAACCGATCAATGATGAGTTCAAACCTCACTCTACTTACCGAGGTTTGGGCAGCTAGGTAGTGTCATCCACCCCAATACAAAAGGAGTGGCTTATTCTCTGGTGCACGAATGTTCAATTCGTTGCTGAGTGGATTTTGAATTCCATTCGAGGTAGGTTTCTTAACCCTGTTAATCTGTACCGGGTTTCGTAGACCGATAAAAGTGGAGTGGAATTTCAGCCGTGGATTTATTGCTTGAAATTTGTGCTTATCTTTAACTGCCAATAACAGATTATATACACGTTTACAGACAAGTGAATTGCCTCTACCAACAGGGTTTGTAAAACGTGTTGGTATGAATTTTAACTGATACTGTCCTAAATATTCTTCTGGTCCTACTTCTGCTTGAGAATGTTTAAGAATTTATTTCCCAGAAAACACTGAATTGAAAAAAAGCATTCAACAACCATATGTACTCGCCTACAACAAGCAATGAACTACGCCTATTGTGTGAAGGATACTGGTACTACCTGGTTATCCAAAACCTTAGGTGGTGCGGGGTTCGAACTTGTCATCCACCAGTTGAAAGTGAGCAACAGCTCCGAGAAAATTCATTTCAGGATAAGTAAAACCACTTTACAACTTTGTTATTGTCTACATATAATTAGACCCATTTAACCTTATTATTAGCGCCACATATCGAGCGAATAATAACCATATTATCTAAATTACCTAAATCATCAGTGGTATGATGACTGGTATTACTATATTTTTCTATATTTCGGTTGATTGCCTCAGAGTCTAGTGAACTCCTTGTCTATTGTCATCTTCTGTCTTAATTACTAACCACGGTATCTCAGAAAGAAGACCGATTGGAATTATTCAAGAATAATATCATAACATCGGCACACCACACAACTTATTCAAAATACAATCAACATACAATTTTATTATGCAACAATGCTGACAAGATAGTACAATCGCTTAACTCTGGGTTTCATGATGTTATTAATATCTTCCAATTTTGAAAAATGAAAATTATGCTTTGATGAATGTCCACACCTACGCTTATTCCAATCATGGAAGGTGCAAACTCCATTAACTATACGAGCAATTGCATAAGCTCTAGTCATCTATTATTGTTGTTATTATTATTATTATTATTATTATTATTAGTAGTAGTAGTAGTAGTAGTAGTAGTAGTAGTATTTGTCTCTTGGGTTCCTAGTGGAACATAGAGCTTCAGCAGCACGTCTCCATTTCACCCTCTTCTCTGCAGTCTTTACAACCTGGCTCCATGACTCCCCATAACCTTTCATCACACCATCTCCTCCATTTCGTCACCTACGGATGCCCAACTCGTCGTTTCCCATGTGTGTTCGACTCGAGGGTCTGGCCTGATGCGTGATGTCTCCAAACCGTCTTCTCAGTGTATGTCCAATCCAATCCATCCCCACTTTCTTCTGCTGTACATTTGTTGGGTGATAGGTTGTTGGCTGGTTCGTTGCCAGTCAGCCAGAGTTCCTCCTTGTTTATTCTTATTATTCTGGCTATCTGATCTTCAGCATTGAACGAGCGTAGGCGGCAGCTGTTCATGTATGTCTGCAAATTGTTGGAAATGCTTTTCGTAACGCGCTAAATCTCTGAACCATATAGAAACACTGACTTGCTCTAGTCATCTAATGACCTATAAAATCTAATGTGTATAAAAAGTTATGCTGCTGTTAATTACTATCTACGTATTCATAAAGAATCAACTTTCTTTTGCAGTAGAATATAATACACTCCACAGTGAAGTACAACATCTTGAAGAGATGGACTTTTATGCGAATATCTAAGTTGATTTTTCTTATCTGACACAGTAATAAGCTTTTCATAAATTCAAAACACATACCTAGGATATACATATTTACGCATTTATTGGCCAGTTCACATAAATGACCCACAGACACATAATAATAATATGAGAAGTCAACATTAGCGTCCACAATACTAGAGTAAAGACTTTATTATCACCACATTGGTTACACAGCTGATAAAACAGCATGATTCACACAAGACTTAATAATGAGAGGTGTTGTTAGTCGAGTTTCCTAAAGAGACACAATCATAAGCAGTAAAGTTTCTATATACTATAAACTAAACAATTCTGTGTAGTGAACGGATATTAAATCCATAGATCTCGATGAATTTGCAGCAAAAAAATAATCTATGATATAGATAAATTTCTTACACAAGTAAAAAAGAGGATTCAGGCAGAATGTCAGTTTTTAAGTTGGAATTTATTATGGACTGAACACTGGGAACCTGGGAGCAATGGACAGTTGCTTTGTCCAACTAGTATGGGACTCCTTAGCAGTGCACACCCATGACCCCTCCATGGATCAAACCCAGGATTTTCAGGTTCCATGGCCGACACTGTACCATTGAGCCACTAGGTCAGAATCCAATGGTTCACACTTCCTACTTCTGTCAGTTCAGTGGAGTCAACCAAGTCAAGCATGAGGACAATTACTCAGCGACGATAGTGGATGTAGATTGCGCTATATCGTGAACTGGCAGAAGTAGGAAATATGGACCATCAGAATCCGATCCAGTGGCTCAATGATAACTTGCTGGCCATGGAACCTGAAGTTCATGGGTGCACACTGCTCAGGAGTCCCATACTAGATGGACGAAACAGTTGTCCAGTGCGCACAGGTTTCCAATGGTCCTCTAACTGATGTCAGTCCATGATGAATACCAACCTAAAATCAATTAATAGACCTCGACAAACCTCCAGACAGAATGTCAGTTTTGTCATCTAAAATCTCGCTGATGAGAACTTTGAATAATAAAAATAGAATACATTAGGAAATAATTTAATTACCTGATTGTGGTCAAAGGTTTTTTACATCCTTGACGTAGATCCCAAACACAACATTTAGAATCGTCACTCCCAGTAAACACTAAATCATTATGCCATTTACTCAAACAAGCACACCAAGCTTCAAATTCATGTCCACACCACTTAGCAATTGCTTGAGGATGTGAAGAAGACGATACATCAATCTTCCATAAACTAATATTACCACCTGAGTCACTGAAAACAAATCTGTAAGAATTCTTGATTTATAATAGTTACTACTATTAGTCTGACCTATCAGAACATGCATCGACAGACAGAAGTATATGATCAGATACTTGAAAATCGATTAATTCAATTATTGATGAATGATCAGTACAATTCCACAATTTTGTTGAACCATTTGCCAATGCACCGATTGACACACTTTCACTAATCCAACTCGTATCCAATACACCAGGACACGGGACAATACATGATAAATTATACTGATCATTAGACACTCGACTGAATAATAACACACCTCCAAGACGTTCTTGACTAACCTAGACAGTAAAAAAATAAATGATCAAACAAGAGATTATGTTTTACTAATTAAAATATACTACATGATTTGACATTGTTACTTGATGATTTCACTTACAATATGTACAAAAACTGTTCAACAATAAAATCACAATCACGTACACTAAGTTAAAGGGGTTCATTTATCTTCAGGTTGGTATTTATCATGAACTGATATCACTTGGAGGAACATTGGAAACCTGAGAGCACTGGACAACTGTTTCGTTCTAGTATGCGAATCCTGAACAGTGCGCACCCATGACCCCTCCAAAGGTCGAACTCATGACTCAGATTCCGTGGCCATCACGTTACCATTGAGCCACTGGGTCGGAATCCAATAGTCCACGTTTCCTAATTCGATCAGTTTATGGTATAAACCCCCACAAACCCCAAATCAAGTTAATTTGTCTGCTCAATAATCAAAGTTATTAACTACATTTCTTTATTGCATAATTAGACAGGAATCATAAAATAGACGAAAAATAGTGGGATGTAGTCAGATAAGTACATGGTTAACGCGTTCGCTGTGAAATCTGAAGGTCCAGAGTTCAATCCCTAGACAGATCATACGTGCGTACGGCTAAAGAGTCCCATACTAGGACAAAACAGTTGTCCAGTGCTTCCAGGTTTCCAACGTTCCTCCAACTGATGTCAGTCCATGATCAGTACTACCTCGAAATCGATAAGCACAATACTAGGACATGTAAAAGACTGAATGATTAGGGTTATTGGATGCAACTCATAAAACAGTAATAGTTAACAGTAACAGATCATAATAAGAAAGTTCGACGCTCGTAAAAATTTGAGATGACGGAAAATATTTTTTACTTAGAAGGAGGATTTTTGTGGTATTGCGTTCTCTTAACTGGATGGTTTTTTCATGAAGCTTTCACTGTCGTTCTAGACAACTTCATCATCAGGACAAGAAAAATGGAGACAATGATAAAGCTTTGGCAGAAACAACCAATCACACACAAAGCCAGTTGTAGAGAAAACTCAAGGCTCAAATCTTTCGGAAGTTTGTGTTCATGATATTGCCTAGAATGACAATGAAAGCCTGACAACTAAACCATACAGCTTAGAGAACACAAAATCATTAAAAGTAACAGGCTACAACATAACCTATTCCACTATAGAACATAAGCATCAAATATTTATTTCTGCATAAATAATGAATGTTTTATTCTATATACCCATTAATTTCATAATGAAGCTTGTTTTGTTTAGCATTCCTTTTCCCTAGGCCCTCTATTTCAAGCAATGTTTGTAAAGAAATAAAATTCCTTCTAGCTAAATCAGATTAAACTTTTACAAAACAATAAAATAACTGTGTAACTGTGATCTTACATCCATTTAATTATAGAATAACTAATCAGTAATCTTAATGCCAATATATTCATCTCCTTCACATAACTCGTTCGAACAAGGTTATAAAAAGCTCATGCGAACACAACTGCATACACTTCATTTACTAATTCTGAAACGTGTACTGATTCACATGTAAAACCCTTAATCAAAATCAATTTAGCCACATATTGTGAATCTTCTTCGGAGTCACTTGACATAAGTGACAAATTAGTTTTGGATAGCCAGTCTAATACATGCCTTTTGCAGTTGATTTATCTTTACCACAACTACTGCTGAATGACAGGTAAACATGTCAAATATTTTGTTCGAACAAGTATACTCTATTCATATACATCAAAAAATACTTTAATGAAAACATTTTCTCAATCCATTGTTACGTGAGCAACCGACAAATTTCAAGATTGCTTTCACCACAGACTAATATCTACCAAAAAATCACTTAAAATTAGACAGAAGTGGATGAATATTTTGTCTCACTTTCAGGTTCTTCAGTCGTGTGCGCGTTCAATTTCATACTTACTCAAACCCAGTACAGATATTCACCCGACCGATAACTGCTACCTTAGCCCAGCAAGCTATGTTAGTGGAACGCTTGTTTGTTCGAGGTCCCATCATACTAGAAACGTCTGCTGGACAGCCGTTCGACAAAAAGTAGTTACTATTAGTGCAAACTGAAACGCCGTGATGGGATTCTGAGAGCGAAGTTGTACAGCTCACTGAACGGGAGTGTGACAGCAGTAAGGTATTTTCTTTGCATGACTAGCATTACCACGTTGATGTTGCCTTCCCAATTAGAACAGAGGACTAGCAAAGGTCAATCTTAAAAATAGCACACTCCCACCCCTACCCATCCTGTGGTACGTCGATGCCTGTGACAGTGATTCACAGTCGTATTCGACAGCGAAAGACCAAAATCTCAAAATTACAAAAAGGCAGTGTATGCCAGGCCTCAAACAGACTTCCCATGCACTCTGCCGTCACGCAGCATCCTTTCTTTTTAAGGTACCTCAAGAAGAACTAGCTTTTCATGGTGTTACCAGCCGGGAATTGTCAACCACCTCACGCTTTAAGTAGTACACAAAACCCAACCAAACATAACCAGTCCACGTTTTTCTTTGTCCTCACTTACTAGTATTGAGGTATTTACACCTCCCCCAACCTCTCATTCCGCGACCATTTCCAACGACCAAAGTCATCAAAACCACATTCCTGATCTTCTAAGATACCGTCATAGATTTCATGTAAGATCTTTCAACGTTCGAACCCCATGCCAAACCGGACAACAAGAATAGCTCACCAGGTGACTTTAGCGAGAAAGTAGGGGAATAGAAACAACCAGGAAATTATCTCAGGCGTTGTACATGGAATACCATGCAAACGAACCGAAACCGGTGATCGTCAGTTGCAATTTTTTGCTAACAATCACTTCTTTCTGGCCAGCTGTAACTTTAGGCATAACGAGAGACACTATCTCACATAGCATCCGCCAACTTCAAACCTACCATGGATGCAGATAGATTACACCACCACAAGTCATCAATGGTGGATTGCCGCTCATTCTGGAGTACCCATTTGGACTCAGATCACGTACTAGTATGGGCTCGTGTATGCCTGTACCTTATTGGTCGCAGGAAACAGGCGACAGTAAAGCCTTCCTATGGTCGACTTGAGGATGATAGTATCAAGTCCGTATTTAGGGAAGAGATAGCTAAGCATTCATTTGAATATGAAAGCAATGCTCACCCTAAGGAAAACTGGCGTGATATTGATTCTGCTATAGAACAGAGGTAAAAACAATTTGGAACCTAAACCCAAAGGTTATAAAACCACTGAATTTCCGGACCTAATTCGAAGTGACTGATGTGAGAAGACTGACTCAAGCTAGCTATGATCACGATGAGAACCTCGCCTGGTTAACTAGTTCACTAGTTATTAGCCGGTCCTAAACCCAGATAAAGAGGGAAGGTTGGGCAAAGGCTTAGCAACCCTATCCCGTAAAACCAATCAAACCGCTAAAGAAGCTTTAAAGCACAAACAAAATATAAAAAATAAAAACGAAATTATTCCTCGCTGGAATCGAAGAGAAGAAATGACGCCAGCTGGTGAAAGCCTTCGGGAGGCCAAATGGTCGAGAAGTCTTCTCTCTCTCAATGAAAGTGAAAGTAAGATCGAAGACATGGAATGTCCACAAACTGTCTGAAGCCGACTGGCAAGGCTGGTCAGATTACAAAAGAAATGAGAAGATATAGAATAAAAGTGCTAAGAATCTGCAAGGAATCTGCAGATGGAATGGAAGTGGACTCTCCAAACTGTCAACTGGAGAGGAGTCAATAATCTACTCCGATATCGTCATCCAGACGACAACCACGAGCACACTGAGTTGTGGAGTGGCTACCATGATGTCCCCAACAGCATCGAAGGCTCTCATGCAGTGGGAACCGATCTCCTAATGCAGGATCATGACACCAACACTCAACTCAAAAGGAAACAAAGTCACAATCATACAATGCTACGCACCAACAAATAATGCAGATCAAGAGAAGGAGGAATTCCACAAACAACTGCAATCAGTACAAAACAAGACCCCATCCCAGGTGGCGACATCGAAATTCTAATGGGTGGGTGACATGAATGCCAAACTCGGGGCGGACAACACAGGAAGAGAACCAATCATGGGTAGAGAAGCACTCGGCGAAATGAACGAGAATGGAAAATTGTTCACAGATTTCTGTGCATTCAACGATTTGGTGATTGGAGGCACTGTGTTCAAGCACAAGGATATCCACAAAGTGACATGGATTTGATTTCACCAGATGCACACACTACACTAAAAATCAGATCGACTTCATCTCAATGTGAAGAGAGTGGAGATGCAGCCTACTGGACACAAGATCAAATGAAGAAGGGGAGCAGATGTAGGCGGTTCACATCACTCACTATCTAGTGCAAGGAACCTACCTTCCAAATCAAGTGGAAAGCCTTCAAAGAAGTTGGTGAGAGGCCAGAGGTCAAGCTCGACATCCAGAAACTCAAGGACGAAAATATAAAGGACATCTTCAAGTCAGTCATCAGGACAAAATGGGGGGGGGGGTATTCGAGCAACATCTCTGAAGTAAGATGTGTGGGTGAGCACTGGAACTCTTTGAAAGAGATGTGAAAAGAAAGCTGCATAACCGTTTTAGGATGTAAGAGGAAACAAGACGAGGAATGGATCTCGACAGACACATGGAAGCTGATCGAGTAGGGAGAGGAAGCTGGTGATAATCATCATCATCATCATTATCAACATAGAACCAGGCATTACTACGTAACGGTCCCACTTGCCACACCTCATATCAGCACATCAAGTAAAAAGGTAGTGAGGTGAAGGATGAAGATAAGTGAATGCAGTCAAAAGAAATATAAAGTACGAGAAGAAAGGAAAGAGGAGTGACAAAATGGTGAGATTCGATATAGCGTTGTTAAGATGAGGATAATGTGTGTATACATCTACACCACTGACATCGGTTCTCAGCCATATCACCTAGGGTCTCCAACCACTGGTTCCCCTTGTCCCGTGGACCCCAACCACCTAGTCTCCATCGTCCTACATGGCTTAAACCAACAGTCAGAG